GTTGTTGTTGTTGTTGTTGTTGTTGTTGTTGTTGTTGTTGTTGTTGTTGTTGTTGTTGTTGTTGTTGTTGTTGTTGTTGTTGTTGTTGTTGTTGTTGTCGTCGGATGGCCCTATGAGCCGGCGCGTGTCCACGAACTGGGATCCCCGTGCGTTGAGGATCTGGTAGGCGTCGCCGTCCGGGTGGCTGTTCAGATCCCCTGCGAGGAACGTGAATGTTGGCGTGTACTTTGATCGGAGGCGCGAGGCGACGTGCAGGATAAGTTTGGCGGATTCGCGGCGGGATATTTTGCCTTCGTTGTCGAGGTGGGTGTTCATGGCCAGCATCACCTGTCTCTCTCCTCCTCCTGCCGAGGCTGTTGACGATGTCGTGGTAGTGGGAGGCTGGCGGCCCTCTCTAGCGTTGTTGACAAGCACCGATTCCAGCACCGCGCACGTCAGAATGCGAACACTATCCGCATCCCAACCCTTCTTGCCCACTTCACCCGTCTCGTTCAACCAGACCGTTTCAAAGTGGATACATTTCCAGGCCGATTTGCGGAAGAAGATGGGGCTGTATTCGCCTTTGGTTTTGCCGTCATTGCGCCCGACCCCGACGTAGGTCCAGTCGTTGTCGTCGTCCACGCCGGAAACTTGTGTTGTTGACGACGTCGAGGTGTTGAGTGTCCGACCGTGCAAGTCGACAAGTTGTTCATGAAGCACCTCTTGCATGCAGACCAGCGTTGACTGGGGAGCAAAGTGCGGGCGCGTGTGGTACTTGAAATGGCTCGAGAGGTAAGGGAAGCGGTCTGGCCACAGCTTTTCGCTCTCGTCAGGCGTGTCGGTCGCGAAGCGTACGTTGTGAGTCAAGATTCTGATCGGAAGGAGAGTGGAAAACGATTCCCTCCGCCTTGCTGCCTCCCCAGCAACGGGTGGTGGTGGGCACGAGGCGTCACCCATGTTGAAGTACAATATGCGAAGGGGATACAGAGGGGCTGTGTGACAAAGAATGCTTCAGGATACCAATCTATAAAGGGTATTCTGCCTGAATACGATTTGATCCCTTGAGCCTAGGGCTGTCGTTCTGAGGGACAGAATACTATGAACAAAGGTCGAGGGGACGTGTTGGAATCGAGTTGAAGGCGGGGATAAATATAGGGTTGCGGCCAGATGGGACCTTTTAAGTGACAGGTCCTTCTGCTGTGTTCGATGTCGAGCTTGTATCACGGCATGACAAGGGAAATAACTTTCTCTGTGACATAGTCACCGCATATGAGGACGTGACAGGCCAGCAAGGGTGGAAAAGGAAGATCGTCAGGAACAAACGACGTTGAACCTTTGGAAACACAACGATGCCAACAAACAACCACGCGAACCAGTCTGGTTCGGGGTTTCAAATGACGTCATTTATGGATGGTTTATATATGGCTCGATGGAAATCCGTGGTCGATGATGAGCTCAGCCACGCGAGGACCTTAAGCAAAGTGAGTGGCCGCTGAGGGAACGCTGGACGATGTGTAGTGATGAATGAGATTCTGGAACGGACCGGCAGGTCGTCCCCATACTTGTACGAGGACGTGTTTGGGCTGCACTGGAGGGCATTCCTCGAGGAGAACGCCAGGTCATCCGCCGACCAGCACGAGAACAGCCCCTCAACGTTCAAGGTCCTCTTGTCTGTGGAAATATGGGTGATGTCGTGATTGGGGATGCGATATAGATTGGGTTTTGGCAGTCCGCCTCCATCTGTGAGCCACATGGGAATCTTCGCTGGACAAAGACTGCCGTCATTCCGAGCACGGTACCGGTGATTTTCCTAATTCCATGAGGCTGGCTCCGTGTCTCCATACTCCTGAGTTCGTTGCTGAGACTGCTGTAAGCCAAAGATGGCGTTTTCGGGAAACCTCATGTAGTGTTACTTGAAGAAGCCTGGTTGTGCCTGGTTGTGCCTCGTTTGTCTGTTGTGTGTGAACTTGACTACTGGAAATGGCCTTGATCAAAAAACCACATGGCATAACCTCTCACAATAATATTGCTGATCGAATGTTTACCTGCCTGCGACCTGCGCACCACTCCCTCCGGGCTGGATATTCGCTGTCGGCGTGAAATTTGCGCCGGGAAGTGCACCGATCATGTGCTGGAGAGGTCCAAGAGCCGATCCGCGCTTCTAGAAGGCCATTCCCACCTTCTCCCACAAGTATTGGAGACGGGAAAGACCAGTGCGTAGAGCTGAGTCAACTCTGAAGTGGCATGGATCCCGTGGGGTGAGATATTGGTGAGATATGTTAAGCAAAATGCTCCGTCTGGAGGTGAGGGAGGATTTGGCGAGATGTCGGCTGAACTTGTCAGACAGCATTGGAGGGCCATGCTAAGCCTGATTGGGCCATTAGCGCCGTGACCTGACGCGAAACTGAAACTGCGCCGTGAGTCCGACAAAAGTCCAGAAGACCACAATGATCCCATTCCAACCAACCCCCCATACATCATCCTCGCGAGCGGATCGACTTCAGCTCAGTCGCATCTGGTATGTATCACTTTCTTTCCCTCGCCTGTTTCCCTACGTCTCTGTCCCGATGTTTGCGATGACCAACAAATCCGGTGCCCGGCCTACAATCACCCGTCCAAACGTCCATCTCTTTTCGCAGCCCAGACCTCATCTCGAGATCATTCCCAATGGCTAAGTTCATCATTAGAAACGCGTCCAGTGCCCGCGGGCCTCTCGTCCAGTGTTATACCTCCCCGTTTGATGAGATGTCGACATGAGCAATACCCCAGACGGTGGAAATGCGGTAGCCGCGCCTACTGAACCCACCGCCTCAGCACCCAGCAACGAAGAATCAATCGCGCAAGGCAAGGAAAGGGCCAAAGAGATCCTCGCCGCGTCCGGTATCAACGTCACACGGAAGGATAGTTCGGCCGATGTCAACGGCCACGATGACGGCCCCAACGTTAATCGAAAGCGGAAGCGCGAAACACCAGTAGATCGTATCCAAGCGGCCGAATATGTCGACCGCGAGTACCACTACAAGGCCCTCTACGCAGAGCAGCTAGCCCACCCATTGGTAGCTCAGGAGAAAAAGCAAGAGCTCGCGTTGTATCAGAACCTTCGCCAAAGACGGGATCTTGACCCTGGCTCCGTCTTTGGTTATGGCTACGCAGGCTACGGCAATCCCAGGACAGACGAAAAGAATATCCCCAACCCGGTAGTTTACCCGCGCCAAAGAAGACCTGGCAAGAAGAAAACCTTACCACCCCGGGTGTCGCGAAAAGACCTTAGCATACAAGCGGAACAGAGCGAAGAGCTGGTGCCCATCCGGCTTGACATCGATTGGGGCAAGATCAAATTGCGCGACACCTTCACCTGGAATTTGCACGACAGAACGACATCCGTCGACTATTTTGCGGAGAAGCTGGTCGAGGATTTCGGCCTCGAAATCCAGAACTGCCGGCCACTGGTTCAACTGGTCGCAAATCATATTCGCGAGCAGCTAGTCGACTATTGTCCTCAGATTTATGCAGATGACGAGCCATGGGAGCCATCCCTTCCATATTTTGCCTACAAAAACGACGAAATGCGCATATTGGTCAAGCTCAACATCACAATCGGCCAAAACACCCTCATCGATCAGTTCGAGTGGGAAATCAACAATCCATTTAACTCTCCCGAGGAGTTTGCACGGCAAATGACGAGCGATTTATCACTGGCAGGAGAGTTCACCACGGCCATTGCGCATTCTATACGTGAACAATGTCAGCTGTTCTCCAAGTCATTACATATCACGGGGCATCCGTTCGATGGCCGGATGATTGAGGATCCGGATTTGCGGGAAAACCTCTTGCAATCACCTTTACCGACCACGTTCCGGCCTTACCAAGCCGCCAAGGACTATACACCGTATCTGTACGAACTCAATGAAACAGACCTGGAGCGAACCGAGCTATCTATATCTCGTGATCAGAGGAGGCAGAAACGTTCGACGAATCGCCGTGGGGGTCCGGCTCTACCAGATCTCAAAGACCGCCAACGCACAATTCGGTCGCTTGTTGTTTCATCCGTCATTCCTGGCGCTGCACTGAGCATGGAGGAGAGTCGAATATTCAGAATTACAAAGGCCAGCCGAAAGTCGGCACGCGGCCAGCGGGACGGGTTCGAAGATTCCGACGAGTCGGATAGTGAAGACTCGGCACCTGATTCTCCAGCCATCCCGACTCACTTGTTACAACAAGGCACTGCCCGTACTAGAGGGATCAGGAACGCAGCCCTGACTGCGACTGCGGGTATCAGATCAAACTTGAGCGGCTTCGCATCGGTCAGATCTGCAACACCGGAATCAATTGCACCTTCGCATCATGACGGCCGAGCGTCTGCTAGGAAGAGAGACTACAAGGAAGAAAGCGACGAGGAGTCTGCTCCAGACAAATTGATTGTGATATTCAAAGTGGGGAAAGCCAAGCTTCGAGAGTGGACGCGTTCGCAAAGAGTCAAGGACAGGGCGGCTCATGTCTCGAATATGTCAAATCACGGCAGTCCACGACCTGGCAGCCACTCACGATCTGTTTCGGCGGCTCCCTTGAATCTCGCAGGCATGCCGCCTCCGCCATCGCCAGTTCCAGCGACCGTAGACATTCCAGGGGCCGTGGATGCAACGCCCAATCCGATTAACCCAGCCGTAAGTCCCATGCCTTACCTCAAATCGGACCTGTACTTACTCTTTCTGCTGCTAGCCCCCACCACCTGACTGGCTCGTTCGGGATCTCGAAAGATTACGGAAAATATATCCGAACGACCGATTCGAGGCTCTCATGAAACACACAGCGATTGACCCGAAGACTCAGAAGCTGGTTGCCCCTAATGAGACGAACCAATCGTTTCCACACAAATACGTCCCACGTATCAGATGCTCTGACTGTCTTGTATGTTCCCCCATCATTCGACGCTGTCTCTGTCTGTTGAACAGCCATTCTCATTTGGAATCCCGTCTTCCTAGTAGAGACTGACGTTGATTCACAGGGCAAAGTCTACTTACCTGGCGAAGGTCTTAGTGCCACAAATTTTGAGTCTCACCTCAAGAACCGCAACCACAGAGCGCATGTGGACGACCGCCTGGCGAATGAAGCATGATAGACGCCAAATGTATAGTATTGCGTCACCCGAACCTTGAGATGATCCGGCTCTGGTGCCTTTTATGTCACCAGTCTCTAATGCTACGCGACCGGAAAACTTTCTCGCTGCGAGGCTGAGGTCACGTGGTGAGGGCCACTCCTTTTTCGAGCCTACAAGTCTCAATTGGAACTTGACCCTAAGGGAGCGTGACGTGGAAAAGAAGGCGACTCTCCAAAAGGAGCAATACATGACCATGATGTCAGGATCTCATCAGAGGCGTGCAGACAGCCCTGTCATTTGGTCTGAGTCAACGGGGAGCACCCTGCGGCAGTGATGCCTGAAGCTGACAGGGCATGAGGAGGCCCATTGTCGGCACCAGAGGCCGCGCCATGATCAAGTACTTGGATGAAGCAGGCCCTTGGACATCTATTCAAAGATAGTACTTGAATACTTCTCAGCCTGCTCTGGGACAGGGTGCAGAGAGGTCCTAGAGACCAAGACACCATGTATATAGCATGTTGGTGAGCTTCTTCATCGACTGGTGTATTACGAACATTGGAAAACGGTCTGGAGCTGTAGAAAGGGCGTTCACAGTGTCGTGTGATCTTGGAAGACTCAGTCCAACGCATTGCTGCGTTGCTAGCTTTGCATCCCCGCATCCACACAACTGAAATTCACTTTGCACCCCACTAAATAACGACCGTGTTAAATCCCTTGAGAACAGTTGAATGCTTGACACTCCTCCATTGCAACTGCACTCTTTTCTTGGGACCACCCTGTTTGCTCACAATGGCTGACGCAGCGGTAGCAGAAGGGATTAACAATCCCGACAACCTCACCAAGCAAGTCTGCACGTTCGACTGGTAGGTCTTCGTAACTGACTCTGGGCTTAGGTACAAAACCGCCGCTACCATCAGTCACAAAGTCCTCGAGGAGGTCTCCAAATGGCTGGTCGAAGGAGCTAAGATTGTCGACCTGTGCATCAAGGGCGACGAACTTCTCGAAGCAGAGCTCAGCAAAGGTGAGGCCTTTTCTCGAGTCACGCTTGAGATACTTTGTCCCAATGTGACTGCGGACAACACTTATTCAGACGTCCTTCTCTAACATACAAGTCCTGCAGTATACAAGGGAAAGTCCATCAATAAAGGGATCGCGACTCCTTGCACAATATCCCCTAGCTCTCATGTCACCCCTTTCACCCCGTTGGTCTCAGACACCGATGACGCAGCTATCACCATCAAGGCGGGTGAGTTGGTCAAGATTCAATTGGGTGCACAGATCGACGGGTATGGTGCAATTGTTGGGGATACCGTTATGGTGCCACAAGAGAAAGGGAAGAAACCAGAGATTACTGGGAGAGAGGCGGATTTGCTTCTCGCTACTTACTACGCGAATGAACTCTTGCTCCGACTCATGGTGCCTCCGGGACTCCTGGCCGCCGGGACTGAGGAAGAGAAGAAGAAGGCTGCCGCCGAAAAGCCGCCAACTCAAACAAAGATAATCGCGCTGGTCGAGAAGGTCGCAAAAGCCTATGACGTCCATGTCGTTCAGCACACCACGTCTTGGCTGTTTGAGAAGAATGAGATCGAAGGCAAAAAGAAAATCATTCTGTCTCCGGCTGATGGTGCCAAAGGAGAAGGTTCAGCAGAAGTCGGCGAGGTCTGGGGGGTTGAGGTGGGCATGAGTCTGGGATCTGGCAAGGTCAAAGAGTTGGACAAGCGATCGACTCTGCTGAGGCGAACCACCACGACCTACGGCTTGAAGCGGCCGAGTTCGCGACAAGTTCTCTCGGAAATTGTCAAGAAATTTGGTACTTTCCCCTTCAGCTTACGGCAATTGGATGATGAACGAGCCGGGAAAGTTGGCGTGGTCGAGTGCATCCGATCTGGGGTTCTACGTGAATATAAGCCAGCCGCAGAGGCGGATGGTTCTCCTGTCTCGAGACTGTTCACCACTGTTGGTAAGTCGGACCGTCGTGTGTTTGACTGGGCACATTATGCTGACGGTTGTCCTTTTTTTTTTTTTTTGCAGCAATCACCAAGAATGGCCTGACACGCCTAGCGGCTCCTCCTCCATTGGATCTGGAGACCGTCAAGTCCGACAAGAAGATTGAGGACGAAGAGGTTCTGTCAATCCTCGAGCGACCGCTCAGCAAGTCTACTGGCTCTAAGAGCAAGAACAAGAAGAAAAAGAAGAAGCCCGCCAAGAAGGCCACCGCCGCGGCTACTACCGAGGAAGACGAGGATGACGAGGATGACAGCGACGAAGAATGAACGGCTCCTTCGTACCAACGGCCACAGAATGCTCTTAGCTGGTTGAACAGGCCAAGGACAGGCATAAGAGTCATATGGCAACGAGGTCAATGGACTGGTCAATGGACTGCTGGGGGACGTCGTTCTTGTCGTGCCACGAGATGAATGGGAGCTGGTTGGGCATCTGACGCGACCTATGGTCACAGCCGAGAAGAAGCGTGTTTCAGGACAGTGGGAGAGCGTCAGGAGGAGAGCACATGGATGGTGCTTATCACCGCCGCTCCCGTGGCCGCAACGAGGCATGGAAATGAATAGGAAACGAGCAGCAAACTATGACTACACAGAGGACAATAAACGAGAGAAAATGTCGTGACGAAGAAATTGATGTGGCCCTGCCTGGGCTTCTGATTACGCCGTACCGAGTAGGTGAAGAGGGGCAAAAGTGGGAGGCAGCGCCCTAAATGTCGCCACGTCATGATGAAAATAGCGACTGTTGCCTAGGATCAGGTCGGAGAATACCAAATATAATAGCTTGATAGGTGACTTACCTTCGCCTGAACAGATGCAAAGAGGTCAGGATTGCTGGGCGTGAGTCTGTTGCGCCAGGATCTTGGGGGGTGGTGGTGCAAGGTGCCCAGACACCGCAAACAGGAAAAGGAAGAGACCAGGAGGAAAACACGGAGCTCTCAGCCTTGGGGGCTTCAAGAGTTTAGAGGCGACGAGGCTCGGGAAGCCGAGTAGTTGCCGTTGCGGAGGCCGGCGGGCGACTGGCAGCGACTGGCAGGCCGGAGGAGCAACTCAGCAAAGCAGCATTGGCGGCATAGGCAACATAGGCTAGCCTAGCATAGCAGCGAGTGGCACCTAGGGTGGGTGAGGGTGCTAAGGCTAAGTGCCCCTTGCCCCGATTCTTTTGTCACCACTTGATTCTGGCATTTCCTCGTTTGCGGAACCACAACACCATGCGCCATTAACTTTTCCCCTTGTTGCACCTCGTCACAGCCTGCGCCCTCTGCCCGCTGAGCCGCATCCAAGGCTACAGTAAGTCCTCGCCTTGCCTCTGGTGACACGTCCCTGAACTAACTCTGAAGCAGTCGGCGCGTGCGGCGCGGAGAAACGAAGGCAGGATGGCTACCCGATCGTTGCGGCAGAGGTCGAGCCGCTATTCGAGTCCAGCCACTTTCGGTGAAAAAGAGGCTGCACCAAAGCCCGCCGAGGATATCTCGTCAAGGAATGGTCAACAGACGAGTCTGGACAAATGGATTGAGCCCGCTGTGCGACCTGCGGTCCCGAGCTTTGAAGACACAAGAGGTCTCGAGAGGGTTGGCGTGCTTGAGAACATGCAGCCCCTGGGAACGGCGCCTTCTCAACGACTGCTCCAAAAGCTCAAATTGAATTATGTGCGCCCCTCGCCACGACCAGCCCCAGCACAGGTGGACGAGGTTGTCACTCCTGTGGCAGAACCTGAAAAGGTGGACTCGGCATCACCTTTAGAGGACGAGGCAGTGATAGTGGCAGCAGCTGAGGCCGAGCAGCCTGAAATATTGTCCGATATCCCACTCAATCCTCAACGGCCATCTGATTCAATTGTCATTTCCAGTCCCCCGCGTGGTCGGCCTCCTAGGAGGGATGTTGCAGAGATGCCTCAAGCGGCCACCGTTTCGCCGTCCCCCATGACATTATCATTTACCCCTACCTCCCATGTTTCGCCCAAACCACTATCAATTCAGCAGCAACTACGACAAGACCGACTTTGCACCCATGTCAACCGGGCTGTTCAGGAAGCGCACCAGAAGAACACGCCAGACCTGGCACATGGGCTACAGAAAATCCGTGACGATGCTCAGCTGAATCCGGAATTGTGGAATGTGTTGGAGGCTTTGATCAACAAGTCTCCTAGCTCTGAGCAGTTTAGAGTTTTCAAGCGCTACATCAAATCAGGCGTCAAGCAGCATAGACGAGAGAGTCAAATGTCTGCGAGTCCTTATCAACCGTCGCCTCAAATATTCAACGACCTCACTTCCCCTGATTACCGAGTACGCTCACCGAAGCCCGGCCACTCATACGCCAACACGCCCTTGCATTCCACAGAACGCCCTCCCAGAATCAATCTCTACTTCAACCTCCCGCGCGCTGCAGCTACTTATGGCCTCGAAGAAGCGCCAGTCTCGCCGTCCACGATTTCCCGGTCTGCTGGGATCGTTGAGCCAAGTGGAAAATCCATCCACCACGCCGCCAATTCGTCGCCGCATAAGCGGAAAAGGTCAGGGAGCGTGTCGACACTATCATCGCTTTCGTCGGCTCCATCAATCCCAGATGAAGTGCCGCCTCCCTGGGAGCCACAGGGAGAGGAGCCGGCTGGAGGTGATCGATCCAGATCAGCTGGACAACGCCAAGCCACAAGCCAGGTGGCAGCTGGCAACCGACTCCGTTCAGCTGCCGGTGCCGCAACTCAACCCTCTCATTCTGCTCCTAAACAGTCCTATCCGGAGGTCGCGACTTCCTCCAAGACCAACTCCAACAAGAAGTTCAAGAAGTCGCGAGAAGAAACCGAGTTCGACATTGATGAACTTTCTAGGCGGAAGCGGGTTTATCTGGATGACAGCTTCCATGATTACAACACTATTCCTCGGCCGGAGAGCAACGAACGAGATCCGGTCAATGGACATCCAGTCGGAGCTGCATCGCTCGACAACCCCCCTGCCCCTGTGATTCATCCAAACAGTTTGGTTGTGCCCAGCGTCGCATTGACGTCTCCAGTGAGCGCTCAGGCGCCGCCTGACAATATCTTGGCCAACGGAACCGGTCGCAAGAGAAGATATGATGAAGTGGACACGGATGACCTCGAGGATATCACCCCCGAGTCGTCCTCTCCTGGCCCGCTGCTTGTACCACCTCCGCCGGGCGTGGCAAACGCTCACACACGGAGTGCGACCCCAAGAGCTACCAGACTCCAACCGGCACAGAAAACGCGCAAATCTGCCCGGGTCATGGTATCGTAAGTGTCACTCTTTTTTTCTCTATCTGCCCCAATGCAATGCCCCCAAGGGAGTGTTTTGGGGTGGTGGATGGTGTTAAGATAATCCGGAATGCCAGGGCTCCGACGTCAGGCTCCCACCGACACGTTTGGAAAGGCTGCCTCAGTCCTACCGAATCCATCCCATCTCACTTCGATATGCATCTCAGGACATATTGGCTGACCGATCTCTTCTAGGCCCAACAAGCCCAAGAATGGTGGAATCACGGCAGGAATTGCACGTGCGGGGCCAGGGCGTGATGCTGGGCTCGGCAATTTGAATGGAGCAGAATCAAGTGCAGAGGTAGGAAACAAGCCCTGGGCAGCCCAACCCGATTTTCTTCCAATTTTCCACCTTCCACCCAATTCCCCCCCGGCCAACACCAGGCTCTCCCCTTGCCACGATTGGCTCCAGCCCTTCATCCCCCCTTACCACTTGGTCTCCCCCTTCTAATTCCTTCTCATCATTCTTTTGGGCCTTTCCCTTTCCTCGATCCCCGAGTTCCTGCCCACTTTCTGCTGCCCGCTTCCCTTTTGCCTTGGGCTTTCTTGATCCCTTTTTATCCTCAACCTTTTACCTGTCATCGTGATTGATGTTTCAACTATCAATTACTGACTTTATTTTTCAGGACAATGACGAGTTTTGCGCATCGTGCGGTGGCGAAGGGAAGCTTCTTTGTTGTGATGGCTGCACAAATTCCTTCCACCATGCGTGCTTGGAGCCCCCCTTGAACCCGGATGAAGAGGTCGAAGGCGAATGGTTCTGCCCGCGATGTGTTGCTCGGCGGACGAAGCAAGTCCCCCAGCCATCTGGTCTCTTGGGTATGGTTATTCGTCGCCTTGACGACATCATCCCGAAAGCCTATTCACTCCCCTTGGACATTCGCGATTATTTTGAAGGAGTTCGAACGGGAGACGAAGGCGAGTATGAAGAGGTCAGCCTCCCCCGGACCCACAACAACACGGCTAGGATGAACCGAGCTGGTTTCATCGAAGAGCCCAACTACAAGGAGACCCGCGACGGCAAAGGCCACATGATCAGATGCTACCGCTGCAACATGACCGCCAACGGCCGCGACATCATCCCTTGTGACTTCTGTCCGGCGAAATGGCACTTGGACTGTATAGACCCGCCTCTTGCCGTGCCGCCTCGACGCCGCGCAGGTGACAAACCTGGTGCATCGTGGCGTTGTCCTCTCCACGTTGAACACGACTTGGTGGCTGTTGGTCGGCAGAGCGAGAAAGCCCCGGGCGAGCTCGGTCGCGTCCCGCGATTACGCAAGCCAAAGAACGCCGTGCCACTCGACGTCAGCGTGACCCGAGGCTTTAGAAACAATGGAATCATCGAGGTCGACCTAATGAAAGACCAGCCCGAATTCGACAAGACCAAGGAAGTCCAAATGCATGGCAAGATTTACCGAATTCCGGAGATGGGTATTAGATTGGATTTCATCGATCGAGTGAAGAAGAGCTGGTATGAAGATCAATCCTTTCCCAGACTAATGGATGCTCCCAAGAGGATACGAAATCGGAAATATCGCCCTGATGGAGCTGTTCTCCATCATCCGCCCACACAGACGATTGTCAAGATTCGAGAACCCGACTTCTTCACGGGTGCGAATGCTCTGGCCATCACAGAGACGGCCAAAGCAAACGTCGCGTTGCGGAGACGATCAATTCGAGAACAGCAAACTGTGTTGAATCTTGCTGAAATGTCGCAAAAGGGGATTGACGGCTACTCTGGGGATGCGTTGGCCGAGTTGACAAATCAGCTGATCAGCGAAGCTCCCTTTGAAGTGGTAGATGCCGTCGAAAGGACCGAGCTGGATCAACTCCTCGAATTGCAAGAGCTTATCAACAAGAGGCTTGCTTTTTTGGGACACGCTACAAATACTTCACGCTCGACATCTATGGATGCTGGGACCTCCGATGGCAACTTCACTAGCGACGAGATTCCGCCCTCCCAAGATCCAAATATTGATCCGGCTCTACATTGGCTGCCGTTGAACAATCGGCCAATATCATCATCACCAGGGGTCACCATTGAGGATCTGCCAATCGATCCCGCATTGCACACGGCGTCCGTGGCTAATGTTTCAAATCCAAAAATAGTGAATGGCGATACCGTCGAAGTTCACGCAGTAGAGTCAGATGAGGAAGAGGAGATGGAGGAAGCAGAAGAACACGACGGCAATGACGAAGAAGGCGACTCGCCTGCAGTTGACGAAGCCGCAGCCCGCAGGCGAGCTAAAGAGGAAGAAGACGCCCGATGGCTTGCCGCATTCTTTCCGCTGAGGAGTGAGCGTCCCGCAAGCTATTCACCTGTCAACACGGCGGCTCAAGGGTATGGAAATGGGAGCAGCATTGACGGGATGGAGACGAGTCCTTGAATCTGCATTTTCAGTCGAAAGATTCAATGTCTAGACACTCCACCGGCGTCCGCTGACTAGAGGTCTACTTCAGCCGACGTTGTAACGCCAGCACGTGCCCAAACCCGAGACCTAGGCGCGCGGAGGCTGTGTGCAAAAGCCAGAAGCATATCTAGAGTATGGCCAGATGTGAAATTACGATACGGAAAACCTACTGCAGCAGCCAGGACACATCAAAGCGCGTTCAGACGAGGAATTGGGATATAGGATCCTTGTTTGGAGTCCAGTTTTTAGCATTTTCTGCCCGCCGGAGTCGACCAACAGGTCCAATATCAGACCGAGCAAAAGGCAGATGAGAATCGTGATACGTTGACACCAACTTTATCAAAAAGTGAGATTTGAAGCACTGCGCGTGAGATGGGAGGATTTCGTTTCAAGGCAGCACACTGTATTCCAGGTCCTGAACAGAGGCAGGGGTAGGTAGTTGGCGACAGAGGAAAGCGAAGGCGAAAAGAGAGAAAGGTAGTTATTGTCGGTATTTTCAGAATTGGCGGGCGAGGCAGAACTTGTATGTGATGTACAAAGGACTAGGACTGGAATAGGGGGCGAAGCGAAGCGAAAAGCGCCTTGAAATGGACCGAATGAGATGGCTGCTTGAAAGGTGAAAGTGAAGTTTGAACACACACACACACACAGAGAGAGAGAGAGAGCGCGCAAGAGAGAGAGAGCAAGAGAGGTATTCCAATCTTGTTGTTCACGCACGACTTAGCTCACTGGCCTCTAGCAGGGCGAGTTTAACCAAACACTCCCTCCCCTACCCTTTGACTATTATTGTTATTTCTCTCTCTCTCTCTCTTTTGAATCTCATTCTTCCCGATACTCCGTACATATATACATAGCTCTCTCCTTGCTCTCCTTGTATGTATGTTTGTGCCTACATACCCCAGGTAGGTACGTACTTTGGTATTTCACTATATCGCCCCGTCGCCTAGAGAAAGCATGGGGTGGGATGGGAGGGGCTGTGGAATGGGTACGGGTAGGGGGAGGGGGAGCTTGGATATATACACGCACACACACGCGTTGAGGGCGTGTAGCGTACCGGGAGGGAGGGGGAGAGAGCATATCAAAGAAAGGGGGAGGTGGTGTGGGCAGGGTGTAACGAGGACTCTTTACAGCCTCGTGCGATGTATGATACCTAGGTAAGCATAGATCCAGCCTCTGCCCCCTGCGCTACCTCCTACGGCCAATGCCATAGCCAAGGATGATGATGGGCCAGCCTATGCTAATGTAAACAAACACCCAACTCCGCCTGCTTGTTCGCTGCTTGCTGGGTCCTTGTTCTCCGCAATGACAATCCATCGTGTGTTGAACACCGACCAGCCAGCACAATACCCCGCGGGAGTGCACTGCACGGCGTTCGTTGTGACATGTCAACAGCCGTCTCGAATCCTCTCCTGGGTACTGCGAGGTTAGGGCAAGATGGAAAATTAGGCATGAAATAGGAACAACAGCAGGGAACCCTAAAATAGGGTAGGTGCAACGTAGATAGCCCTTGTGAGCGGAAGGAAAGACCGACTGAGGGGGAACTTTGAAATAAGACAATTCTTTGGCATTTGTCTGTCAGTTCCGGCTTGATTCCGCTGGGACCGGCGATGGCTTGGAAATGTCGAGATTTCAATGTGCACGCCAAATTCTCGACCTAGAGAAGAAACGCCCTTCCCTTCGACGCCTCAAGCAAGCCTGCGATCCCAAACTGCAAGTGGTTTTACAATGGAAGTTGCCCGTCGTCTCCTCTCGCACGTACTCCTTGCACGGTTCCCAATTCGCCCTTCGATCGAACGCCATGAATGGCTGATGAGAACCACCCTTGTCCAACGTGGCCGGGAATAGAAGATTGAAAAAAGGATCTCTTAACTCTGCTTTCATCTGCAGCACAGAGATGTCGGTCCAAGTTGGAAAATGGCACAAACTGTCTTGCGTTTTGCCCAGGAAAAGTCTGTGAAGAGCCCATCGGGTCTTTCCATGTCCAAAATAAGTCCAGTGTCTCTCGTACTTGAGAAAAGGCTGCGGGCGTAGGAGCAAGACCTGAGAATGAAAATTGGAAAAATGGTGCTAGTATCCAAAATCTGATTGGCGTAAGGGAAGCTTGGATTGTGATACATCAAACGTATCACGAACCTCGGAACGAAAAAAGGAATCCCCTTGCTCAGTGTCCGAAGCCCGTCCCCGCCATCACAAAATCGTGCACTTCTTGCTGCTCTTTTTTGGGGGGGGTTCTAGCGCTGCCACAATCGCCTCGTCAAACACATCCTTCAGCTTATACTGGGTCAGGGCGCTGCACTCGACGTATTTGACAGCACCGAGCTCCTTGGCCATTCTTTCCCCGTCTTCCTTGCGGACAGGTTGCATTTTCTGCTTTGCCAGTTTTTCCCTGACAGATGGATCATCTCGGAGATCAGTTTGGGTGCCGACAATAAGACAGGGAACTCCAGGACAATGATGGTGGACCTCCGGAAACCATTTTTCTCTTACGTTCTCAAACGAGGCTGGCGATGTGACGGAAAAGCAAACAAGGAAGACATCGGTCTGGGGATATGACAAGGGTCGAAGACGGTCGTAATCCTCCTGCCCGGCTGTATCAAAAAGACCCAGTGTGTACGGTTCATCCCCGATCCTGAACAGGCCCCCTGGTCAGCTCACGTGCTCAGGACAAAATTGACGGGTGTGAAACGGAACACCACCATGCGAGTGAGATGATAAAAAAAAACAAAGGTTGATGGAGGACACAAATAACACAAACGCATTTCGGGAGAAAACAAATCCAAGCCATGCGATCGCCCGAGATTCAAAGGCAGGGCTGCACTCTGAAAAAGGATCGGTAGATCGAACTCACATCACCGTTACGGCATAGTTGTCGAAGACTGTAGGAACATATTCGGAGGGGAATTTGTTCGTGGTGTAAGAGATCAACAAGCATGTCTTGCCAACTGCACCGTCACCGACAACCACACATCTGGGTGGGAACATCAGCCAGGAAGTCTCACTCAGCCGTGACCAGTCAGACTCACTTAATCGTGGCAACAACCATTCCGTTCTCGTCTATCTCAAAGATGTCGTCCTCAAGGCGTCGAATGCGGTTTGGACTAGTGGGTCTAAGTGCGCGCACTTTTAGTCTCCGTGTCGCCAGCGCAAGATCCTTCAGAAAGGACATCATTTTGGCAAACTTACCAGAGAAAGGAGGGGACGAAAGGGTAACGATCGTGTGAGAGGGGGTTTAAACAGACGGTGTTTGGTGAGGCTCAAAGTGGCACTTCACTTTTCTGCCTGGGATATGAGGGCGGTAAGGGAGGCAGAGTTCCAATGAGGAATGACGGTCACCAAAATCGGCGTGGATGTGATATTGAGTGTATTTTAGGAAGATCAAGACTGTCATTTTCAATCAGCTCATGTTATTCCATCTCTTTTCTCCACCGAGTCGAGGGCTCACAAAGGAGGAAGCGAAGGGCAGGTCGAAGGTAGGCGTGAGCAGAGAGAACAGGGCGGTCAACGGCCCTTAGCGATCAGGATCGAAGAGGAAGATTGACCAGCAAGAGAAGGGATGGGTATGTTCAAGAAACAGAAGATCCTGAAAGAAGCCTAGTCTTCAGTAAGAGAGCTGTGACATTTACCGGAAATGACAAGTTGAGAGAGGAGCGCGCGAGGATGGAATGGATACGGAGACAAGGTTTGGCAAGGAGACGTGATGGATGGATGGACGAGGTGGTCGGAGGTGTCGACGTGGAATGAGACGCAGATATGGAGAACGCAGCTTGCTACGATAGACGAGCGAGGGAGGGAGGGAAATAAACGGGGAAGGGGAATGGGGGCCGAGGCCCTGCGATTAGGCTGTGAAGTTGGGTGATTTTGGGGCGGAGCAGCCTTTCTTTGGGCGCCGTTCAGGCTGGAAGCCGCCCGCCGTCCGGGCTCTAGGGCAGAAGCAGGCCCCTAGCTGCCCCCGCAGCCGTAGCTGGCAGCCCTAGTCGGCAGCCTCAATGCGCACCTGCTTTAACTAGGCCGCACCGAGTAGCGGGTGGTTTCTTCACTGCAGCCAACTCACTCCTTCGGCACTCTCATCAAACTCAAGATTGCTTGCAGCTCTCACCTGTGCCGGAAAAAGAAAAGGCACGCCTATCTTTTCTCGACTCCCACAACATTCAAGCCTTGGTGCGATGCTCGATCAGGCAAGGCTCGAAACGCGAAACTCTTGCGCGAAAAATAAACCCCCGACCTGGCGATACGAGCCTGTCGTCGGACTCGGACGACGAGGTTCAGCTTGGCGGCCCAACAGGCATTCGAGCACGCAATCCATGGGCTTTTGAGCACGAAGAGCCCGAGTCCTGTTGGTCCTTGTACGGAGTACGGAGCACACAAGCTGCCCTGGCTTATCGCTTGCATGAGGTCGACGGTTCCTACTGGTGGCCTTCTCGAACGCAAGTCACACGAGTGGTACATAACCTCTCCCGTGTCGGCCTAGGTAGGACGCGTCAAATAGCTGGGCGCTGCTCCACCAACCTGCTTTTTGACAGCTTGACTGACCTCACGCATCTCTTCTCTGGAATTCACGGCTTGAATCAGTGCTTGTCCATCCATCGTATTGCTATCACGTACACTACAATGTTGCAGAAGCGCGTGCCATACTGACTACCTTTGACCCGTCACGGTGCTGCTTCATGCCCTTTCATGCCTGGAGCCAGGCCACCCTTCGTTGCGAGACCGATATATGTACATTTCTGGTAACACGGCTGGAGGGAGTGGCAATGTCCAAGTGTCGTCGTTTTTGAGTGCCCGAATCCCGTCAGAAAAGTCAAAGGATGCAGCCAAAAAGACGCATCAGAAGGCGCGCATTTTGATCCACGCCATAATCCCACACTATTAGAACGGAGATATTGCAAAACAAATCGCCAGTAAAACCCTCATTCAAAAGCACAGGTGCAATTCCAGATCCCTCAGACCGGTACGGCTCAAAATCCCACTAATTAGTATTCGTTTATTTTGCCCCAATTTCCTCCTCAGCCCAGCCGGAGAGTCCTCCACGGCTATCGCTCGTAAGTCCCAGTCCATTAAACCCACTGGTCCCGAAGCCAGTGCCAAAAACCGATCCAAACCCACCAAAGCTGCCCTGTGGCGCATGCCCACCAAAGCCCCGCGACGACGACGGACCTGGTTGTCCAGACTGCTGGCCGCCAAAGAGCTCTTGCGAGAACGCTGGGAGCGATACTGCTCGAGAATGGGCGCTCCTGCTCGCCCCCAGTCCAGTGTTCGTAGGCGCCAGGAGCCCTCCAACAGTGGTGGACGCCCCATTGCTCAAAGAGCTCGAACCGAACCCGCCGCTGATGCTGCTCTGCCGAGGAATGTGGGACGAAGCTGGTATGTCCAATCCGCTGTGCCCGTTCGGCATCTCACCGTACAGTGCTGCCTGTTGATTTGCCAAAGCTTGATTCTGTTGCTGCTGGAGCTGGGCAAACGTCAAAGAGTCATCCCGCAAATCCTGTTCAGCTTGAGCTTGCTGTTGTGACACATGTGACAGATACATTGTCAAGGGATTGTTGCTGCCTGCATTCAGAATGGCTGACGGTGTTGGCGCAGTCATGTTTGGTTGACGAGGGGCGACTTGAGACTGCGGTCCCAACGAAGCCTTCGGACCTGTTGGAATAGTTGACCTCGTGGGGCTAGAGCCCGACTGCGAGACAGCATGGTCAAATCCGTTCATCGCAGCTGGAGAACCAGCGCTGTCAAGGGAACTCTGGAGACGCGGTTGACTGCCATTGACATTGTTCAGGTTCTGACGTGGAGGATTGCCGCACCGATCTTTGCCAAAGTTGATCTTGAATCGCTTGTATTCTTCACGTTGACGGACAGCTTCAATAGCCTTGATGGCATTGGCAATATTGGTGAAGTTGACAAAGGCACAGCTTTTCTCCCGCAGAGTGTTCACCAACTCGATTTCGCCATATTCGGAAAAGTCTTGTCGTAGTCGCTCTTCGCTCCAGCTCTCGTCAAGATTACCGATATACACGTTCCGAGAGGCTCCTCCGCTCACAGCCAAAGCAATGGCGGGTGGGAGAGCTCCTGAGTGTTTTCCCCAGCCGATCTTCAAGCGCCGATTGTGAATCATTAGCCCCTGAAGATTGCTCAGTGCATAGAAAGACGCCGCAGACGTAGGGTCGATGAACGTGACAAAGCAAATATGCTTGTCCGGGATATATCGGATGTGGTGGAGTAGCCCTCCGCGGACAACATTGCAAATCTCCTCGATAGTGGTCTCAGGGTGAATGTTTCCAAGATAGACGGTTCGGTTTCCAAGATTATTGACACCGCCTGCGGTAGTAGCTACAGCAGCTGCCGCTACCGACTGTTGTGCAAGGGCATTGGATATTAAATCGCGGTCGGCGCCGTTGAGAACATGGGCATAACCAGGAGCGATACCCAGGTATTGTGCTGCATTCTGTTGCTGCGTCTTGGAAACGTAGGCACACCTGTCCTTGCCGTAATAGACCCGACGGGGAGGGCCCCATTTGGGATCTTGTGGGAGCTGAGCCACGGCCTTGACGGCATTGCTAATGGAGAGGAAATGGACAAAACCGATTGCTTTCTCGCGAACCATTTTGATGGTATCAATGGGCCCAAACTTGCCCAAGTCCTCTCGAATCTCATGTTCAGTGATGTCCTCGGGAAGGTTGCCCAGATAGACATTCCTCGAGGCACCCGATTGTTGCACAGCGAGAGCCACAGAAGTAGGCACCTGGGACGGCTTCCCCCAACCAATCTTGATGTCGTGGCCCTTGATTGACAACTTTTTCAGGATGGCATCCGAATGAAAGTGGGTCGCGGAGCTGCTATCTAGGAACGAAATAAACGCACAGTTTTTTTCGGGTAATAGCCTCACGGATTCGATTTGCCCACTCCTAACGTGGCTCAAGATCTCCTCAGCAGAAGTATCCGCTGGAATATTTCCCAAGTAGACTGTGCGGCTCGTGCCAGTCATCCATGAATTGCCCATGCCCACCATGGGTTGGTAATGTCCGAATGCTGCACCGCCCAGGCCACTGAATCCGGTGGGGGATTGTGCCGTATAGCTTTCGGGCGACATGACGGTCTGATACGCCTGCGGCGAGAGCGGGTTGGCATTGTGCTGGGTAGGACTGGCCAGCTGCGCCTGAACATGTTGATTTTGTTGATACTGCTGGGTTTGTGCATGAAGAGCATTTGTTCCCGGAGCAAAACGATTGAAGGTCGGAAACTGCGGAGAAGCAAAGGAACCAGGAGAACCTGGCTGAAAGGGGCTGCCCAGCAAGAGCTGAGAAGGCAACAAGGGCGTGAAATTCATATCAAACGCTGTAGCTGGTGTCTGCTCGTTCATATTATAACTATGTTGTTGGTCTTTGGTAGCCGTAGCTATCGAAGGAACGGTAGGCTTTCTCAGGTTGCGATCGGCGAATGGAGGATAGCTTGTGTGGTTCGAATTGTACGCGCCATGACTGAAGCCTGTATTATCGGTCCCGAATTTTGAAGAAGCGAATCGGCTGCCATATCCCCCAAACACGTCCTGACTCTGCATTGCAGCAAGCATATGGGACTATTGATGGACGGTGTCCTCAGGACCAGGTCCAAGGACAACTGGCACTCGTCTTTCTTGGTTGTGGGAGAAGAAAATGTTGAAAGAAGCACGAATCTGGCCGTCGAAGCACTGTTTCGAGCTTGCAAGAGGAACGACTGACCGCAGGCTATGTCTGAAGATGCGGAGAGGACTTTGCCCTCGGGACGTAGAGACTGTACAAAAACGAAGGGGTTGGTTGAATATGGACTGGTACGAATGAACTCTATAAGGAAAAGATCGAAATCAAGATCGAGTCAGAGGAATGGAACGAGTGAATGAAGGGAACAAAATGATGGGAATAGAAGAGAAGACGGGTCGAGACGAGGAGGTAGAGAACGAAGAGAGTCGGGCCAAAAACAAGGAGGAGCAACGGTGAACAAGCAGAAGAATGAGGGAAACAGCTCAGAAACGGAAGCAATCAATGGACCGGGGGGGTCTAGAGTCTAGGAAAGTGCCAAATTGAAATGGGTGGCTAGGGAAGGGGATCAGAAATAAGGGGGAAAGTACCCGGAGAAAGGGACCAGGCACGCGGGAGTGGACTCCAAACCGGACAATTGCAAGACAAACTGCGGCCAAGTGCCCAATCCAATGCGCTCGCGGTGGAGGCCAGCAGCATTCCATTCAAGCCCACACCCCATAGCCACCGTCTTGACACAGGATTGCAAGCCGGGAGGCACTTACTGACCCAGGAGAATCTCAACTTTGCTTTGTTCCGGCTGCCAGTGGATATGTTTTCGATGAATCTGATACAGGAGAAAACCGATTTAAGGTTTCCAACGTGTGGCTGCAAGATGATGGGACGGGGATGATCAATCTGCAAGCTGATGCAGGTAAGGCGGCGCTATGAACAGTTGGGTTAGACGATAGATTGCTTTTATGGAGAAAGGCGGTAGGGGCTGGGGGGCTTGGAAAAGGGCCAATTGAAGCCATGCTTTGGGATGACAGCCAGGTCCGCCCATTCCAGTAACAAATCGAACACGGGAAGAGAGACTTGAAGCCTGCCTGGAACAAGCGTATCGTAAGCTTTCATGCCAGAGTTTGTCAGTCTTGCGTCGATCAATGCGGAGTGCTGTCCACCACGTCGGGAGGGGGGGGGAGGACTCAATCTGAAAGCGAAACATGGCTATGACAGGTCGAAGCCGGACATGTTCGTGCACGGCGTTGTGGCGCTGAGTTTTGATTGCCCCCTTCAAACACTGAGGTTGATTGGTTGTCGATTCTGGTCGCGCTTACCAGACAAACCGAGGGCGCCCCGTGTCCTCTGTCGTAGCCAGCGACGCCCGCAGGATGGTCGACTTGATCATCATGGATATGTTGTACAAGTTCCCGAGGGGCGCAGGGGAGGGTTGCTCAAAATCCCAGCCACAGTCGGGACGATGATAGTGTGGTACAAGGGAGCTGCTTGAGGCGTTTGTGGCAGAAGAGAGGGAAGAGGGAAGGAAACTGCGGCTTCCGGATCCATTTTAGCTTCTTATGCTTTGCGCCAAGCGCGCTAGCCGCCACTTTCCGAAACCTTAAATTTTACTCTATCCGATAAGCCACCGTTGACTCATGCAGCCCTTTATTTCAGGATTTTTTGATCTCACTCGTCACAGACCCTCAACGACAGCAGTCATGGACACGGACACTTTCTACGTCGACGAGGACGTCGGTCGCGACGATGACTCTGCCACCGGCTCTGAAGCCGCTCCCTACAAATCTCTCCTCTTCGCCATGGTCCAGCACCCGAAAGCGACATATAAAACTAGAAAGTCAGAAACGGCCCCTGCCGACGCAAGTGCTGATCCAGCCTCGCGGCTAGAGTGGAAACCGGCAGCAAAATCTGCTCTGAAGAAAGCCACCAACCTTTACGAGCAGCATCGAAAGAAACAGGCAAAGGCAGCCGAATTGGCCATTCGGGAACAGCAAGAAGCCGAGAGACGAAAGCGAGTGCTCGAAGAGGCCAAGAAAGTGGTCATCGAAGAAGATCCAAGCTTGCCGGCACCCGTCAAGATCAAGCTCAACACCGTCGATCCTGCCAAAATCAAGCTAGGTACAGCAGACTCCAAAGGCACCCGTGTCCGAGTTGTAGGTCGAGTTCACCATCTACGATCGCAGAAGGACATCATCTTCATCACCCTCAAAGATGGCAAGGGTCTGATGCAATGTCTATTCTCGGGCAACTTGATCAAGACCTACGCAGCCATGACTCTGACTCTCGAGACCTCGCTCGAAATCCGGGGTGAATTGAAGTCGCTTCCTCCGGGAGCCCACGCCCCTCTCGATCGCGAGCTCCATGCTGATTTCTTTACCGTGATCGGAACGGCCGTCGGTGACAAAGAAGCCATTACCAATAAAGTGCAAGAAGATGGCGACGTCCAGAAGCTGCTCGATAACCGCCATCTCACACTGCGTGGAGATATCTCGTCAAGCGTCATGAAAGTCCGGGCAGCCGTCGAAATGGCCTTTATCAAGACGTACGAGGAAGTGGAATTTACAAAAGTATCCCCTCCAGCTATGGTTCAAACGCAAGTCGAGGGTGGTGCCACTCTCTTTGAATTCAACTACTACGGCGAAAAGGCTTACCTCACCCAATCCTCCCAACTGTACCTGGAAACCTGTCTTCCTGGCCTCGGGGACGTGTATTGCATCGAAAAGTCCTTCCGCGCCGAGAAATCCCTCACGCGTCGCCATCTGAGCGAGTATACCCATGTGGAAGCTGAACTCGACTTCATTACCTTCGATGACCTGCTCAACCACATTGAGCACATGGTCTGCAGGGTCATTGAAATCACTCTCTCGGACCCCGTTGTCGCCAAATACATCTACGACCTCAACCCAGACTTCAAGCCCCCCTCGCGCCCCTTCAAGCGCATGAAGTACTCGGAAGCCATTACCTGGCTGGTCGAGCACGAGATCCCCAACGAAGAGGGCAAACCGCACACCTTTGGCGACGACATCGCCGAAGCCGCCGAGCGGAGAATGACAGATATCCTCAACGTGCCCATCTTCCTGACCCACTTCCCCACCGAGATCAAGGCCTTTTACATGCAAAAGGACCCGTCGGACCCGCGCGTCACCGAGAGCGTCGACGTCCTCATGCCCGGCGTCGGCGAGATCGTCGGTGGCAGTATGAGGATCTGGGACTACGAGGAGCTGATCGCCGCGTACAAGCGCGAGGGCATCGACCCCGAACCTTACTACTGGTACACCGACCAGCGGCGCTACGGTACCACTCCACACGGCGGCTACGGCTTAGGCCTCGAGCGCTTTCTAGCCTGGATGTGTGGCCGCTGGACCGTCAGGGAGTGTTGTCTCTACCCGAGGTTTGCCTATCGTTGCAAGCCATAGTTGTTGTCGAGTACGACGACCCCCATACACCTGAAAGTGCTAAAGTAGAGTTTTTAGAATGATCGACGAGGTATGATTCTGCAGACCGGAGGGTGGTGTGGAAATATGTGCATCACGGCGGGCGGCAAACGGAATACATGACTCCGATGGGTGATAGAACAACTGGTCGTGGATTGTTTTTGTCAGAGAGACGGATAGACCAAGACACACGAGGATTTTCTTGCTTAACATTCGTTCAACATTTTCCATTGACTCCGCAAAATGCCCAGTCTTGAGCTAGCTAATGACCATGAGCCCGCCATCGTCCCCAATTATTCCTACAGGTATTTCTTAGGCATCGTACTCTTGCGCCATTTATACCACACAAACGCACCAATGCAACATGTCTGGAACGCCATGAAACTGTACAAAATGAATCCAATCCTGGGCGTATGCGCAATGACGTACTCCCTTAGCCTTTCTGGCACATGTTCCGTCACGCCCACATGGGTCTGCGCGATTTGCTCACTCAATTTCGCAAACTGCGTCCGGTGGTCACTGCTCTTCAACTCTTTCTCCAGAGATGACACCATGCGGTCGAGGTTGGCCATGCGGTTATCAAGGCTCAGAATGGACTGGGAATTTGGCATGCGGGCGAGGATTTCGGCGTGTCGAGACTCCAAAGTGGAAGACACGCGTTGGAGTTCAGCGAAGAGGTTCTGGATGGATTTGGAGATGAGGTTGAGGCGGTTGTGGAGGTTGGCGAATTGGGTTTCTGCCGTAGTGTAATAGGAGGCGGGATGGTCTTCCATTTGCATCATCCCTTGGCCTTGATTTTGATTTTGCGAAAATGTTTGTTGGTTCGTGCCTTGCTGAGATGGTGGTGTAGTGATGGATGACAGAGTGAATGCAAACACTTCGAAGGAGTCGGGAGGATCTGCTGATGCTGCGGTCATCCCAAACCCGTAATCTGATGGGAGTGTGATCTTCGCCGTGGTGAAGCACATTTTGTCGTCGACACGGATTTCAAGACCTCCGGCGCGGGTGTGTCTCACATTGATATGAGACGGTCGTCCGAGATTGCGGTAGACGTAGTCGCAGTGGCCAAATGCTAGGCTGTCAACATTGGGGTGGTTCCTGTAATCGACCGTGCCATCATTGAGGAATCCTCGAATCTTTTGTATTCCTCCTACTGTATCGACCACAATTGCAAGTCCTTCCCAATTCCCCACGGTGTATATGCTTGACGTGCTCACAGTCTTATCTCCGTTGGCGACGTACCACAGCTGCAAATTTCCGCTGCCTCTATCCGCAGCGCTTGCTCTGAATTTGAAGTCCACAGCCCAGTCCTGCAATGAGTTCTTCTGTTCCGTCCACAGAGCCCCCCGCTTGTGGCCGCCATAGGGAGGTGTAAGGATGACTTTGTCCGATAGGAGTTGAGGAACGTGTCCTTCACCGAGCATGGCCCAACCAGGAATGGCAAAGGAATTGGGCGAGATGGTTTGTTTGTGTCCGAAGGACATTTCATCCACGACATTTTGAGCGAGTGAGGTCGTTACCCAGAGGAGGGAGAGCAGCAACGAAGGAAGACTGATCCTCATGGCGGTTGCTATGCAAGGCTTCACAAGGGTCAATCTTGCGAAACTAATCGTCTATGACAGAGGTTTACTTACACACAGAAGGCTTGTGTGGAAGACACAACGCCCGTTCAGGAGCCAGATCTTTTAGTGTTTGACATCCAAGATTTAAATATTGATACAGTGGCGAAGGTGACGCAGACGACAATAACACAGTAGCGAACTTCTCGCGCGAGGTCAAGAGTGACTGGAGATGGCTCAACAAGATGTCGCACGTTTAAATTCTGAAACACAACATGATGCTTGAATCCCTCCAATGCGTCCATGAAAATAAGATAGTTAAAGGGAATAAGAGAAGTGGCCTTTGGCTCGCGGGCGAGGTGTCATGACATGTTGACCCATGGTATCTGGCACCAGTTTGGAGGCACCCTTTGGGCAGTTGGACACTTTTGCGACTTCTCGCCGCATGCTCTTTGATGCTCCGTACTAAAGGGTTGCTTTGTGCGGCGGAGCATTTGTGAAATTGCGTAGCAACTACCGAGTACTACTCCTTACACATCACCCCGTAGTGTACAAATCCTACGCAGCACTGAATCTCTTTTTGCAGTTTCAGCCCTAGCCAGGCACTTCACCACAATGGCGTCTGCGGTTTCGACAACCCTAAGTCGATTTCGCGACAATACGCCTATCATCCCCGTAAGTATCCCAACCAATTGGCCATCAGCAATATCACGCGGTTAACACTCCTCCAAAGGAGCGGAGGCCAAAGGCAAAAAAGGTCAGCCATGATCAATGGCCTTCGTTGCTCCAGACAGCCATTGTGGCGACCGCTCTAAAGATTCTGTTGTTCCCGGCATACAGGTCAACAGATTTTGAAGTTCATCGGAATTGGCTTGCCATCACGCATTCCTTGCCCGTTAAGAAGTGGTACTACGAGGTCAGTAGAACTCGATCTTGGCTGTCGAAGCCTCCATTCTTGCCTAACGCTCTGTACCAGGCTACATCGGAGTGGACATTGGACTATCCACCGGCATTTGCGCTGTTTGAATGGCTTCTTTCCCAGCCCGCTAGCCTGATCGACGCTGGAATGGTGAAAATCCAAAACCTGAATTATGATTCCTGGGCCACCATATGCTTCCAGCGAAGTTCTGTCATCATCACGGAGCTGCTGCTCGTCTACGCTTTGCACAAGTATGTTTTGAGACTCGGCCATGAGCGAACACTGCTGATTTTAAAGGTACATGGATTCCTCCCCTGCTCCAACACGCCGCCAAAGTCATGCTGTGGCCCTGTCGATCCTGCTCTCCCCTGGATTCTTAATCATCGACCATATCCATTTCCAGTACAATGGCTTCCTCTATGGCATCTTGATTCTGTCCGTCGTCTTTGCGCGGAAGGAGTCGACGTTGCTTTTGAGTGGCATTCTGTTCGCCTTGCTTTTATGCTTCAAGCACATCTACCTCTACCTGGCACCCGCCTATTTTGTCTACCTCCTCCGGACCTATTGTCTAAATCCGAAGAATGTGTTTCAACCACAATTTGCAAACACATTCAAACTCGGAACTAGCATTATTGGCATATTTGGAGTCGCGTTCGGTCCTTTCGTGGCCTGGGGTCAGCTTGACCAACTGAGAAGCCGACTGTTTCCATTTGCGCGAGGTCTTTGTCATGCATACTGGGCACCGAATGTCTGGGCGACTTACTCATTCTTGGACCGGGTGCTCATACTGGGTGCTCCTTACCTTGGCCTCCACGTTGACCAAAGTGCTGTGAACAGCGTGACCCGGGGCTTGGTCGGAGACACTTCGTTTGCCGTTCTACCGGAAATCACGCCCAGACAGTGTTTCGGACTTACATTGACCTTCCAGACCATCGCGTTGACCAAGCTGTGGCTTGCACCCAGTTGGGAATCTTTTGTTGGCGCTCTCACGCTCTGCGGATACGCGTCCTTCTTATTTGGCTGGCATGTCCACGAGAAGGCGATTCTGCTGGTCATCATTCCCTTCAGTCTGTTAGCCGTCAAGGACCGGTCATATCTGGCGAGCTTCCGCCCTTTGGCAGTGGCTGGGCACGTGTCTCTATTTCCGCTTCTCTTTACCGCCGCTGAGTTCCCGGTTAAGGTGGCGTATACGATAACTTGGCTGATGATTTTCCTCTACACCTTTGGGCAATTAGCGCCAGCGCCCACGCGGAGGAGAGTCTTCTTGTTGGATCGTTTTGCTCTGCTTTACATTGCAGTATCGGTGCCCTTGATGGCGTATTGTTCATTGCTACACCGGGTTATGTTTGGGGGAAGATATGAATTTTTGCCTTTGATGTTCATAAGCACGTACTCGGCAATCGGAGTGCTGGGCTCGTGGCTAGGATTCATGGTCTGCTATTTGTCGTGAACGTGATGTTGTGCAAGTCGTTATATAGAGGCGCCCGCAAAGATGCTGGAATGTGTGTACGAATAACCGTTCTACTAGCGGCTTGGGAAAAGTAGGATAAGACTGTCGTGAGTTGCCTAGGATGGAGAGCTATGAAACTCTGAAAAAGTGTGGTTCTTCTGGATCCTTGTTTGGCTGCCCAATATCACACCGTTTCAGTACCTCCGTGAGACCACGGACGGAGCGTTCCGGGCATCATAGCCGTGGTCGATAGCAGAAACGGCAGGCATGGATGGCGGCTAGGGGGGTTCCCAAGGCTGATAATGGGCCGGCGGAAGTTGGATATTGCGCGCACAGGGTCATGGATGGTTTCATTAGACTCAGATCAACAGCCGGAGACGAACAAGTACAATTATGGCCATGGAACGACCAGAGGGAGAAGGTTGACAAGTGCCCATGGCTAGGCAAGGGAGGCAAGTGGACGATGATTGGCTGCGACGAGGAGGCCGCTCGGCGCACTTTCCGCCGATCCCATGTGGCCAATTCGGGCAGGGACGCGCCTTGTGCTCCGTAATAGTGGTGGCATGCCGCTGTAGTGGCTGCTTGCTCTACCTACCTAGGCACCTAATACCGACTTGGGCACTCTCCTACCTACTCTATTCGCACCTATTCCGGTATTAATACTGCCTGTAGCCACTACTGCTCTGTATTCAAGGCTCGGCTTGAGGCTTGCGGCTCCACCATGCGCAACAGCAAGCCACGCATCCCGCCCACTCCTCAGGACTCTCTCTTCCCTCTGCACAGTGCACACACTAGTCCCCGTCCGCCTTCCTGGGCATTTCGCATTGTCTTTTGTCTTTTCTCTCCCTCCACTTCTCCTCCGCCATGTTGACCTCTTTGTCCTCGACTCTTTGTCCTCCTGCGCCCACCACCAAACAACTCCCTCTGCATACACCATCACCACCCTCCCCCATTCCCCTCGCATTTGGATATTCCCCCTCCATAAACGCGTTTACCTCGCCGAATGTACGTATATTACCCTTCGCAGGAATCCTACGACCACGCTCGGCACCTCTCTGTCAGCCCTCAACACGCCCAGATGCTCACCAAATCTACAACTTTAGGTCGCGGTCCTCCTGAAATAACTTCCTTGCGGCGCTCCCCTTCCCACTTCGCCTCCCCGCCGGCCGCATTGCGCGAGTTCGTTCCAACCGCCGCCGGGCAGGATGGTCCTGTTCAAGAGGAAACCCGTTCGCTACGTCCCGCATCCCCACATTGACGACCAGGAATCGGATGTCTGGGTCATCTCAGAGTCCAACGAAGTATTTACTTCTTACGATGCATACCTCGAGCGCATGGACTTTTTCAAGTCCAAGAAATTCACCTGCGAAGTATCAGGACGTTCCGGTCTGACATTCTTTGACGCCCTGAGGAGCGAGCTGGAGGGGTCACGGGAGATTGACGAGGCCTTTCCTCAGGCTCTGCGGGAACCTGTCCTGCGCCGAGTCCAGTTTTCCACGACTTCTCGCATCGACAACTTGGTCGAGGAGGTCTACGCCGATTTCAAGAATGACTTCTATCCGGGTGAACTGGTTACCGTGATCCTGGACGACGCATCCCGGTTGAACGGGCGAGTGCGGGACAAAGCCAAGTTTGCAGAGGTGAGGGCGTCAGACGGTTCCGTGGCAAGAGAAGCTTTCTCCCGATATTTTGTGCGGCTCATTGATCGTCCAGACGAAGAGGCCCTGGTCGACGACAACCACATTGTTAGAGATCGCAAGGTCTTCACAAAACAGATGCTCCGCTCCTTTATCAAGAACACCGTGACCCGGGAAGGTTGGAATGGCGCCCCATGGATCGTCAAGCCCGAAATTGCCGAGCGATTTCGCATTGACACCAACGTCCCTCCTCATCTTCAGTATGGCCATAAGATTGCGGCAAAGAAGGCGGAGAAGAAGCAGAATGCGGAGCAAGGAGAGGGTATGTTTGGAATCTGGCAACCTCATAAGCTACCCGAGCTGAAGCCTGCTCCCAAAGGACGCAAGAACCACCATCAAACGTCGCAGCACCAAGTACAGCAGATCGAAGTGCGGATTCCTCTACCCTACCACGAGAACTATCCACCACAATCCATGCCCGATCCGGGCTTACTACCACGATCTTGGGACCATATGCACCCTCCTCCACCTCCTCAAGACTTCGCCCACTACTATCATGGATACCCGCAATATATCCCGCCAAACGGTCACTACTATCCTCCGCCGCCACCTGATGAGCAGATGCCTGCCAAACAAATCATTCAACCTCCCCCGCTTCCTCCGCCAATCAAATATCCAATTGATGATCTTGATGTTGAACCTGTCCGAGACGGTACGCATCGACCGACGCTGAAGTTCGTCACCAAAGAGCAGTGTACCAACCCGAAATCGGCGACTCACGTCATCCCTGGCCTCAAGTCTGAAACTGTCGGTCTCTTGCTGGAGACCTGGAATACTCTGAATGTGTATTGCCAAGTTCTCAAACTAGATTCGTTCACCTTTGATGATTTCGTGGAAGCCATGATGTTCTCCTCGCATGAGGTTGATTGTGAGTTGTTTGTCGAGATACACTGCGCGGTCCTCAAGCAGCTGGTGCACTCCGAAAATGATGATGGTGGGGCCATTCAAATCTCGCTACCAGATCTGCCCGATCCAGATGAAGATGAAGATGAAGAAGAGGAACAGGAAAGCAAACTGCCAACACCGACTCCCGAGCCTGAGTACCCCGCGAAACGAACACGCAGCAGCCTCCACAAGGTTCAATTTGCTGAGCCGGAACCTGAGCCGGAAGAACCCGAACCTATGGTTACTCATCGAGCAGCCGAGATGTTCGGAGATTATGGCTGGATTGAGAGACTACGAAAACGTGACCTAAGATATGGCGGCTGGGAATTGGTCATGGTTGGGTTGCTGCATCAGCTTGCTGGCAGACCGCGACTCACGGATCTGTGCAACAAGATTCTTTCTCATCTCGCTCCTCTCAATGCTGAACCGACAATAGAAACGGCCAGGATTCAGTACTCGACCATGGACATCAACCTGCGCGCGGAGGCTCTGCAAATCATATGCCAGTTATTTCTCGAGACCAAGACCGTCAAAAATTTCTTGGAGGAGATGAGTAACACCATGACCCATTACCGCAAAATCAAGATTGAGCACCAACGAGCTCGGAAGGATGCTTTGGCCAAGCTTAAGGAGCTTCAAATTGAGCGGAGACTGTTGGCACCAGAGCCTGAGAAATCCCCTACTCCGATGCCTGAACTCGAAGAAGCCATTGAGGTGGAGAAAGCCGAAGATGGTGATGTTTCGATTCCCGATTCAGAAGACGAAGAACCCGTCGTGACCCGATCTTTACGGTGGGGTAGTTCCCGAGCTGCAGAGCGTAAGCGAAAACGTGAAGAAGAGCAAGAGCGCAAGGAGAAAGCAGCGGAGGCCAAACAGAATAAGGGAAGCAAGGAGTACCAAAAAGTGCTCAAGCAGATCGAAAAGGAGCGCGACCGCATTGAACAGGCAGAAGAGCAGATTCTCATTGTCGACGGAGACCTTCGCGAAGCAGATTGTCCTCGGACGCGGGTTCTCGGGAAAGATCGTTTCTGCAACCGATATTGGTGGTTCGAGAGGAATGCCATGCCGCACGGGGGCTTGCCTGACAGCTCGACGGCGGATGCGGAGTATGCCAACGGTCGAATCTGGGTGCAAGGACCCGACGATATGGAGCGTGAGGGTTTCGTTGAGGTTAGCGAGCCGGACAGGCAGGCTTACTATCGACGATTCCAAATGACTCCAGCTGAACGTAAGAAAATGGAAGAAGGTTCCACGAACTTGGACTCGGCGAAGGAATGGGGTTTCTACGACACCCCAGAAGAGCTTGACATGCTTATCGGATGGCTAGACTCCCGCGGGATTCGAGAACTCAAGCTCAAAAAAGAACTCAACTCGCAGCGCGAGACTATCATCAAGCATATGGAGAAGCGAGCCGCGTATCTTGCACCGCGAGAGAAATCCGAAGAGCCGCCAACGAGGATGTCCACGAGGACCAAGGCGAACTTCAGCGACAAGACACATCGATGTCTCAAGTGGAAGAACTCTACCGCTTTGGCCGAACTGGGTCATCGCCATATCGATCCTACCCCCAAACCAAGAGGTAGAGGAAGGAAGAATATCATATATGAGGAACCACAAACAAGATCGAGTGCACCAGCTCCACCGGCTCCTTTGAACCGTCAGGGCAAGCCGGTAACAAGGCAGGGAACAAGGTACAACTTTTGAAGGGGGTTGGTGTCTGTCTGCCAAAATATGCATTACAGGATGCAAAAATCGTGGTGTTTGTGGTGGTTAGACATAACGGGGGGGATGGGGATTGCATCGACTCTAATTCTACTCTTCACAAGAGCTATTTTTGACCGCATTTATGTTGGGGATTTCTGTCTGTTCAAAGTTTTGCGAGGCGCAAACCACTATGGCTGTGGGCTCGTTCGAGGTGGATTGTATCGACTGGGTTGGGCGGTTTGGATGCCTGAGCATTACAACGTTGCGAGAACTGATGAGAAATGAATGCATGAAAACGGCCGGTGGGCAGATCTTTCTCTCCGACTCGAATTTATCGCCCAGAAGACAAAAAAGAGACGCATGGTTTCCCAAAGAGCTATCCGGGACTAGAGAGGAGTTTTTGTCACCATGTAGCATGGATTGATGTTGCATTCATAGATGCGAAGGATAGAATCATGGCTGTGAAAACAGAATAGGCAGCCTGTGTTAAACAACGAGCTCGAGCTGGAGCTGGAGCTGGAGCTGTAGGTGTTTTCCTTGTGGGGGGCGAGAAGAGAGACGAGTGTGCTGTACCGGTGAGGTCCTTTGAGGGAATCATACATACTTGGCAATGAAGAAGACCTATCTATACACTTCGAGACCTTTGAGAGTACCTAGGCATCGTAATGCCCGCGGTCCTTCCTCACAGAAGTTGATTCAGGCATGCCCCGTGCTATGGCCGTGGTGAAGGAGTGCAAACATGTAGAAGGAGCCAGCCAGAGGAATCAGAACACCATGGGGGAGGATATCAGCGTCGGAGAGAGGATGTTGTACTAGGTTCATTAGACCACAGAGGAGACAGACATATTGATTGGCAGGGGCGAAGATGGCAAATGAGAAATTATTCGCATGGATCGTAGGTAGGTAGGTAGGTAGGTAGGTAGGCAGGTACGGCTAGCGGCAGTGAGTTCAAGTACCAAGTACCAGGGACGGAGTATATATGGCCGTTGCTTCATAGAGCCCAGGCCTGTCCGATCACGCGAGACGAGGCAAGGGCAAGCATGGCTAGGAAAGAGAGTGGCGGCACTGCGAATCTCACCCCATTACCTGGAGGATCCGGGGTCTCTCACAGTTCATCTCTCAAAACCTCCTGGACCTTTGCCACAAAGCCTTCCTTCGGAGTGATCTTCCTGCCAGGCTTCTCAATGACGACGTCCTCCCCTCTATCCTTTAAGCCGCGCTTGACCATGCTCGTCAAGATCTCGTACACGACCTGTGCGCCAGCCAGCGCTGTGGCTTCGCCGTGCCCCGCCTCGTACGCGGGGCTGACTTCGACGATGTCGGCGCCCACGAGGTTCAGGCCTTCCACGCCGCGCAGGATCTGGATCAGCTCGCGCGTCGTCCAGCCGCCTGGCTCCGGTGTGCCTGTCCCCGGCGCCAGACCGGGGTCGATCACGTCGATGTCTACAGACAAGTAAACGGGTGTGGATGTCCCCATCTGCTCCATGATCAGGTCAATGATGCCCTTGACGCCGACGCTGTCGATGTCGTCGGACTCGATGCGCAGGAACCCCTGGCGTTCGTCGTCCTCGTAGTCGTGGAAGTCGTCGCCGAGAAGCCGCGTCCGCAGTCCCGCGTGCACCGAGGACCCGTTGTTAATGAGTCCTTCTTGAGATGCGAGCCAGAACATCGTCCCGTGCGTGAAGTCGGCCTGTGTGGGCGTCGACGCCCATTTGGTCGGGTAGGCTCCCGGATGCCAGGTGTCCAGGTGGGCGTCGAAATGTAACACGGCGATTGGCTGCTTGTAGATCTTCTCCAGCGCCCTCAGCGCGGGAAGAGCGATGGAGTGGTCTCCACCCAGGGTAATCAGCTTGGGGTGCTCATGACTCTCCGGGTTCTTGTAACTCAGTGGTCGGCGAGAGAGGAGTTCTATGTAAGCGGAGGACATTTGGTGCAGGGCCAAAGCGTTGTCGAAGGGGGTGATGGGAATATCTCCACAATCGAGTACTAAAGGCCAGGACGTGTAGGGGTTTATGTGCGCACGATGGTTGAAGCCCCGGAAGGATGTCTGGCGTGAAGAGGCGGCGCGGATGGCGCGAGGGCCAAAGCGAGCTCCTGGATAGAATGAGAACGAGACTGTGCATACTGTACACAAGGGGATATGTCTTTCTTTTGGTTGAAGAGGATATATTTCGGCTTACCAGGTCGATAACTCACGGCAGTGTCAAAGGGGGCGCCAATGATGCCGATATCAAACGGCTCGTACGGGGTGGTCAAGCATTTTACATGTCTGAGATGGGCGAATGTTGCTATTCCTGAGAAACCCCACTGCAAGGGTTAATCCACATGGCGTAAGCGGAATATTTTGGCTTCTTCCTGGGAGATAGCGAAGAGATGGATAGCACCCAGAGCGGGTACATATCTGGCGTGGTGAAGGGCAGGATACGGGGGTTCTGAGGCAGCCTTACATCAAAGTCCCATTTCGCTTTCAAGTCCTCCAGCGGACTGCCAGACTCGGGCGGGATCTCGAGTTCCGGATTGTCGTAGAAGGATGAATGTGCGAAGGGAAGAAGAGGGAGCAATATCGACAAGGACAACGACGGCAGTAGCATCTCGACGGACTCGAGCGAGAAGGGGGGGAAAGGCGTGCCACCGAGTAGAGTGTATATCGAAGAGAGGGAAAAACCTTACCTGTGCATGAGAAGGAGGAGAAGGAGGTATATATATCTATTATCTAAGAAGATCAGAGGATATCATCATGTGTGGCCCGCTGCCCGCCATGGACAGTGCATTGGGTGAGTGATTAGGGCGTCGAATCAAACTCGGCGCCAGAAAAATCAACAAGGAGCAAAAAGGAGCAAAACGGAGCGAGACTCACGCCGCTTTGAGCGGGAATCTCCGGTGTCCACGGGGGCCCTGTGATTGGCCGGAGCCAACCTCTTCCACTGTTTCCTCAAAACGACACAGAACAAGGAGACGGCGAGAATGACAAGGAGATGAGATGCGCAGAGTCGTCGTGACTGGGCTGGGAGCTGTTACACCCCTGGGTGTTGGTATGTTGCTGGTTCCCACGAGCAGAAGAGATGGGGTTGATGACAATATCTGTCCTCAGGAGTCCAACGAACATGGTCCCGGCTTCTCCAGGGCCACTGTGGCATCGTCTCAACACGCCATCTCGGGGATGAATTCAAGGCACTTCCAAGCCAAGTCGCCGGGCTCGTGCCTGTCTCCAAACCTGATTCAGAGGCAGAAGAAGGGGTGTGGAGAGCGAAGGATCATGTCTCGTCCACGGTACGTTGTGGCTGAGAGCTTGATCAAGGAGATCTTCTGACCAGCACTGGACTAGGAGCTCCGACAAACTGCCAAATTCGCACAATACGCTCTTGCAGCGTCGGCCGAAGCATTGCGAGATGCAGGCTTCACAGACGGGAAGGGCCTTGACCCGGAAATGACGGTACGTGACATAAACATACACCAACACCCACGCGTTGCATTCACATGGCACAAACAAGCTACTCATTTACATGTGGTGTCCGGGAAATTCTGACGACTAATTACATGCATAGGGCGTCTGTCTCGGCTCCGGAATCGGCAACCTGGAAGATCTCTACAATACCTCCCTGGCGTATGACCAAGAGAAGAACTACCGCAAGATCCATCCGCTTTTCGTTCCCCGGCTGCTGATCAATCTCGGAGCCGGGCACATCTCCATGCGCTACGGCCTCAAAGGCCCGAATCACGCCGTCACTACCGCATGCACCACCGGTGCCCACAGTCTCGGGGACGCCTCGCGCTTCATCAAATCCGGGGAAGCTGACGTGATGATTGCTGGCGGTGCTGAATCGTGCATCCACCCGCTCGCGATAGGCGGCTTTGCCCGCTCGAGGAGCCTGGTGACCAAGTTCAATGAGGAGCCGTGGAAGAGTTCCAGGCCGTTCGATCAAGACAGGGCAGGATTTGTGATTAGCGAAGGCGCGGCTTGTGTGGTGCTTGAGGTAAGCTAAGTCGAATTGGATCTCGCGAGATGACGGCCAGCAACAGCAACCAAACCAGACAAGATTCTGACGTTTTGAGACAAAAGGAGATGGACCATGCCAAATCCCGCGGCGCCACAATCTACGCCGAACTCGTCGGCTACGGCAATTCGGCAGACGCTCACCATCTCACAGCGCCGCTGGAAAACGGGGCCGGGGCCCTTCTCGCCATGCAAAAGGCTCTCAAGCAAGCTCAGATCCCTCCCTGCAGAGTAGACTACATTAATGCGCACGCGACTTCCACACCGTTGGGGGACAAGGCCGAGAACCAGGCGATCAAGTCACTCATGCTGGGCAAATGCGGCAGGAGATTTGCTGAGGAAATCAATGTCAGCAGCACCAAGGGCGCGATTGGGCACCTTCTAGGCGCTGCAGGAGCAATTGAGGCTCTCTTCACTATTATGGCTGTATACGAGGTACGTATTTCCAGTCTCGACTCCCAGGCACGGTGGCATCATGAGATGGTATAATGACAACGTGAATGGGCAGAATACCTTGCCGCCAACCATCAACCTCGTCTCCAAGAGCGACGAGTTCGACTGCAACTATATTGCCAACACAACGCAACAGGCAGAAGTCAACGTCGCCTTGACCAACAGCTTTGGGTTTGGCGGCACAAATGCAAGTCTCTGCTTCCAAAAATGCAAATGAGACTCGTGCAAGGGTGTTGGAGTCCCGTAAACGTCGGCCGTAATCTCAACGATCGTTTCTCAGAGCAGCATCCTTTTGACCGCGAATGACTTGTCTAGGCCACGTCAATCGACGCCTTTCTGAGAGGCGGTTTCAATCCGGCCTGTGCCGTACCAATACCTGTCGTGACAGGTGAAGCTGATATCGCTGAGGCAAACGTGTCGTGGATGGCGGATTGGGGGACAGCACTTCGGGCACTCTCCGGAGCGACACTGAACAAACCACCGGATCTGTTCCCGCTCATGGCGTTTGATAGCATTTCTTTCATCCGGACCAGCTGGTATTTCCGCCGTGTTGGGAATAATTGTTTCGTGACGAGTGGTTGGGGTCGACTGAGGCCTCTGGCGATGGCTGTCATGACCGAATCTCGCTCTTCATCCGAATCAACAGGGCCGGCCAAACTGGGGTCGAGATCCTCTTCCAGGAGCGCGGGGGCATTTGCATCGAGCGCGGCCTTCTGCTGTCGTGCCTGGTTCTTTTTCTGGTATGCAGCGAGCAACATGTCGTAAGGCAGACTTCTTCCGGGAACAGCCCGCTTTGCTCCCATCGAATGGCTCTTGCATGTTAAACTCCTGGCGCACTGCCCGCCGTTTGGCAATAGAACACCGCATTGTTTCTCGACGTCGACCGGACCCTTGGGTTTAACTACTTTCTGTTTCTGCTCCTCTCTTTTTTTCTTCTTTCTAGGCTCCTTGTCTTCTTCGGCATCGGCCTTTCGCTTCTTGGTCTTCTTGGGTCCGTCATCGTCGCCGTTGGCCACGTCTTTTCTGGAGGGAGCTTTGACATCATCGTCGTCATCATCGTCATCGTCTGCTTTCTCCGCCCGCTCCTTTGCCCGCGCCGCAGCCTCACGTGCCTCCTTTTTCTTGCGCGCTTTGTCCTGTTTTGACTTTAAGCACAGCGTGATGTGTCCCTTGGCGGTGCGCTTCAGAACCATTTTCTTGCAGTGCTTGCAAATCACAGTGTCGAGGCTTTCCAGGTGGCCATTGGGGAAATTCGCCATGGTCTCGTCGTCGAACTTTGGTACTTCTGGTGAGGGCGCTTCCGCGACATTCTTGACGCCTATGAAGGTCAGCCAATATAGACGAAAGGGGATGGCTCAACTGACCATTTGCTTGGGCTTCTTTCTTGACTTGCAGAGGTAGCTTCTTTAACTTGACCTTGGGCGCCTTTTTGCTGCCTTTGCTGAATTTGTAGCCCGACGCACTGATGAGGCTTTCTGTGTTGGATGCAACGGATGAGGCTAGAAACGGATATCAGTCCTATCGTTGTCGCGCCGGATTGGATGAACACCAACCTCGTGCCTCATTTGCCGCCATGTTGGAGACCTTATTCGATGGAGGTATAGGGAGCGGACTGCCAGACAGGCAAATGAGCCTGAACTGCTTGAGTGGAGAGAGAGCGCCACCGGCAGCGACATACACTTCTCGAGTCACGGTGTTGTCGTTATCAGCGGTCACCTCTTGCGCACGTCAAAGGAGAAATGCGGAGGACTACTGGGTACGCTGGGGGGGAAACTGCGGGCGGCGCATCGAGGCTAGACTGATTACAGTTAGATAGAGACTTGAATTTAAGGTTATATGTTAAAGTACGAGGTACTGTACTCAGCGAGAGTCAGTATCTCGGTACTGGGTATTCGGTAGGGCATGAAGTATTGCGGTACTGATCGAATACTCCGAAGTAGTAGCTACGGCTGATTATTCTTACGCAGACGCGATCGAAGAACTGCGGCCTCGTTCTACCTCAAGGGTTCGGCCTGGATAAATGACTTCTTGTCAAGTGTGAGGAAAGGGTATTGTCTCTCCATTCGTCCCTCGGCCTCCCTTTTCCCTCCCAGCTCTTCTCATATACATCTCAGCCATGGACCCAGGGGGCCCTGAGTTCCATCACCCTGAGACCAACCCTCTCATGCAGCGCATCGGCGGGCAATGGGCAGGTCCTCCGCTCCAGAAATCCTTCCAGCTCGAAGTCGCCAACCTTCTTGGGCGAGGGAGAAATACGTCGTTCCCGGGAGCCCAACCCGTCTCTTTCTCTGCAGAGCACATTCAAGAACTCAAGAGTCAAGACTACTACGTCTGCGAAAAGACAGACGGCCTGCGCTACCTCTTGTATCTCACCCAAGACGGCGACAGGGACATCCACTACTTCATCGACCGAAAGAACGACTACTGGTATGTGCCCAATCTGCACTTCCCGCACCACGAAGACAAAACATTCCGACGATTTCACACGGGCACGATACTGGATGGGGAACTGGTGGAAGACAGATACCCGGATCGGGAGCCGGTCATCAAATTCCTCGTGTTCGACTGCCTTGTCCTCGACCATGTGGTCTTCATGCAACGTCCTCTCGACAAACGCCTTGCCTACTTCCACAACCACGTCCTCCAGCCCTACAATGCCATGTTCAAGCAACATCCAGAATACACCAGGCCATTTGTGCTCGAGGACAAACAGAATGAGTTCAGTTACGCTCTGGAGAAGATGTTCAAAGAAGTCATCCCGAGGGTGAAACAGATGCACGGAAATGACGGCTTGATTTTCACCTGCCGCGATGCACCCTACAAGATGGGCACAGATCCACATATTCTCAAATGGAAACCTCCCTCGGAAAATACAGTTGATTTCCTCCTCCGTATCGAATGGGCCAGAATGGACCCGGACCCCGATGATCCAGATCAATCCCCGCAGCCCGACTTCTACTCGATCCCCGAGAAGTTTTCCCTATTCATCCACCTCGGGAGTAACGAATACTCATACGTCGACGACATGTACGTCGAGCCCCAGGAATGGGAAGAGTGGAAGACCCTAGACCACCCTCTGCAGGACATCATCGTGGAATGCTACCAGGACGAGCTGCAGCGGTGGCGGTTCCATCGGTTCCGACACGACAAGGAGAACGCCAATCACGTCAAGGTGTTCAAGAGTGTGATCAGGTCGATACATAGCCATGTGACGGAGCAGGATCTGCTGAATCACGCCGCCGAGATCAGAGCAGCCTGGAAACTTCGCGTCGAGGAGGAGAAGCGGAAGAGACTGTCAGTGAAGCAGGAGGGGTGAATCATTTTCATGCGAAAAGCAGGCTAGGATTTAACGTGGTGTTGAAGGACTGGGAAATTGGAGCGCTCGCCATCAAACCATCTTTTTTGATGTATACGATAAGATACCCCCGGTAGTTGGTTGGTGGCTGGTTCTGGGGAAAGGTTTCTGGGATAAATAACAGCTTCTGCTGCTGCTTGTTACTACTGCTGCTGCTACTGGTGATGAAGTGCCAAGTCCCACAGCATTGGAACTTGAGCTCTTTTTTTTTCTTTTTCTTTTTTTTTTCTTCTCTTTCTCTTTCTCTGTGGTGGGCGTAATGTACGGCGTACGGGTATATGTGTTGCAGATCGAGTTATACATAGGTATCTCGGAGTTTGTCGCCACTTTACGAGCAGATCAGACCAGATCAGGGTCAGAGTGAGAAGCACGAGATTGACCAGAAGAAGAAAAATAGAAACAGAAATAGAAATTCGAGATTTTATCTTTGCGGACATTTTTCATCCTCGTTTTACAATGTTACATGTCATGGCCTATGTCCCTGCATTTTTACATCTTGCAGTTGTATATTCACTCCACTCCCTCCCAGGCAACTCTGTGCCCAGATATTACCCCCCCGTGGTTTCTGGCGGAGCGACTCGCTCAGTACCCGATATACTGCTGCTGCCCCGGAGCCGCGGTCGTGGCGTTGGCCGTGGACTGTCGTCCGGAGCTGCTCGTATGCGCCGCTCGCACCCCGCTGACGCTGCCGTTGGCGTCCATCATCGGCGTGTCTGCGCCGCTGGTGGGTTCGTCCCGCTGGTGGGCCCCTCGCTCGCTGCTGCCGCCGAGGAAGCGGTACGGCGTGCTCGTCCAATCTGTCGTCGCTGCTGCTGCCGCCGCGGCGTTGGTTGCCGCGTCTAGTGTCGCCATGATCGGGTCCCGTGTGTCGTGATCTTGATGGCCGTTCTCGTCGCGCTGCTCGGCAGGGGCCGCTGATCTACTTGCCAGTGGATGCTGGGGGATCGGATTCGGGCCGGGAGCAGGGAGAGCAGGAGGAGACGTATTGTAGAACGGCGGTGCGTTGTCGCTCATGGATATGGATAGCATGTCCGGGTTCGGCAGGGCCATCCACTGGTCGAGGAAGGGCCAGTCGACGTCCATATTCATCGGTACGGACGCCATCTCTGCTGTTGCTGCTGCTTCATCGGAGGATGTTGTCCCCGTCCCCTTCCCCTTCCCCGCCGCCATCGTCGTCGTTGAGATCAGATTCGGCGTCGTGGGCAGCGCATATGCTGCTGGGCTGAAGGGGAGGAAACTCATGAACGGGTTCGGACCGAGGCCTGGGTTTTGTAGGCCTGGCATGAGGCGCAGGTTCGGATTCAGCGGAGCGTTGCTGTCGGTGATACTGGAGTTGTTGAATACCGGTGTGAAGAAGCCGCCACCACCACCGGCTTGATTCTGATCTTGCCGAGCGTGCGACGACGCCGACGATGACGGATAATCGGCAAATGCCTCGCGATCTTGCTGTTGTTGTTGATCTTGCAAGGTTAGCGGCACAAGGCTGAAGTCGTACTGCATCGGGAACATTGCCGAACCCATGAATCGTCCCGGTTGCATGAAGGGGTGAGGTTTCGAAGACAGTGTGGTGGATTCTGGTGGTTGTATTTGTTGTTGGCGGGTTATTGATGTCGAGCCTCTAGGATCGGCCGTATTCGATCCAAACGAGCCTGATGACCCTGTTGTTCTGTCGACGGTATCTGAGCTTCCGATCTCGCCCAGCACCACCCTCAAGACGTCTGCCACTCTCTTTGCCTCGTTACTCGTCGGGGTCAGCTCCTCACAGATTCCAAACGCGGCCTTCAAAAGCTGGAACTGCTCCGCCATCTTCGTGTCGTCCTTGGCCATCTCGAGTGCTTTCCCCGGGTTCGCTTTCTTCCACATGCTCAATCCCAGACATAGCACCATGGCAGCCAAGTAAAAATCGTTCATCGTGAAGGAGCTCAGCATCCAACGATCCTGGAACAATTGCCCGCCAGGTTTGAACTCCTTGTGCAGATCTAGCATGTGCCGTGTGATCGCAATGGCGGCGTCTGTGCACGCTTCTGTTGACGCCGGGTGAGTGCCTTGAGTCATGTATTTCCTGTGTAGCACAAGGAGAGATTTCTGGTAGAGGAATTCACAGTTGGTACGCACCATGACGAGATAGCTGGGGTCGGCAAAGGACTGGGACATGGGTCGGATGTGTAGGATATCGGGGACGGTGGCGTAAACGGCGCGGACTTCGCGATCGAGGTCCATGACTTCTTGTTGCGAACAGTCTCGGAACGAGAGTGCGTGCGAGCAGACCTTCCCGAACGTGGTCATCAGCCGGGATTTGACGATGAAATACAGTATCTGCGTGGCTTCCGTTTCCGGCCTGGACGGCGGTAGAGCAGTGCTGTGTTCGTCGAAGTCACTGTCCAGCAGGTTTGACGGCGGTAATGTATCCCAGCTATTTGGTGGTATCAGGTTCGGCAGTCCGAGTTGGAAGGACACCATGAGGTCGAATTGCCGACACATTGCCCACGTTCGCCGCCGCATTTCGGCCTCGAAAACGGAGAAATGAGGGAACTGAGAAGGGTCGCGGTGGTAGCCACTTCGAAACGCGAGTCGTACGAGGATGGGGAAGATGATGCTGACGTCCCGCGACGGGTCGAGGGTAGCCATGTACTTGCATTGGGCATACAGGCCCAGAGCTTCCACCACATGGCGTTTAGGCCGAACGAATCCGCCGAGGCGGAGACATTGGCATGCAGCGTTTAGAAAACTCATGCGTGGACTCAGTTGATCTTCTGGCGTCGAAGGTTCAGACCCCACGGCTTCAGACAAGGTGGCGGACATGCAGCAGATGGAGAACAGTATGGAGATCCAGAGGGGTGACATGTCCAGCGGCGTGCACCAGAATTGCTCGTATTGCCGTCGGAATTGTGCTGTGTGGATGAATGGGATGACCAAATATCGACTGTTGAAGTATGTCGACAGGCGGCGGTCGACTTGCAGGCGCGGAGGGAGGGCTTGGGCCAGAATCTGCGAAAGCGAGATATGGCTCGTCGACCCAAACAACCCGTCCACCTCGTGTGGTTCGACGTCTTCGCACTCATCGAGCTCCGTGGTTGACGGGCGGCCCCCTTGGCCATTGCTGCTACTCACCAGTGCAGATTTGAGTTCTTGGATGCTTTCTAGAATGGCGGACCAGTGCGTCGAGCCCACATAGCGCGATTCCGAGGAGCCGTACTGGAAGTGTCCTTCCTTTGCGATGCTCATAGTTGACACGTCGTTGTCATGCGCCGAGCCAGGGCTGGCAGCGCTCTCCGAGTCATGCGATGACTGCGCGCTCGTCGAGGTGCCAACCATTTGCATGACGAGTTGCTCCAAATGTCGGAGTCGCTCTTGGGCTTGTCCTCGTCTGTTCACGACCTGACTCGTATTGGCGCCGGCGGTGGTGCTGGGGTCAGCCGCCTTGGGAAGGGGAATGTTGCCATATACGCAGCTAGACTCGTCGCCCCGCCTCACGCAGGTCTCGCACGGATGGCCCTTGTCGCATTTCAATTTCTTGATTCTGCAGTTCAAGCAGGACACGGGTTGTCGGTTTCGTTTGCTGACTTTGTGCACTCCTCCCGACTGCTGGCTGTCTAGACTGGCGCGGAACTTGTTGGTAAGTGCGGAAAATTCTGCCATTGCAGGCAGCCTGTTTCTGTTGATTGTGAAGCCAACCTCAATGTGGGACGGCCTTGAGTGATGGGTTTGATTGATGTGGATGGTAGAACAGCGCGTGTGAGGGCTAAGAGTGTCGCGACCTCACAGGTTCAAACACGAATTTTGTTTATGGCTCGACATTGCTGATTCAGTGCTACGATAGAAATTCGGTAATCAGGCACTAAGAACAGCAAAGCAGTGTAGTTGTTAGATGGAAGATGACGATGACGATGAGGATGAGGACGAGGACGAGGACGAGGACGATGAAAGTGGAAGAGAGAGATGACATTCGCCCCCGCAGCTCACACCGAACAAGGCAGTTGGAGTTGGTTTGGCCTTGTTACAGATGTATGTGACGGTCGCCACCACCGTATGCCATCTACTGTTCACATACCCATTCGCAGGGGCATCATGGAAATAAGAACACATGGTCCATGGAGATCCGAATATCCTGCCGTAAGAATAGATAGCATCTCCTTCACAACTCCTTCGTGCAACCAGGCTTGAGCTCCTCATAAATGACACTCAATTCCTCCCAGATCCTCCTCGCCGTCTGATCTCCTTCGGCACTCTTGACAAAGGGACTATACTTTTTGACCCGACACTCGCTCAAATACTGCCCATGAGTCTCTCTTCCCGCCGTAGCACCATGCACCAACGTCCGCGCTCCATGCTGGCTCGATCGCCCGATGATGCTGAGCACGACTTTGGGTAGACGTATCCGCGTGGGTCTGAAACAGATTGGTCTTGCAGAGTCCCGGCGCAACATTGTTGACGACTATCAAGGCTTTGTTATTGGGGTCCTGTTCGGCAGACTTTGTCAACTTCGACGCTAGGTGTTTCACCAACAGCATGACGGGGAGTTTGCTGAGGAAATAGCGACCCTTCATATCTGCCTTTTTAGGATCCGAGAGCGTCTTGAAAATCTGTCCCTCGGCAGGAGTGGCTAGGTCCTTGTCGTTGGCCGCGAAATGGACCGCTGATCCGACGATGGCGAGGGTGGGCGTGATGCTGTACTTCTTCGCGGAACCGCGCATGATGGGGATGAGCAGCGTAGCCAGGAGGAATGTGGAGATCACGTTCACAGTCAGAGTCGTTTCATAGCCTTCCGCTAGCGTGAACTCTTGGAGATCAACGCCTGCATTGAGAATTGCGGCATCAAGCCTTGGGAGATCCTTGCATCGCTCTGAAAAGGCTATCACGCTCGAAAAGGAGCACAGATCGAGTTCAAAGACAACAAACGTCGCCTGTGGACGTCCCCCGGAGCTGCTGGAGATTGACTGCAGAATGGTCTGCTTGGCCGTTTCCCCTTTTGTAAGGCTTCGGCATGCAAGGACGATAGTGTCGCAATTTAATTGCGCCAACAATTTGGCAGCCTCGAGGCCTAGCCCGGAATTCGCTCCCGTCACCAAGATGGTCCGTCCTGTCAAATCGACCTGTGGTTTTGGCGGGGTTGAAAGTTGACCGCGAATGAATTGGCCTACTCCTGACATAGTGTTGGACAGGCACCCTGCTCCCTCCTTGTCGCAAGTCGTGGTATAGTAGCGTCTGGTAAACAAGAAAGAATCTTCAATAGGCGAGCGACAATCAAGAATGTTGTTCGCATGCAGTCTCCAAGGAGGTCTTCGTTTTGTAGGTGGCTTGGTTGAGGGAATGACTGTTGCAAAACGCCATGCACCATGGCGACAATTTATTCATTCGGACAATCTCCGAGAGTGCTTGCGGGATCCCTTTTTCTCCATTTTCAGTATATCGAGCACGTCGGCGCTGAGCTGGACGCCTCGCAATTGAAATCGAGGAGATGTCTGTGCCGCCATTTGGCATGGTCTTGCGAGTCTCCCGACCATTTTGGGAACATGTTAACTCCGAGTTGTGGAGCACGGCCACGGGCGATCTCCATCTGCAGAGTTCCCAAGGCCAGCGCTCGAGTGAGTACATATATTTGGCATGCCGAGCTTTCAGGCAACAGGATTTCATCAGCGAAGCCATATCCTGAGCCAATCTTTCCTCAAGCCACAATCTTCGCATTGGATCAAAATGGGTGATTTTCAATCAGCCACACCACATCTTCATTATAATCCAACAATGCCTGCCGTACTCTTTCCGTGTGCATAAGCGGGGCAAGGAGCGCAAAGATTCTGTCCACGTTGTCTTCTGAGATTTGAACATGCCGAAGAATGCTAACCAACAGCGTTACGAGTGCTTCCAAAACTTGTCCATCTGAGGACCTGAATACGGCGCTGTAGGGGACCATAGAAGCCTGACGAGGCGGCGTGCTGTCTTCGTGGTTAAGCTGCGTCGAATTGCGCGTTGAGATAACCAATTCTGATCTTTTCATGCTTAGCATCGAAATCGGCTTCTCCCGCTTCGTCGACGTAACGACACTCGAATAAGTTTTCTTGAATAGATTTTCAAGTTCATCGAAAAGTTGTTCGATCCGACTGGACATGAAATTGCCTGCTGCGTCACAGATAGCTGCTATTGTGACGGCCGCAGCCCTAATGATGTATGCTGCATTCGGCGTAGTGGGATCCTCCTTGGCCAAAAGTCTGGACACCACTGCCGGCCAAATAGTGTTCACCAACGGCAGAAAGGTATTCTCATGTTCACCAAGGAGCGGACATATCTCTTGCAGCAGACCCAACAAAGTAAATCGTACCTTTGGTGAAGGAGATGACAAGTGTGGAACCGTGGACTGTGCAATGTTGAGTAAAAGCTGATGAGACTTGGATATCTTAGCCTCCTTCTCGTTAGTTGTTTGCTCAAGAGATTGATCATCTTCCACCCCTTCATTCTTGTCGGAGGGGCCATTCTGTTCCCTACTTGGTGGGCCGTCTTCAGCGGTTGTCCATGGCTGACGAGGAGCATCAGTGGCAGTGGTATCATCATGTTCTTCGTCAGATTGGCGCTGTCTTTGTTTCCTGCTCTTCAAGTCACTGAGGATATCTTCCAATCCAGAGATATGGCTCGGCATGCTTCGGTGGCTATCGGATCTTCGTCCGGACTCAATTGCTAGAATGGCAGGCTTCCTTGTACTTTCTGTCTCTACCATCTTTAGAATTTCGAATAACTGTTCGACGAGGTTGGGATATCCGTGGAAGGTGTCTAGGGCACCAAATATGCTTCCGATCAGGTCGTCCAGGTACGGGAGGAGACCTGCACCACAGAGACGGATCATCATCCCAATGACCTGGAGACTCTGTGGCGATACATCGAAGGCGTTGAGCCGGAGCGCAACAGCATTGATAAGATAGTCCACGTTCTCAACCAGCATGTGAGATGCTGAATCATATTCACATACTGTTGCCAGAATGTCCAGGGCTGTCATGGCATGCTGCTGAAGCAATGCATTACTGGAACCAAGCAGAGTTAGTAAAGGAAATAGTGTCTCCACTAGCTCAGGGCGGTATGAGCGACTGAGCTGAGAAGCCTGAAGTGTTAGAGTCTCAAGGGACAGTGCTACTAGCCGCCAGTCTGTACTTCCTTCATCTTCGATGTCGGGATATTCCGTCAGGAATGGTAGAATATTTGAATACAGATCGGATATGAGAAAAGGACGGGAAATTGAGACGTCGGAAGGGGAAGCATTGTCTTCAACCAGCTCCATGACATCAAACGACTCGCTGCTGTCAGATCTCAGAAATTCCAGAGCGAGCCACGCTGCTGATAATTTCCTGTTGATATCAGGATCGTGTAAATGGTCAACAAGACTGCGTGCAATATTCCGACTGAAAGCGTGCGTCTTGAGGGACATGATCAAGCTTTTCAGCTCCTCTGTGGATGATTGCTGGCTCTGATGGCTCAAGATAACCGGCATAAATCCTTGTTCCGATCGCCTATATTGTTGAACAAGCTCGTTCGGGGGGATACGTGGCGCCTCGTTGACCAGCTTCGACGTTTTCGAACCGGATTCAACAGCTGCCGCGACAGTATCAACTAATATTGAAGCAAACTTCGACATTTCTTCATTGGTGGTATTTGACGTGTCCGTTAATGCAATGAATGATGTGGCCACCTGCTTGAGCAACTGCTGCTTGGGCCTGTCGTCATTACCTTGCATCACTCTGGGCAGGGCCTGAGACCAGTCATAGAATTTGGTGCCCAGAATCTCTGTCACCTCTGGCCTCGATGTTATCAAGAATTTGAGAGCGGCGTTCGCTTTTGACCCATTGGGCGAACGGCAAAGGACCGCAAGAGTCTCCACCATCAGTGGGATGGACTGGGCGAGAGTTTGCGAACAGTCATCGATGACCGTCAGACAGAGGTTGAGAAGAGCTTCGGCCACGTCAGGGCTTTCATGATTCCTGAGTTTGATCACCTGGACCAGAGCCAGATCAATTTGAGATGCAGTGGCATCGAACCAGGACTTGTCCAGGATGGCCTCATCATCAACGCTCCGTGCTTTGGTGGATTTGGGCCTCCTCTTGTCACCAAGTTCACTCGAGACGACCTCGTCCGCAAGAACGTTTCTTAAGGTCTCAGTCAGTAGCTCTAGGTAGGTGACAAGGACCTTTCTCGTTCGCCGGGCCTGAGTACTTGGTCGAAGAACTTTGACTAACGTAGAGACGGTACGGGGAAGCAAACTGGCCAATAATGCTCGATTCCGAATAGCGCGCTGAAGCTCGAGAAGAGCATGGGTTGCACTGATCTGAACATCCTCAGACGATGCATCCGCAATTGCCTCGAGTAGCTGATAGGCTAGTTGATCCACAATATTCTTGCCGCCAACGCCTTCCAGGATTGGGGATGCTAGTGAAGCACTTTGGCGGATGATGACAGCCATACATTCGAACGAAGCAACTTTCAGTTCCTCTGTAGGGGCCTGACTCTGTTGGTTGGGACTTTGGGAGACCAGTAAGCCCATGAGAATGAGCAGCTGCTTGGCCATCTCGGGAAGAAGCTTGTCCCGCCATCCTTTTGACACCAGGATTTGCACGCATCTGACGGCTATCTCGAGGCCTCGGGATGATATTCGCGGAGACTGGTTGAAAACATGGGTGAGCGGGAAGAAAGCATATTCGGCCAATTTCTCATCGAGAAGATTCTCATCCCCCAGCGAGCGAAGCACGTGGTGTACTTGCTCGACAGCGAAAAGCACGGCCTTCGCAGACGTTTGATTGACCTTGAGTTTCAGAGCGACAGAGCTGAGTTCCACACAAGGCGGACGCAGCTAAATGGCACGTTAGTCATGGAAATTTGGGAAAAGGGTGTGTGGAGGAATCTACCCGTTGAAAGACCTGCTGACGTGAAAAATCCATGGTAAGGTATCGGCAACTAGCAAAAATGGCATGCTGATTATAAGAAGTCGTCAGTTATAGAGTGCATCGTTGTTCCGATGAAGATGGTAGGTAGAGCACTGAACTCGCAGAAGGCATGATACCTGCGCAGCCACTACGCCTTCACCGGAGGTATGGCGCGTCTTGGCGTCTTGGCATATATAGGTGGCCTTGGTGGCTCTACAAGGCAATACAGGGGTAATAGGGAATAATAGCCTCGCTAACCTCGCCCACAAGAGGGGTTATATTGGTGGATGGAAAGGATATCATGCATAAGACTGATCCCTACCCTGCTTGCTGTCTCTACAGTCGTGTATACTTATATAGTCTGGCCAATCCATCACCCTGTAGAGCTAGATGCGCAGGGATGTCAGCTCAGCCTATGTATATCCTTGGACTCGTTAGAAGACTTTGTCTTGAGTCGTGAAAAACGAAATCAGTTTGTTATGAAAATCTCCCGCCCGATGCAAGCAGGTGCAGTTCAACTGCGTGCTAGCGCCGGCTCCTGTCAAATGGCCAATGTCTCAGTCGGAAGAAGAACCCCAGATTACTTTATTGCTCCCTGGAGACCTGGTTAGGAGAGAGTGGATGATAGACTTATACCCAAGTCGGGGACAAACCTGAACCTTGCTCGACGTCGCTCTGTTTCGTGCCACCACGACGCCTGAGATTTTTGATTTGGAAAAGATTGCTGGCCGTCCTTGAAGCCTCCGCAACGTGGCCGGGGAGAGTGTTCTGCCTGGGCCAAACTATTCGGAAACCCCGCTTGATGAGTTGTAGGCTCTTCACAAATATGAGTGTGGCGACCAGGAACACCGCCAAAGCCCACATAAACGTTCCCCAGCCAGCGGAGTCTGGGACTATGCCATGTCCCATACTGAAGACACCCTGCCAAATGTTAGAGAAGATTTGCGTTTGCGATGCATACCGAAGTCCCTACTGCCACGAAGCCGAGAGGAAGATATGTAATTGTGACCCAGGTGAGCATGCTGATGTTTTCGTTCTGCTCCACACCGCGAACAGAGGAGATCTGCCAGTATCGGTCAGCAAGGTAAAAGAGAGCGAAAGATATACCTCACCCCTTCGCGAAGCTTTGCAACTTGGTCAATACGCTGTTTGATGACATTGTGCAGGTTCTCAAGTCTTTTGCGTCTCTTCTCAAAGTCTTCAACCACCCGCTCGACATTCCGCTTCATATCTTTGTGGCGGATATCGCGGCCCTTTCCGCGATCAGTTCGTCAACCTTGCAACAGAAGGGTACGACCTACTCTTTTCAATTCAGATTCCATCTTTTCTTTTGCTTGGTTGATCTCATCAAGTGCCCTTTCAAGTTTTTCGTCGAAAATTCGGAGCGCTTCGAATCCCCAAAGCATTTGCTTGAGCTTCTTCAAGGCGGCGTCTGACTTTCTCCACTCGAGGCCTTTCAACAATACTAACGGCTGGGCGAAGTTAGCTTCAGAAAAACCGTAGCATCGATGGATTGCCAACATTCATGCCCATGATATGGTCCATCTGATCTGCAAACTTGTCGCATTCCTTCGAGAGGGACTCGCACATATGGCCCAGAAGTAGCAGAAAGGCCAACACCCTCCCAGTGTATTGTTGGTGAATAAACATCTGCAAAATATCTTTGATCTCGTTGCGGTATTCTTTGACCTCTGCCTCGTCAAACAATTCAGATATTACTGAACATATCCAGAAACGCCCCATTCTGTCACCTGAGATAACAAGAGAGATCGACAGCTCACGTATTGTCGACAACCGATTATCGACTTTATTCCTTTGGTCAGAAACGCTTTTGGGAGGGAATGTGGTGATGCGAGCCAATGGAGCCTCTTCGTTGGCGCTCTTGTTGCCCCCGCCTCGCGTTCCGAATGCGGGAAATGAATCCCAAAATCTCATCCTCGTCATCAAACTGTGTTTCTCGGACTCTTCGCGATCGTAATTGAGTCTTAGTTTTTTCTCGTCGCGTTCGAAATCGTCTTCCACGTCGCAAATCTTACTCTCCAGATCATCCTGCAGGCGCCAAAGTGAAATTGTAACAGATGTGGTCCACATTACGCCCTCTCCAGTTGGTAGCTGATTCTCTGTGTCGACAAAATGAGAGAGCACACCTAGATTGTCGTCAATAGCGTCAAGAGCATCGGTGTGCCACATGAAGATCATGGCTAGAATGATTTCTGGACAAATTCGTCTTACGAACCTGGTATTTTTGTTAGCGTTGTCGGTCTGAACGATATGCATGGAGACTTGCAGTAGTCGGTATTTCGTTCCTAAGTCGACCAACTCAGGGTCACAGTTAGTGATAAGACTAGAGACCTGTGGGAATGGCTTACACTGTCATTCAATACCGCAAAGACTTCCTTCTGATAGCTTTCGAGCCACTTCTTCCTGATGCAAGTGTGTTCAAGGAATTGTCTGAAAGGCTTCGGGAATGCATCATAACCTGGATACAGCTTGTGCCGATCTAGGAAGTAAAGGGTCAAAAGGGCAGATTCTTCCTGTTTGCTCATTTTGTCCTTCGGATCCTTTTTTACCTCTTCATCTAGCCCAATCCAGGGTTTCTTATCGACCAGGTTCGCTCTTCCAACGCCAACGGTCACTCCAATTTCAGGGGCGTCTCCGCCGTCAGCCTTGAGGGTGAAATCAAAGCAACTGAGGTGCCCGAGCTTCTCCGGTGGGATGATTTGCTTGATATTATCCAAAGTCCATAGGTGATGGACTGCCATGCCACTTTTTTCAAAAAACCGCTCCAGCATCTCTTTGGAAATTGGCCTGCTGATTTTGTCGAAAAATTTTTGGAGCGCAGCAGGATGGACGGATGGCATGGTTTTTCCGAAGAACTGTGTCATGTCTCCAGAACAAATATCCACTCCCTGACGTTGGAAGTATTTCTTGACCATTCCAAAATCGAGGTTGAAAGCACTGTCTTTAAAGTATTTTCCGATATGTGTTCGAACGGTGACACTTTTCTGTTTCTGGTCATAAACCTGGGGAGTATCCTCTAAGGATTGGACAGCAGCATCGGCGTGATACAGCAGGTTCGGACGCCTCTTCCTCCAGGAGTAGCCTACCATATCTTCGGCTGGAGGAAGTCTTTGACGAATGCATTCGGTGAGCGCCTGAATGGTTTCCTCAATCTTTGAGGGCTTGTCGACAACCTTACGCTCGGCCTTGACGAGTTGGCTAAAGGTTGCTTTTGTTGCATTATTTTCCGACATGAGTCCATCTAAGATCTTCCAAGATATGATACTGGACGTTTTCATGTCCCACCACTGAGCCACAGTCTCGGGGTTACTCGCGTCGAAGTCTGCTGCGAATGTATAATCGGATAGTAAGAATTCCTTGCAGGCCTCCATACATTCCTCAACAGAAAGGGCTACCTCGAGGTTCACTGGGACATGATGTTCTAGACAATTGGATTCCCAAGGCGCGGGTCGGGGCATTGATGATCGGATAGCGTGATTGTGAATTGCGTCCCATCGTCTGACCAAGGCTTCCCCAGGATTGAGTTCTTTCTTCACCTGTCGACGTTTTATCAAATCTTGGGCATATTGGAGGCATGATTTCCCTTGCAAGCCAAGAGCGCGCTTTTCGATCTGTATCTCTTTGCCCACGAGGGCAAGATTTGCCACGTCATGACTAAGGTGCTGGTTGATCAGGCGGCCCTGTCCAAATAGCCGTAAGGCCCTTTCGGCCCTGACTTGCCAGTGTTCAGCCCAGTCCTTATGCTTGGAGCAGTCAACACGAGAAGTAGAAGTCCGATTGTTGGGGTTCTCCTGTAACTTATGAATGATTCTGTTGACCGAGTGGCTGTGGTACCATCGAAGGAAACAGATGTGCGGATTCTCAAAACCTTCAGTACCAACCTGATTATCGTTGTTTCCAATAGCGTCCAAGAAAGGTAGAATGTCCAGGACCATTGACCGTATATCTTCTCGCTCAAATATCTCAGAGCATTGAGCCCACATGTACCAGACGATCAATGCACAGTACCATTGTTGGCTCTTTACCCGCGGCTCTTGACGACGACGCTCAACCTTTCTGCTCTCGTCTTGTGCCATTAGTGCTTGCCATTGCTCTGAGGTAAGCTTGCAATTTCGACTGGACCGTGGAGCCGTGAGGATATCACATGCCAGAATTCCTATCCACGGCTGTTGAAGGTCCGATCTGGAGACAACAGGCACAATGCTAAGAACCCATGAACAGACGCCTCGTAAATGCTCCAATAGGAAGGTTTGATAACCTAAGCGCATCTTCTCACAGGTCGAGTTTCGCTCGACGATTTCCTTTGGTTCTGTATGCAAACGCACAAATTGAGTGGCTTTTATGAGTACGCGTACTTGCCAGCTACTATTATCAGTATACTAATGTGAAGTGGCTTGTGACATACGAAATAGGCATCACGTACAAGAGACTTTCAAGATCGGCGACTTGCCTTGTGACAATATTTCCGATAAGTGCGATGTTAGTTTTGATCATCGAGCTCTCACTCCGCTTCCGGACAAGATGAGAAGTTCCACTTCGAGCATCAGGCAGTCGTAGCTCTGAATCTGTCTGACTGTCATTTGGAAAATTTGTATCGACTGAGGATACCTGGACAGGTGACAAATCCGCCGCCTTCGTCCCATCCCGCCTGTCTGAAGCGGTGACCTCGCTCTGCACGGGAACGGACGATAGTCCTATAATGTTCTCCACTGTTCTGCTGATGACGTTTAGATCGAAAGCTCGAGGGCCTGGTGGCTGGTGTAGCATTTGTGACCAGAGTCGGTATGGGGCGTTCATGGAGTCTTTGGAATATCCAAGATAATCGCGGATGTCAGCAGATTCTATCATGGCCATTGGCTGAAAGTCAAGCGGTATCTTGCTGTCCACAAGGGAAATGGAAGCAACGGCCGAAATGGGCTCAGTCCTGGTCCATTCAACATTGGTGACGGTATGAAGTCTCCACACTGCTGTAGCACCTCCTTTCTCATTGCTCTCTCCAAGTTGCTGTATCCTGGAGGGATTCGACAAATCGTGATTTAATTCTGTAGGTTGTCCATTAACCCATAGTCGCATTTCCAGCCTTCGTTGGTGACAAGCACTCTCACAAGCCATGACATAGCTCTTGAGTCCCCTTGGGGGCTTACAAGGCGAGTAGTTGTCGTAGAATGTCGCCGTTCGACCTGCAAATGTCGAAGAATCCCTGTCTTCGCAACAACATCCGATGTGGACGGTACCGCCAATGTCAAGGTCTAGCCCCCTGTTTATTGCAGATTCTGGGATGGATCCATTGCTCAGGGCAGACTCAGAGGTGGAAAAGGACTGAGGGGCCACCCGGAGGATTTGGTAAAGAGTTTGGTCCTTGATGAAAGAGCAAGCCGTAAAAGTTGCGAATACCGCTGAGCCAAGTGAATCGTCCCTTTTCACGAAGTTGAACCTCGTGTATGGCCACCGTAGATTAATCATTCCTTGAGCAGGCGTGCGCTCGAGAACATATTCGGCCTCCTCTGGGATGAGCAGCTCTAATCCGAAAGTACCCCTTTGATTGCGTCTTTGCGCTCGGGCCAAGATTGCTTCCCCGTTATCCGGAAAGTCACCACGAACGAATACAACGCCACATTGTTCGTCAGGAACTGTGAGCTGCAGAAGTTCGTGCCATACGGACAGGGACCCCGTAAAACCATCTCTACCGAAGTCTAAGGACTTGGACGGACGTAAGTAGTCAAACTCCATGAAGCAGCCCTCTACAGTCCATTAGCCCATGGAACGACTATGTTGTAAGGTAATAACTCACCATCGTCAACAGTGTCTAGCCATGCAAAGTCAACGTCGAGCCTATTCGAGGTGATTAACTATTGCTTGCCAGACAATCTCATTTAGTACCTACTCATTCTCGGACGCCGAAGCACGAGCTGTTGGAATCTCTTGCTTGCTGCGACTCAACATAGCAGATGCTTGGAAATTTGAAAACAGAACGCATCACAGCATCGGAATAGGAGGCAGCTCGGGCAGCTTGAGCAGCTCAAACTCATCTTTCTTATAGTAGATGACTTGGTGGCCTGACGGTCCATGCGTGTGTGCTGCGCTGTTGATTAGCACCAGATTGATGCATGATCTTGCCCGTTCAAGCGAAACCAAGAGGTCGTACGCTGCTCCTCCTGTGCAGAAAGAGTCGCCCACACGAACAAGGCCATCAGGATATGGGGAAGCTCCGCCAATGAGACATGGGGCGAATGAGTCTCGTATCCGGGGTTGAAGCCCATATCATGATGGCAAGATGCAAACGTTTCATGATTTAAAGCCTGACACGTCTGGGCACCAGCATTCATCCATGGGCACTCCAAAGGGCTTTAATGCCAAGTTCATGGGCTCTCCGTTGATCCCCGAATGCGAGCTTCCAAGAAACATTTTCCAAAGCAGACGGGAAAGTCGCGTTCGAATTCAGATGCGCGTGTGGAGTGATTCCGCGTCGGTCTCCGCCTTGGCGAGTCGGGAATTCACACCACAGAAATATTGGAGACGTTTGTCTGGTTGGCCTTTGTCAACGAAGGGCGGGCTCTACGGGCCGGGGGGGTCTAAGTAGAGTCTACTTACCAAGTATATCGAGAGGGCGGGGTGTACAAGTAAGCAATTGATATTGTCGGTGACACCGGGTGGTTCCGTGGGTGAAATAGATCCGGTGTCCCGACCAGGCAACTTTATATTGGAAAGAAAACTCTCACTCTTAATTGTCGACATCGTTTGATATTATTATTGCGTTACCCCAATAGAGGATCGTCTTACCTACGAGGCCTCCCATATTAACGACGACCGACCTCCCATTTCTTTTTTAGCTTAAAAAATGAACAACGAAGCAATAAAAAACATAAATGGAAAATAAAATATAACAATTGTCCTTCTGCCATGACATTCCACCAATATCACTGATGCGAATCAGTTGAAGGTCTGTACTCTAAAGGGAACTAGCTGGGTGGTTTCCGTTACTCAGCTGTACTGTATTATGTATGCAAGACAAAGTGCTGTGAAGCGTATTATTTTCTATCGAATATAGTAGGCCGGATCTAGCTAGCCAGCTTGAAAGTTGAAACGTGCCCCGGCAAACTTGAACGACCTTTTGATTTCCCCCTGACTCTGACGTTTTGTTTGTTGGATTGACCCCAAGTTTTCGGACTGCCATGCCCGCGCCTGGAAGGAAGAAGGGAAAGAGGTTCATGACCACCAAGGCCTTGAGGCATTGAACCGACGAGGTATAGATCAATAGAACCACTGTGTTGCCGATTCCGTACGTAGGGTGACCTCGCAGAGTTCTTAAGAAGAAACCACAACGCACTCGTCGAGCCGAGACCGAGGCACTGAATGTGACAAATGCGCAGGGACAGAATCTGCGATTAGAAGCGCCAACCGACCGCCCGGAACACACTCACCCTCGGGACTTCGGAGCTCCTGTGGTGGAAAAGTTAATCAACATGGATGAACAAAATTACTCAAGGACGTACCAGATCCGCTGTCTCCACCACGGTGGCAGGCACCGTGTGGGTGTTAGAATTGAACATGAAGTTTTGGCGTCGCTTACTCACAAAAGGTGTGTGTGCGTGGGATCAAATCAGGCACAACTTGAGGTAGAAATTTCAGTCTCCAGGTCTTCAAGGTTGTCCTCTTTGAAAGATGCCAGCTGTCGAGGCGACCATCGTCGATATCCAAAGCCACAACTCGACGAATTCTCGTACAGCCTGCACGGATGTAACTGCTTGCAACATGTCCCAAATCCTCGCTCTTTTTCTCCTAGCCATGTTGTTGTTTTTGCAAGTTCGAAGACCCCGCCGGGATAGATTGTGTGTTTGGGTGCTTCGTCGTGGCGCAAGAGACTATGATAGACATTTTCAAGACACGGGGACCAGTCCGGGGTGTTGATGCGCTCGAGGAATTTTTCGGCATCGGAATCTCCCTTGCATAATTCTCTCAGCCGAAACAAGGCCAAATCCGCCAGCTGCTTGACGAGACTCTCATGTAGCCGAGAGCGACCCAAAGAAAGGAGCAAGATCTAGGGCCAATCTTTATCACATGAAGATTGGTTCCTTGCGCGATCTTCTATCTCGCGAATAAGACACTGTAATGTGGAAGCCTTCGGAGTGAAGTCAAGAAGTCGATCCGCCGCAGTCTACCTCTTTATGTCGTCACCGAGGAATCCCATTCTCCCCGTAGGCACGGATGTTATAACGTGAAACTGGTACTAAGTGTTTTACGTAAGTAGATATATTGAGAGATAATGGAGATCTTAACCTTGAAGAGGTGGGGGCCTCCATCTTTATCTCCTACGTAGTACCATGTATGCAAGCAAAGGATAATGGTGGAGCACCGCAAGTAGATAAATATGGGTTAGACGCCACATGACAATTCACGTGATGTCCATTTTCGAACATTATGCCATTGAACTCAACACGTCTGCGACACTGAAATACCTATGGCGGACGGACAATATACAGAGTTGAGACGACCGTGAAGCAAATAATTCAACACCGCGTCCTGCGCATCGAGGCGCGCACCGTGCGCCATGCGGGGTGCAGTGCGGGGAGCATCTACATTCTACGGCGGAGCAGACTGTCAATGGTTGTCCCCGATGGCCTGCTCGGTGCATGTGGGCTTTACCATGAATTTGTTACCTCGTATGTGAGATGTTAATGTGTAAGAGACAAAAATCTCCGGTGCCGCTGCACACCTTTGGTCACGCCTGAATAAGGAATTGCTTCAAACTCCCCAGCCCAATTGGAATCTCTTGCAAGGGCCGAAGCGATGCCGTTCGAAGCTGTCTATCCACCACCCCGCTAGCATCTGCCTACCATCTTCTTTTTGCCTCCTAGATAAGCTACTGAGTCTCTAACAAAATAATTAAGTATTACCCTATTCGCTCGAGATGAGAAAGCTTGCTGATAGCAAGGTTAGGTACAGTACATGGCACGGACAGGAAGGACGCTCGGTTTTTTTTTTTTTTTTTTTTTTTTCCTTGAAGAATATCCCTGCAAATGGCGAGGCGGAAAAGCCCTGTGGGCATCGGCACGGACAGTACAGTACGAGAGAGATCCACCACCAGCCCAGTACTCAAGTGTGTGCGGACTGCCGAGACCCATCACACACCGCCCACTAGGTGCCGGAGGACGTCACAGTCCGAGACCAACCAGAAGGCAATGTTCAACGCCAGCGTGTTCAGAGGCATCTTTTTAGCTTCAGTGGTAATGCTTCGCAAAGGAGAAATCTTCGACCTACAAGTTTGGCACGCGGGAGTGTACAAACGCCCGGCATTGGACAGTGATGCAGCATCTGTACTTGTAGAATCAATTTCCATCCCTGAGTGTCTCCAAGGTTTGTCGCACGAGCCTGCGGCTTGCCGGGCTCGTCGGGCCTTTTTGCTTCTTGCTTTGCCCTGCGTACGCGCCAATGAATAGCGGTCACGATTGGTGCGTGCTCTCCTCTAGGCAACGGATACAAATACAAGAAGTTTTGGTGATCTTCTGGATCAGCTGTTTGACTCCCAGCTCAACTTTGACCATGGTGTGATGGCGATCCTCGGGACTGCAGCCGGAGCCGCCAAGTGACTAACAAGTACCCAGTAGGCTGGTGAGGTGACGCACTACTTGTACTTGTACATAAGTAGGCACGGGTATGGAGATGCGAGCTACTAGCCTGCTAGCCATCCTGTTGTCGCTATTGTCGTCACGGTGGAGCTGGGACACCGGACCAATTTCCATTTCTCTGGGAGCCTGCAGTCGACGGTTGTGGTGTAACCCCAGACCTCTCCAAACACGCCAGGAACAGGTTCACAGGGAGTCAGGGATGGTCGCACATGCTGGGGGGAAATAATGTTGCGAGGTTCGTGTACCGTGGAGAGTAGAAGCCGATGATTGAGCACAGCGCCATGACCGGAGTCGATACTTTACGACCCGAAGCAGGATTTTGGTGCTGGTGGGAGCTAGTGGGTGCTAGTGGGGTCGAGATCTCTGGAGCCCGGCGTTCAGCTCGGATCGAACGGGACTAGGGAGCTTTAGGCATAGAGGCACCGATCGCCACGCTTATAACAGGCCCAGCTCCAGAGTTCCAGGTTGTGCCCTGGCAAGGCCCTGGAAGGGTCGAGGAGCATTGGGGGGGGGGGGAACTGGGGAGAACTACTCGGCAGAGGAAGTCCGCAACAACCCAGCAGCGCTCTCCCCTGGTTGCCCACTGTGGCTGAACCAGTGGCGGTCTAGCGGTCGAGTGACCAAAGTGGTCTGCGAGGAGATCGAGTTTCTGGGTGTTACAGTGGCTGCAGTTAAGGTTCAGCCTGCGCAACCAGAGGCACAAGAAGCTGCGTCAAAGGCGGACGTCTATTACCTGCCCAAGTACGTCTGCATGTGCATGGAAGAGCTGGCTAGGTCTCAGTTGGTCCTAGCTGGTGGTCCCAGCCAGGAACTGTGACCAGCTTCCCGGCTTCATAGCTCTACCCAGTACCAGGAGCAACCTCATCACCAGCCTCCCACTTCCTCTTCAATCCCGAGTCCCCTGCACAGGATTGATCCTGCAAAACTTGGTTCAGCTTCAGCGTGTCGTTCATAATCCCCCTTACTGACTGTATCTCGTACTCGGGACCTTGCTAGGTCCTGCAGAGCGGCGGTCCCTGTCACTCGTCACTGCCAACAGCCAACAGTCTCACTCCACTTCCGTCACTACTCCAACTGACCTTTCACTCGACCTTCACTTCCCACCTCAAAAAGCTTCCCACTTCCACCTTCCAGCTCCGAACTCAAAACGACACTTCTCAATTCGATCTGTGCCTGACCGTTCCCCTTTCCTCCCCCTCTCTCTCTACCATCTCTTCCTCAAACCTCGCCCTCTCTCTCGGCATCCCCCCCCCCCCAACGACTTACTCTCGACGTCGTCGTCACGTACCGTGCATCCTCTTACTGATTGCACCCTTTACGTCGCCTAACTCTCAGCTTCATCCACGGGTCAAGATACCCTCGTCTTCAAACATGAAGAGCTTCGCCATCGCCGCTGCTCTTGTCAGCGCGGCGCTCGCCCAGACACTCTCCAGCCTGCCACAATGCGGTGTAAGCATCTCGCTCTCCTCAAGCCGCTCTTCAGAACAGCGACTGACCTGTGCTCCAGCAAGTCTGTTTCGGTAACATGCTCGCCCAAGCTGCTAACCTCGGCTGCCCCGATGTCAACGGATCGCCCGACGTCCTTTGTCTTTGCAGGAACGCCGATTTCAGCTATGGCCTCCATGACTGCTCCTCTGAAGCCTGCCCGGTGGGTACCGACATCTCACCGATTCTTACGTATGGGCAGAACTACTGCAGCTCTGGTGAGTGAATATGGACATCCTGGTCGGGTTCGGACATTGTACTGATGGTCGCTAGCTGCTGCTTCCGCATCCAGCGCCGGTAGCTCCGTTGGGCCTCTCTCGGGAACCTCTGCCTTGACCGTTGGTGGTGCGACCGCGACTGGCGCTAGTGGTGCCACTGCTACTGGCACTGGTGCTTCTGCTGGAAGTGCTTCTGGCTCTGGTCCCTCGGGGACTGGCTCTGGTGCTGGCTCTGGTGCTGGCTCTGGTGCTTCTTCCACTCCAATTTCTACCGAGACGCTCTTTTCGACTCTTACTTCCGATGGCAGCGTTATCACCACCGCTGTCGGCACATCCACCATCTTTAGTGCGGTTGGTGCGGGTCCGGGTGGCAGTGGTGGTGGCTCTTCGACTCCCATCTCGACTGAGACTCTGTTCTCCACGGGCACAAACAGTGCAGGCAGCACATTCACCACTGCCGTGGGCACATCCACCCTCTTTAGCGCACTTGGAACTGGGGTCAGTAACATCGTCCCGTGACAAAATGTGTACCTGCATCGCTAACGGATTTAGTCCTCTGCTGCAAGTCGTGCGTCGTCGGCTGCCTCTGGCGCAAGCGCTTCGGCCTCGTCTCTCTCGGCATCCCTTTCGTCCCAAATCTCATCAGCCTCCTCTGCCGCGTCTAGTGCTGCTTCGTCCGCCGAAGCTTCTGCATCCTCGTTGGCCAGCTCGGCGTCTTCGCATCTGGCCAGTGCCACTAGCTCAGCCGCCTCAGGAGCGTCCTCTGCTGCATCGGCAGCATCCAGTGCGACAGGTGCGGCCATGCCAAGGGCAACAGTGGCTGTCAACGGTCTGGCTGGCATCGCAGGTCTTGCTGCTATCATGATGCTGTGAATGAACCACACTTGAGCCACATTGGGTCGGGTAGGAGGGTTGATGAAAATTTCCAATTTGTTTCCACATCACTGTTGATACCCACATTCGAATGGCACGACTTGCATCATGGTTCCACAAGGCAGGGAAAAGGACAATCGACGGACAGAAACTCAGCGCGATTGGCTTGTTCATGGTCACTGCAGCGCGCCTATTGATGCGTGAACCGGATTTACGGACAATCAAACGGTACCTTTTAGCACGAGCATGAAGCTTCTGCTGTAATAGGCCCGAAAGTGCGGGCTGATAGCTAATACCCGATGCATAAAACACGAAACAGAGATAGCTTTTCAGAAGTGGGCGTGTCGTGGTATTTAAGCTCATTTTGGCGCTTCGCTGGTACAGTACTATCCGTGCGTTGACTCAGCCTCGCTTGCCCAGCCGAAATATCCGAGCGGCCCTGCGGACGAGCCATAGCAAGGCTTGACTACTCTTGTTGCATGTCGCACCAGTTTGTGTTAAACCACCATGTCACAGCGATGGGAAGATTAATGATTACCAACTCTCAGGGGTTTTCCCTTTCCTGAGGGGCTCATCTTGTGTTGCTTGATGGCAGGGTATCTGATAAATCACTACTCGGTACATTCGCATTAACTCAAAGCAATGCCCATCCAATGCAATTCCCGTGCAATTCAGAGAGAAGCAGCAGCAGCAGCAGCAGCCACCAGCACAAATCCCTCATTCCCAGTCCTCCTCGTCGCTCTCCTCGACCTTGGTGGGCGATCGGCCGAGGTCGTCTTTGGGGCTTCCTGGAGCACGGCTGTTGGCGCCGCTGACGAGATCGTAGCTTGCGTCGCTGTCTGCGACGGACTTCTCATCGTGAGATCGACGGCCTTGGCCTTCGGGCTTCAGATGCGAACAACTTGGGTCGGCCGAGGCCTCCGCCGACGACGACGGTGGCTGCTGGTGTATTGTGGTTGAGGAGTCGTTGGTGTTTTGAGCGACTAGCACTTTGGGCACGGCTTCTTCGTTCCGTAGCTGAGGAGTATTAGAAGAGGTCCTCCCCTGCTCGTCGTCGTCGTCACTGTCCTCGTCCCAGCCAACCTCCTCTGTTTCATGCGCAGATGCTGTAATCAATCGATCGGTTAGCAGAGACTTCTTTCTCACTGGAGAGTAATAAATGCCACCCGACCTCGAGAGCCATACCTTTGAGAAGTTCTTTCCTCTTTTCTTCTTGGGTCTCCACGACATGTCGCAGAAAATAGTACCTTGTCCAGAAATCCTTGTATTCCACTTTCTCCGGCACAAGCTTCTCCATGGACCTTCTCAACTCCCTATACTTGTCCAGGTCTTCGGCAATGCGTGCCGTCATCTTGTCGATATCGAAGCCCTTTTTGAAGTTATCCCACTGATCGCCCGCTCCACTCGGATCTTGAGTGAAGCTCGTCATTGTAGTGTGGATGACATGTAGCTGCGCGTCAAATCTGCTCGTATGGATGACTCTTTTGCCGGACGTAGGGTCTCTACTTTCGAAGAGCATCTCGCCAGCCTGGCGATTTCCGGCCTCTTCGTCGTCCGGGGCTGTCACAGACACCGCATCTCGAAGGAAATTTCTGATATTTGTGCCGAACCTCAAGAGCGCCTCATCTGCAGCATCTTCTGCTCTCTGCACATCTCTCAACCTCTTTGCGGCCTCGGCTTTGAACCGCTCGAGGAAGGTCTCAGTCTCCTGGATTGCTTTGTTCTGCTCACTCTCCTTGCTGGTGCTAGGCGATTCTGTGTCCTCGTCTGTTCCTGAGGCATTCTCCCCTTTCTTTTGGTCAGCGCCGAAACCCAACCCCTTGACACCCTTCAGCCGCAAGGCTTCCATGTCGCTTGCCATTTCAGCAGCCTCCTTTTTTGCCTCCTCGTATAGACTTTCTCCTTGCTTTCTGACATTGCCCCAGAATCCACCTAGCTTCACTCCCCATTGTGAATTGGAAAATGCCTTGAATGTCTCCTGGAACTCTGCTTGGAGACTCTGTCTCGGGGAGCTTATCTCGGGCGTTGAGGTATCGTTCGTGTTTGAGGAGGTGTGATTCGATGCAGGCGTAGGAGTTGTGGCACGGTCGCCGGGATTGTAAGCTTGCTCAGCAATATGATCGTATGCGAGGTCCATGGTGGTGGGGAGTAAGGGTAGTCAATGGGAGGATGTGGAGAGGGGCAATTAAATGCGCGGACCAACGAGGTTGCCCTGTCGCGAGGAAATGACCGTAATTAGCGACAGTAGATTGAGGAAAAAGGGTTGGCTCGAGCTGTTGTACCGGCGTCGTGTTTGACGAGATACGAGGCTTCAACATGCATGCGAGGTTGGAGGATGATCAGGGGATTCGTCAATGAAGCCAGAAAACCACGTGCTATGAAGGGGAATAATTAGTCTGTCTGACAGGGCGAGGACAGAGACACTGCACAAGCACTGCATCAATTTTCGAGCAGCTGGACATGTCAGACATGCCAATTCTTTTTCCCTGAAGAAACATCACCCATCTATCATTACCTCTCACCCTTCCTCCTGATAGAGAATACATGTTTCAACATGCCTCAGCAAACTCGACGATAGGGGCCTTTGCTTGTCAAAAGTAAGTCTCTTCCCGGTCTGTCTAGTCTGTATTGCCACTGGTATCCCCAATACGATATACGGAAGGGCACAAGTGTCACATCCCTTGATCTCATCAATCATCTAAAACCTTCTCACAGATTTTATCCTGGTGCCTGACGGGCTGCGGCATGAAGTAAACCACTCTAATCATGGCAACGGACCACTTTGATCCATGCACAGTGAAAGAGAGACCCATAAGAGGTTACATTTGATCCTGATTGACGGACAATTCGCGTTGCCCAAGTTGGCTCATCAGCGCGCTAACCCGACCTGGTCACCATTTCGATCTCGTTTCGCGTATAGACGGGTTCAATATGCGTGGACTGATGTTAACGCGTAAGGCGAGGGCGGTCCAGAGAGATATCCATATCACAGTTATCATGTTCTGCGCCCTTGGTTGTCTATGCTCAGTTACTTTCATATATATTTAGGTAGGAATTCTGCCTCGGCCTCAAAAGATGTCTGGCGCATCTCCTTCCCAAATACTTCAATCCACACTTGTCAAATACGGACTGGATCTTTATCCCAGCTCCTCAACTGATTTCTATTGGAAAACATGAATCGCCGGCAACGAAATGGGCCCCTAACTCGAGTGACTAAAGGAGTTGGTAGTCTTATAGGCCTCGCGGCCGAGGCGCATGCTCAACACAAAAACAAAAAGACAAGCACACTTGCAAAACGACATGATGCCCCTGAGACGAACGACAGCCCGGCGATTGGCAGAGGAGACGGTGTTCGACACGAATCCCTGGAAATCGACGAGCAAGAGTCTCCTTCCAACGAAGACGAGGATGCTTTCGCCATCGACACTCTCCTCCCACCGTCGTACGACGACGTAATCTCTCCCCAGTCCTCTACCGCAGCTCCCTTCACAACGGTAAAGCCCCTCCCACATCCCATAATCCTCCCTCAGCGCCGTCCCCACCACTCCTCTCGAGGCTTCGTTCGAGCGTACGCACCAGTACTCCAAACCCACAAAAACATCTCCCAAACAACCTTTCTCCAATTCCTCAAGAATTTCCAGCAGTCCTCACGCGCCTCTCCCGTGTTCCACGCAATCAACATTGGCGCTATGGCTGCAGGGTTTGCACCGAGCGCGATTGCTATCGCCGTGAGTATGAGTGTACAAGTTGGCGTGAGGCATGCCATGGCCGCGCAGGGGAGGCTGAGAACAAACACTTTCTTGGACAAGGCGAACAGGGAGATGTTTTGGCCCGTCGGGCTGCATGCAATGATTACAACCTTTGCACCAGGTCAATCTGACCAAAGACTTCTGGACGTCGATTCTGGACGCTCGCTCCCCTCTTTCCACGAAACAAACCGGCATGGACTCGCAATCCCTCAATCCGCGCCTCTGATCTTCCCCAGTGTCGATCAAGAAGCAGATGACGACGGCCAGCCTTCGTCGTCTTGGAAGCAGAGCTCCAAATTTGTCTCTTCGTACTTTGACAGACGCGCCCAGGCCGCTTATCCGTCCACCTACGCCGATGCATTGGAGGCAGAAAAATCATTCGGCCACCAGACCTTTGCCAGCCGCTATAGCGACCCAAATCATCCCGCCAACTCGGGAAGTCCTCTGGCCCTACTGACCGGCGGGATGATCAACCCAAGAGGTGATCGGGACGGACTCCTGTCGACAGCAAGACGCATGAGGCGATCAAACTCCCACGGAGAGGAAGGGCTGCTGATGCGGCTTGCTCGGACCGCCTCGAGTGCGACAAAAGGTGGCCAGCATAGAGAGCTGTCCTACGACTCTGCCCCGCTCTCTGAGTCTCAGTCTCAGCCTCAATCTCAGTCTCATTACCATTCCCCGGAATCGGAAGACAGTGCCTGTTTACCGCGCCGCGAGAGCTCGCGCCAGGCCCGCCGTCACCGTCATCGTCATCGTCGCGAAAGTTCCTCGAGCCAGTATGATGAAAGTCGAGGCCGAGCTGGTGGTGGTGGTGGTGGTGTTGGTGTTCGGCTCAGGCAAGTTCTAAGACGAGCCACGACGATGCAGCAGGACATGCTGTATCTTGTCATCGCCGAGATCCCAGATTCAGTGAAAGAGGAATTATCGCGTTCGCGAGGCGGGTGATTAAATTATATAGATCGAATCAGCGATCACACGACCCACTGACACTGTTTCCAGAGAAGTTCTCCTCCCACGTCTACTTCTCGTTCTACCTCTGTCGCCTCTACTTCTCTCATAACACAACACTGCATGGACCGACGGATGCGTTGTTGGTAGGGAAGGGAAAGGTCCAGCGCTGCTACACATGTAGAATACAGACCGGGAAAAGGGGGGGTACGAGCATCGAGAGGAAGAGCAAGATCGAGCACCCCATCTACGCCACTGGGGCGAAGGAAAATGATATGCTATGCCGCTGGATTCCGAGCCCTTTTTACTTCGAGTCTTATATTTTGATTTGATTTTGATTTGACTTGACTTGGCTGGATTGATGGATCGATTGATCTGCAATGCTCTTCAATGTCCCTGACAAGTCCAGGGAGATATGTTTGCAGATGGATGCCCGATCCCACGTCCGTCACAGGATGGACGGACGAGGAATCTATTCTTCGAACCGCAAGTCCTCCCATTCTTCATGATCATGATGTAATGAGCATGAGCGATTCCATGAATCGCTCGAGTAAAGGCACTTCATATCATATCGTATCGTACCATGTCATGTCATCTCCCCTGTACAAATACCTTGACGGCGACTCCCAGCACCTGCTCCACCTCCTGCCTCGCCATGCTCAATCACCCTCACGAACGTGTGACCATGCCATTCATGGTATTCCTTGTTCATCTCCTAATACTCAAAGTCATCATCCACGCCAGTTTTGCCCGACTGTTCCTTCTGCATCACCTCCTGCTTCCTGTACATCTCCGCGACTTCCCCACTGGTCGTCGCCTCCTCCGGTTTCTTGTCATCTCTCCGCTGAATGAAACGAGGGAACCTCAGACTTATCCCGTTCTTGCCGCCCATCTCGTCGATTGCGGCCCTGTATCTTGGACTCAGCGTAAGATCCGCCGTTTTCACTTCCCAGACGTGGCGCGCTTCGAACCAGACGTCCGGTTGATCGTTTTTCACCGTGGAGTGAGAGTAAAAGGGCTTGGGGCGTTCAATCACTATTTCCGAGAGCTCCTTGGTGAGATCTTCGAGTAGGGATTCGGAGAAGCCGGTTCCGATGTTGCAGACTGTCTCAAAATTTTGTGTCTCCGGGTTGTATGCGGCAAGGAGGAAAGCGCCGTACCAGGAGGTGCGTTTACCTTTGCCGTGATACGCTCCCAGGACCACAAGATCCAAGGAATCGCCTATGCCAGAGAGATAGTCCTTTTTGACTTTGAGCCAGTTCCTCGAGCGTTTGGATGGTTCGTAGGCCGATTCTTCCGTGTCGAGCATCTTCACCATCAAACCTTCACATGATGCTTTGACCGCGTCATCAAGTAGATGTTGAATCTCTTCAACGTCCTTTGCGTCGCCATACTGGGCGAATTGAAATTCGCCCTCTACCGGCACGAAGGCATCGTGCAGCAATTCCCGTCTTTCACGGAATGTCTTCTGCACAAGCGCTTCACCATTATAAAAGAGCATATCGAAGGCAAAGACGCAGACTTTGACGGTGACTTCAGATGTCTTGACATCTTTGCGTTTGCGCGTCATTAGTTGTTGGAAGGGTAGGATTTTCTTGTTTTGAGGGTCCCAGGCGACGGTCTCGCAGTCCAGCACAAAACTCTTCGTCGAGGGCTTAATCCACGTGTTCAATTTCTCGAGGATATCGGGATACTTTTTAGACAGATCTTCGGAGTTTCTGGAGAAGACGGCTGCCAGGCCTTTGAACGCCTTGGGATCCTTCGTCAGTGTATTCTGTGCTGCTGGAAATTCGGACATGGCTTCGGGGCAAATGTAGTGGATCTGCGAGCGCTCTCCATCGTATTTATATTCACACGTAAAGGTCTTCCCCTCAAAGCGGTCAAGCACTTCGGTGATTGACTTGGTCGGTTTCGCAAGCATGGGTTTCAGGGGTACTCCTGGCTGCAATTTGCACGTCTCATGTAAATTGAAAATCCCATGTTCCAGCATCGCCGGAATTATTACTTCGTACGAAGGCAGCTGGCTGTAGACCATCTTCAGGGCGGCCTCTCCCTGCGCCAGCTGGTCCGTTGTTGGAGCCTTGCCCTCTTTCGCAGCCTCGTGGGTCACCACAGCCTGTGCCAGTGCGATAACCACTGTTTTCTCTGCGAGGCCTAGTCGTAGCTTTCCTTCGAGGAAACGGACCAAGAACTTGGCCTCGGATGGCCCTCCCTTGTCCTTGGTGATGTCGACAGTTTTGGTTGCAGACGAGACATCTGCGGACGCCATAAGTTTATTGATAGCTCGAACTTTCTGGTCTTGCGAGCCTTGCCCTTCCATCTTGGCGATATCAAGCAAGCCCTGATGAACGCCGCGGACAGTGAGCGGCTTTGGCTTGAACATCTGGCTCTGCTTAGATTTGCTTTTCGCGGCAACCAAACCCAAGTCACCAATTTTTTGATGATCCGCTTTGATGACGGATAACGAGCGTCCGGAGCTCTCTCCGATAGCTTTCATGATCAGTGATTCCCCAATCCCAAGTTCGATGCCGGCGTAGTCAGCGGCGAGCTTGTTCAGCATGAGTTGGATTGTAGGCAGCAGATCCTGTGGCGTCAACCGGAGAACTTGTTGCAGGAACGCCGAACAGTAGGCTGTGATTTGGAGACGCTTTGTTGTGAGTTCGATCAAGGAGAAGGTTGTGCATAGCGCCGCGTATGGCACAGGTTCACCGGCCTTCCAATCTGGATAGGGATCTATCCCAGTAGATTTGATGGTGGCTTGAATTTTGGCCACTTGTTTTTTATCGACCTTGGAGTCCTCATCCTCGCTTGCAGACACGTCATCTTCAGCCTCTGAGGCACTACTGTCCTGACCTGACGGTTCTGGCTCCTTCTCCGCCGGCTCGGTTGGTTTCAATGATGTCCCTCCAGCGTTGGCGTCTGATTCTGGTTTGGAGGCCATGCCGTTTGTCTTTGGGGTCTCTTTTGGGCTATCCTTAGATGGAGGTGTCCTCCTGCGTCTCTTGACTACTGGCTGATCATCAGAATCGTCCTCGTCTTCTTCGCCTTCTGCGCTAGGTCGCCTGTGTTTTCTGCTTGGGGAATTGTCGCTTTCATCTTTCCCATTCTCGACATTCTCGACATTTTCTTTCCTCAAGTCAGAGGATGGATCCTTCTCGTCCTCTGGCGGATCATCCGCTTTCTTGCTGTTGGACGTTGTCTTCTGATTGAAGGACAGAGTGGACTGGGTTTTAGGTTTGTTGCCGTTGTGCTGGTTCGCAAGGAACTTACTGTGAAAGTCAGCCAAAGCAAAAGGTCGCACCAGTGATAGTAAGCGTACCCGAGAGTTAACTGCCTTGCTTGCGGCATGTTCGAGTTCGGTTGTAGGGGGCGGGATTTGGAGATGGAGGTCACGGGTCGAGAGGAGAGATGGATGAGGGCAGGCGCAAGGGAAGACCGCGACAGATATATGAGGCGGAATGAACGATGAGAAGGCAGAAGGATTCTAAGAGTCGCCTGAGGTGCGAGCACGCAACCTAATGGCGCCAGTTTCATCCAGGTGAAGTTGTGGCTGCAACAATCACCGACGCGATCGATTTTTCAATATATCGAGAAGCAAAGGCGCGTCGACGCGTGGGGTAATTAATTAATTCGCGTCTGTCATGGTTAAATGACGTGGGACGTGTGAAATGGCGGCTGGTGCCTCTTGTCTTGCTCCTGTGCCTGCCAGGCAAAATCTCCGTTTGATCCTTCGCACACAGCACAAGCGTCAAAGCTCGCCATCTACATTCTGGCCCTGCATCGTTCAACCATTGACGATGGATCGGAAAGATATCTACGTCGTCGCTAGAACTGCCGGGATGCCGTTACTCCAACAACCTTCGCATCTGACCCTCTCCGCCAAACGTCTGAGTGATCCTTGATCCTGAAGCTACTTCTCCGCCTCCTTCACTTGCCACCACAGTAGTTGGCAGAGCGACAACGGCAGCGCTACTAATACTCATGGGTACCTCAACACCAAGCATCCAAGCAGGCAAGCCCTACATGCTTTGATCGTACGCTTCTCGGACGGTCTCCGCCGGTTGCCATGGGTCAGGTCGAACCGCGGTGCGAAGAACAGTTGGTCGTCTAGTAACAGCTCAACGTTTGTGGTGACGGTGGGTTGTGCTGCCTGAAGACCGAAGTTTTTTGAGGACTAGAGATTGCTGTGCCGTTGCCGTTGCCGCTGTTGTTCATGACCGTGTCCAGTCTCCTCGTCAAGAAGGCGCTCCTAGGAGTGTCACGAGTGCGGATCGATGTTGTGGGAGCGTTCGACGAAGATCGAATCGCAGGAACGTGCTTTTCTGGAATAACGCATTGAGCCATGCCGAAGATACTGGTCGGTTGTAGGGCGTTGTCCGGGGGGGGGTTCGAGCTTGGCGAACCTTCTCTACTCGTTCTGGACGACCTGCCTCTGTTCAGCTTGAAGAAATAAGATGGAATGAACAAGACAAGGGGGTAAGAGAAAGGGTTCGCAGAGGTTTACAGTACCCGTCCGTGTTGTCCTGGTCCTGCGCATTGCCTGACAGGACCTGCCGGGAGAATGAGAGCGACCCCGGCCCGGATTCATTCCATATCTTTGTTGCCGAGCGACACTGAAGCACAGCAGTCAGTGAAGTTGCGAGTTGGGTATCAGCAGTCGTAGGTCAAGACTCACAAACGCATCGGCCATGGTCGTGATTGACCGCATACCATCCAAACCTTTCAAATTGCTCTGAATGTGAGGCGTTGTCTTCTTTTCAAGCGATCCTCTCTGTCTACTCCTGTGGCGAGAGTGCAAGGGTCTAAACATGTCACTAACCTTTCTTCGTCTATGTACTGTAACAAGGCAAAGTGGCTGTGCTGGGCTGGTAGAGTGGTAGCAGGGGAGAGAAGTTGTCTAGTCACATGTCAAACCAAAATGGGCTGGCAGAGAGGGGGGTGCGGAACAGTTTACAGTGCTGGCAGAGTGCCATTCTTTACAGTTTGAGCAGAGTATCACGAACCCCATGGCTTTTTGGCGGCGTCTACCTAATTCCTGAGTGTTTTATCAGTTCTGTCCTGTTCCTCGATGCTGCCGCTGTGCTAGGTGTTCGTAGCACTAGCCGCTGTCTCTCTGGGTGGTGTTGGTGGTGGTGTTGTCTTGTCAGTATCAACCAGAAACGCGTTCTCGATTCCCGATCTGCTGGACAGGCCTCTGTGCGTTGTTGCACGTGCACGCCGAACCCTGAAGTGCTCTGTTACAATATGACGAAGTAAGTTTGTGGCAGATACGCGGGACTTACTTACTAAATAGCTACCCAGCCACTACTTTATGCACATACTCAACCAAAAATTCGGTGTGCATTTAGGAAAGGAGTTTTGATGAATAGCATCCATTCTTGAACACAACACTCATGCTCAGTCACTCAAGATCAACGAAGTGCTGTCTGGTAAGGACATAGATACGAATATAGTCCACAGTTAAAATTGAGTAGAAGTTGAATATTCTATTGGGAGCTAAGCACAGAGTGAGATGGAGAGCTTTCCGTACGCATTTTACATAAGCGCTCCTCTAAACACAGTGGCCTCGTCCTGCTCCTTGTGAGCGCCCGCAAATCTAGGCCTATCTACAGAAAATTTTCAATTTGGAGACATGTTGCTGTTCTCTCTCTCTCTCTCCTCATTCTCTTCTCTCCCTAAGATCCGGTCTTGGACCGCCATGGATGGTAATATTATAGCTAGGGTCTGTAAAAAGGAGTTTGGACAGGAGCACAACACACTTTTTGATAGACTTTTTCACTGTTTGGGCCTTTGGCAATTAGGAGGAATGTGGAACAAAACCGTTTTGTAACCGTCGCCAACTTCTGTTTAGATGCAGTGTGTTGTCAGTCCTAAGGACAGCCGGCGGCGGCGGCGGCGGCGGCCTTCCTCTTCCTAAGCTGTTCAGCCGGGCTTTCGAGGTCAATGACGGCTCCTCTCCCGCTCTTGTCTCTTGACTAGGGCATCACGTCGCTTGTTTTCACCATCCAGCGCATCACGACCCCTTCAAGCATTCTCACCAGGGGCCCGTACTCGGGCTCGGCCGCAAGGGTGTGCAGCTCGTGCGGATCCTCGCCCCGTCGCGAGTACTGCTCGCAAGGCTCGTACAACCAGTACAGGTACGTCTACTCTTTGCTCCTCAGCGCGACGGCCCTGCCGACCAGCGTGAGGTCCCGGTGCTGGAGCCCTGCCTTGAGATCGGAGAGCCCGGAAGGCCATTTCGCTATCAGGCCGTGATCGCCCATGTATTCGCCGTGGTCAGTGAAGAACATGGTCACAGTGGTAGAAGAGAGATTCGTAGATAATAGAATAGAAGTGATGCGGCCGAATTGGTCGTCGAGGCGAGAAACAATGCCCATGTATGTCGCCTAGACTTCGGCCCATATTTCAGGTGTCACGCGGTGAGTGTCGAAGCTATCACGGATCGCCTTCATATAACGAGGTTCATAGCCCGTCTACCGTCAGATTATCAGCACCTTCCAGACCAGCAGAGTCTCATTCCTGAGACGTTCATGTCTGTCGTCGGGAATCAACGACAAGATCTTTTGCCAGCTCTATACAATGACCAAGTCGGCAAACCTCTAGAAGAGATATGGGTGCTTGGTCTTTCAAGGAGAGGACGTTGCCGTGTTGGCTGACAATCGTCCACCGGATGTATAGCCGACCTTTGCCTACCAGAAGACCTAGGAGTAACCGATCAAAAGCCGTTCACCTTCTGAGCCTTGTGTGGCTTGTTCTTTCCATTCCAGAGCTCCCAAATGTACAAGATTTCCTGGGGGAAAAGCAGATTCGCAGATACCATCGAACGAAAAGCCCATAAGAAGACCTTCCTGCAGGGGAGGTCAATACCTTTCCGGGCCATCGAGACGATGTGCCAGCCGAATCCCCGTCGCCAGCCCCGTTTTCCTCCGATCTGCCGTTGCACAACATCGCTGGCCTGGGGCAAATGGCTGAGTTTATGAAGAGCAACCGGCGATACCTGGGGTGGCCTGGGTATGAAGGCTATCTCAACTTCCGAGTTGCTACGCTGTCAGAGATCCTCCAGGACGCCGATTATCAAACCTTGATGTCAGGTAAATGGTGGACTAGTCCTTTTGCGTAGCCCAGTTTGCGGTGACTCTCCCTTCCCCGTGCACGTGTTTTATATTGATTGACCCTTACGATGGCGGCCCCTTCTAGGCATCTCGGACTGACAAAAGACTTGTCACCGCATGCTCGGGGCTTTGACAAGAGCTTTGTCTACCTCGCCGGCTCAAGCCATTGATTCAGCGAGAGTTGGTGCGTCCTGACGTCGAACCCGCGCCCATGGGTGGGCAAGTCTCACACGGATGGCATGAGATGAACCTCCATTAGCAGAAGGATTCCGCACGGCGCATGGAAAACTATGCCGCTATGGTCAGCCTGATCGATGACCTGAACGCGCGGACTGAGACAGTCTACGAGGCGGGCCGTCAGGATGTAACGGGATGGGGGCTGTTCGGGCGAAGAGCCATCCGGCGAGGAAAATAGAAGGCATTGTATCAGCCGGCGCCCGTGGGTTCCGAGGAGTGGAAATTGTACGACTTGTCCAGGGATGCGGGCAAAGTACACCATCTAGCAGGCCAGGAACCGGAGGTCTTGAATAGTCTCTTGGTAGAATGGGAGCGGTACTGGGTACTCTACCGAGACGGGGTTAGATCTGCCAGAACAATAGTGATATCTCGCCCTGAGCATTTTTCTCTAGCTTTGCGAAGAGTGTCACGTCCGCCGAACAGGCGCCGTTTCACTGTTTACTCGACCTTTTCTACCTGCTACCTCGCAACGTCAGCGTCCTCGGCGGCTTTCCTCTATAGAAGGGCCGGTGGTATCGACGCTGTCGCGCTCTTCCCTCTGCCGTTCTTCTTCAGAACCCTCTCCATTCGAATCCTCACCCCCATATTCTGTACTATCGTAGTCGTACTCCTCTCCTCTATCGGTGAACAGGTGTCTGGGATGGACAATCTCCTTGGACCGGTAGCACTTGAAGCACAGGAAGAAACCTCCGCACTGGTCGCACCGGTAGTATACCCCAACCATAAGCTGTGGCGTTTCTCCTTGTCAGCAATCCTTTGGCGAACGTAGAAATGTTTGGACAGGGAGAGAGTCAGTCATCACTTACAATCAAACATGCATCGCAATAATAACCTTCGTTGCAAGGTTTGGCCTTTCTAGCGTGCCGCGACGGACTGTCCCAGTCTCGATTCGACCCGGCGGCACGAGTCTCCAAGAATTCGATGATGCTGTGAGGGAGGCCGTAGTGGTTCGCGAGCTTCAGAGCAGTCCACTTCCGGTCCAGGCCCAGACCCTCCGCAAAGAGATCTGCTCCGTGGCGCAGCAGTTCTTCGAGGATTGCTTGTCTTTGATCGGATTGGGCTTCCCATAGGGTGCATTGCCGCATGGCCCAGAGAAGTGGTGTCCATTGGTCCCTGTCCCTGGCGTTGACGACATCGAGACCCCTCTCTTTCGCCTTCTCCAGAACATATTGAACCAGGTCGAGTCGCCCGCTGACGACCGCAAGGTGGAGAGCGCCCCTGCCCATTTTGTCGGGCTCGAAAAGCTGCGCGCCATGTTCAGGCCGACAGAGAAGCTCGACCCGATCGATTGAGCGGTACAGAGCGTAGTGGATGGCCTGGCGGCCGACCTTGTCCACGCCGTCGACTTTTGCGCCCCTTTTCACCAATAGCCCGACGACTTCCATGGTCCCGCTGAGGATTGCCACGTTCAACGGCCCTCCCCACCAGTTACTGGCCAGGTTCGCATCGGCCGTGTACTCGGCATCGTCCAGCAGGTATTTGATGATGCTATCCTTTTCCGGACCCGGCTCGCGAAGGAGAGCTGCCTGAAGCGGGGTGCCATTGACGCCAGGATGGACGATGTTGGTGTCTGCTCCGTACTTGCACAGCAGCTTGACCATGTCTAAAGACGCCATCCGGCATGCACGTATTAGCGGCCCGCCATGGGGACCGCCGGTGATGTTGATCCTCGCGCCTTTGAGGATCAGGTACCGAGCGATTTCCAGGTTGTCTTGCCATGCCGCGCTGCAGAGAGCTGTGTAACCGTCATTGCTGGCACTTTCTAGGTCGGCCCCTCTGTTGACGAAGGCTTTGACGATCGAATCATCATCATTACGCCGGGTGAGGAGAACGGCTCGATTCAAAACCGAGTACCCGTATACGTCCTTGGCCTTTTCCAGATCCAGGTTGAACTCCAGAAGCATTTTCACTATGGCTTTGGCACACCCATTGACGGCACTCATAAGTTCTTCGGACCCTTGTGAAGGAAGGTTTCGGGGATCTGCCCCAGCGTCCAAGAGGCGCCCGACACATCCAGTGTTCAGTTTGGAGACGGCCGCGCTCAAAGCCTCCTGTATGGCGTCCGGGTTGATCTTTTGTCTGTGCTCGAGCAAAGCCTCGAGAACTTTCTCTTTGTTCCACTTTGCCGCAAAGTAAAGACATGTCCATCCATTATTCGTCCTAGCATTGATGTCGGCTCCCTTCTGGATCAGTAAACGAGTAATGGCTGCATCGTCATAAGCACCATGGATCGGCCGCCAACCATCATCATCTGGCACCTCCAGGTCTGCTCCTGCTTCGATCAGAATGCGAGCTATGCCAGAACTTTGAGTGTAGACTGCATGGAACAACGGAGTTCTACTCCTCCAAACGCTTTTGTTGAGTGGTGCTCCAGCACGGACAAGCAGGCTCACGACGTCTTCTCGCTGTTCTCTCACCGCAAGATGGAGGGCGTCCTCAAGCGTCCAGGCAATCTCTTCCCCAGGGCATTGTTCACGAGCTGCGGTGACAATTGCTTCGATGGCTTGCAATTCGCACCCTTGCTCAATCCCCCACTCGAGAAAGTTGGCATACCCACCGCCTGCCAGTGTCCCTTCAGCTTTTGACATGTCGCAATATGCCGGTGAGAACCCAGACTTCATTGCGCTCTTCAGGACTTCGATGTACCCGCCCTCAGCCGGATCGACCAGATCTTCGATGTGCTTCCAGAGAACATTCCAGCATTTGGTATGTCTCTTGTTGATGACTGCAGTCACCCAATTCACGACAACCTCCGCTTCGAGATCAGCCGGATTGAAAGCTGTCAAGAGATGATCCAGAACACGATGATGTCCAAAGTTGATCGCAAGTTTCGCACAAGCGTCGAACACATTCGCTAGTTCGGGACGAAACGTTGCGGCCGTGATCAATAGATCGACGATTTCAGCATGCCCGAATTGACAGGCAAGTTCCAGCGCCGTCTCATCGTGTTCAATTTTGAAGGTAGTGTCATCATAGGCGACAAGAACTTTTGCCGCCTCAAGATTGCCTCTCGAGCAGGCGTGCTGCAGAGCGGTCATTTCCAGAATCGTGGCATTTTTCTGCCCTCTCTCGATTGCCAAAGATAGGAGTGCTCTAACGATTGCTGTCTGTCCGAGTGAAGAAGCTCGACACAGGAGCAGAGTTGGGTCTCGAAACCTTTTGGAGTCTCGAAGCCCAAGGTTAAGCAACTCCATAGCGACCTTCTGATTGCCTGACTGGATAGCGGCAAGAATCAGGTTATCCCAGGAGTCGGATGGAGAAATTGGCTTTTTCTCGATGAGGCTGAGAACAGTCTCCAGCTCGCCGGTTCCGGCTGCAGCTTCAACAGATTGGGCGACTTTGTGGCAAAGCAGATCATCAGACGTCTTTGATGGTCTTTGGTCATTGGTAACCCGAAACAACGCTTCAGAGAGGCCATAACTAGCGAGTATCGCAAAAGGGTTTCCTTTCGTAACGCTGCCCCGTGTAAAAGGGTTTTGGAGCTCCCAGTGCATCTTAGCCCAGTCCATTAAGGGGCCACCGTCCCAGAAATCCAGCAGCTGAGTAGTGCAGTACGGTCTTCCGGCCTCAGAGAGCCGAGCGTGGCTAGGCCACCATCGCACCGCATAGTTCAAAAAGGTGTGCCGCCATTCGACCGCAATAGTCGCTCTGCCTCGTCGCCACTCATTTGTCACGGAGTCACTGCCTCGGGTGCTGATGTGCTCAAGGCAGAAATCTGCTATCTCCTGGTGAGACTTCCACCCAGGTGTTGTAAGCGGTGATTCGTCGGACAAAAGATATCGACGAAGGTCAACATGAGCAAACTGGACTTCATTTTGGTTGACCTTTACCAGTCCACCCAAGATGCTCTGAATCCTAGGATGTAAGCTGAAGGCAGGGGCTTCAAGAAGCTTGAGGTTCTTGTTCTGATTCTCATCGCATTGGGCTAGATCATTCAGTTCCAGAATGCCCAGCGGGCGAAGCGAATAGAGCAACAGGTTCAAAATATTGTGTAAGAACCGGTCCGTTGCCAGAGGTAAAGATGACAGAAGGGCCTTGAATACAACCTGGGGCGTTGCACAGGTCGATTGCGGGACTTGTAGTCCGGGAGTGTCCATATATGAAAGTAAGTACCGGCTTCGGTGCCAGTTAATAACCATTGATCGCAAATCTTGGTCGCCCTTGCATGCTTGGAGGAGATGGAAAAGCTCGTTACAATACCTTTCTGTCATGGGATTACCCTGCACTAGTCTCAAGAAATCGAGGTCGAGGTCGTCAGTAGCGGCGGCTTTGTACCTGCCTTCAACGAACTGCCACTGGTCTAGTCGGTTCAGTGTTTCGCCCCTCTCCACATTGGCAGTGGCGTTGTCGCTCTCAGTTCCCTCTATATCTTCTCGACAGTTTTGAGGCTCGGCCAGAAGGGTTGCTTCAACATCGACGCGAGCCCTTGGCCAGAGTGCTGTTTGTTCTGGTTGTGCACCTTTCGGAGTGGTGACAAGTACCTTGAATTTGACTTCACATTCTTCAGCCAACTTGTTAACCTTAGTCAAGAACCAGTCGCAAGACGTTATATTGTCTTGCAGATTCCCCAGCACCAAGACGACGCCTTGATCTTTTGCTCCCAAGTCTAATAGGATTTCCATGAACATTGCAAGCAGATCTTCTCGATTCAACCATAAGAATTTGTCGAAAGCCCCAAACATCTTTTCGTAGGTAGCTTCCTCAACTCCGCTGTTGGAAGATCGGGAAATCGCCTGTGCTAAGCACGAATACAACATAGACTCAATTGAGTTCCGCCGAATGTCAGACGATATGAATCCGAAATAGAAACAAGTCGCGCCTTGGCAACTCGACGCTTTGCTGTCATCCATATAGAGGAACAGGCATTCTGCAGCTTGAATGGCAGCCTCAGTAGAGTCGAGAGAAAGTAGAAGAAGCTGTATTCCATCAACTTCATTCCACACTTGGAAATTCTTTTGAGTAGTGATTCGCTCATGCTGTCTGGGATTTCTGAATGATGCTTTCAGTGGATACTGTGGAGGAGCTTGGGACGCGAGAGATAGAATGTAACTTTGGTCGTCGCCTGTCAATTATATCTATCAGCATGTCTCGCACGCCAGGATCACATGACATTGCACGAACCGCAGGCCCGTAAAGCCGTTTTCAAGAGGGTTGTGAAGCCGGAAGTTGCACATACACCTGCTAGATCCTGGTGGGACGAACCGGTCGGAAGGCGAGCCTCGAATGGGAGCGCCATCGTCGCAACATATTCGTCGAAGACCTTTTCCTTCTATTTAGGTATGAACTTCGCTTTGGAATATCTTTGCAAGAGGTGGTTGACACTCACTCTGAGGGTTGGTTCCTTATGGCATGAGAATATGCTGATCATATCAGCCCAAATCGATAGCCTTGACTCGGCGAAAGCGGAGTTGACGTCTCTGATCCAATCTGCAATGCCATGGGTAACTGCCCAGGAATCTGACTCGCCTATGGACCCAACATCCCTGAGATTCAAAAGCTTGACCAAGTCTCTTCTAAGCGCGTAGGACCCATCGCTTCGATGTGGACAGTCTAGGAATACCTATTTTTAGTAATCAGCAATGTTCAAAATGATGGCCATTTTTGCCTCGAATTTGTCTTACTATGGCACTGGTGTGCAGAAAAACACTTGCATACTTCCCAGAATTTTGGCTGGCAAGAACCAGCGCCTGGAAAAGAATTCAAACAGGTTAGGCTCTAAGATGGTCAAGTGGAAATGCGGTCGTCTCACTTCCTTGACCAGAGTACCTCCGACATCATGCGCGATGAAAACGAGGTTGCAGCTCTATAGTTGTAGCGTTAGAGAGTGCTGATATATGGTGTGCCACATCGATTTATATTCCCATCATCCCGGAGCGGCCAGCATACCTCTCCATCCACCGTTCGTAGCTCTACCAAGGCGTCGAGGAGTCGTAGCGCTTGACGTCTCGCGCCATTTCTGGTAAATATGCCACCAAAGTTGTCTGAAATTGGGTAATTGAACAACGAAACTCGACTCCCAACGAAGGGGGAAAAAGTCTCGGAGAGCCAACTTGAACCGGCGTTGCTCGTGGAAGAGCCCCAATATCCCAGATGAGCCTTTCCTAGCCCGGGGACAGCAACGAAACTTGGAAAATTAGCAGACGATTAATTTGAATGGAGCGTGCGCGCATACTTGACTGAAACTTCCGCCTCGCTTTTCACTAGGACAGTCAAGGCTGGATGGCAACTTTCCATTGGGGTACTTGCGCGGAAATGAGAGATCACCAGGCAATGGTTGAGCAGCAATTTGGCATTGCTGGGAAATCAGAAAGATGGCTCAGCGTCTCAAAACTCAGCCCAACAGCTCCTCCAAAAGTCCGAGAGAACGACAGACAGAGAGGTCACCTCACTGAAGTCCAGTGACTAAGACATGATTTAGCTTGCATAGGACACAAAGAACAGAGCACGTGGATTGACCTGTTTTGAGGCGGAGAAGGGCCTTGATCCTAGCCAGGCAAAAGGTCTCCTTCCCCAATCTGACGAGCTGCATTTGGGGGCCGGAAACCACATTGCACTATGAGTCCATCGATGTGGATGGCTGGATTTATGTATGTGAAATCAGTGTCACACTCTTTAGCACAAGCCGCCTAAGACAAGTCCGCTCGAGGAGTGATAATGTCAACTATTTGCTGCCGATGGTGGTTGGGAACTATACAGTCTTGCCCGGTTCTCGGCCCCCACGACTACTAATATTGGCTCCACCACTCACTTGTTCTCTGGCTTCTTTTGTTTGACGGCATCGTTAACAATGGTTGTAACAGTAACATCAGACAGGTCTTTCAGCTTCAGTTTCTCTGGATTCCCCAGATCATCAGTGTCGTACACCTGCAGCCTGTTTGTCGGCTTTCTCCGTGGGTCAAAAGTGACAGGATCGTCCCTGGGATTGGACTTCATAAAAGATAAGGCTGTGGCCAGCCAATTCGGATAGATCTTCAAAGTGAAGTGGGCCTGGAACTTTGACAAATCGATGCGCTTTAGCAAGATGGCGGCCTGCATGCTCGTTGGCACTCCAGTCTTGGTGGTTTTGTTTTCTCGCAAAATCCATGATACGCTGTTGGGTTTGCCATAGTTGCGACCCTCGGTGAGGATGAAGCCTTGCACGGTTGTTGCATCAGAGGTGTCTCTTTCCACTGTCTTTTCGCGCTTCAACTCGGCTCCGACCTCTACCCCTGTCGCATTTGCACCAACTTTACCACCAGCTGATGTGTTCACCGTCTCGCGCTGCGTCGTCGGCTGAACGCTGAAGAAGCCCTCGGGATGCATTCTGTCAATCCATGGCTCGCAGCCCTCGTTATTTTTGGGCAAGAAGGTGACCTGGATATCTACTTTCTTTATGCGGTGATTTTGCTCGAGTGGCTCGAAGCGAAATTTGAGGACGATAACACTGGCGAGGTCGTTGCTATTGGGATCGGCGGAATAGTATCCGTGAACAATGTCCGTGCAGAAACAATCAGCGTAGAAAATTCCCCGTCGTTGAATAACGTTCGACCGTTGGTCTGGATCCTCTGGGTCGTCTTCGGTCCGGAAATTTGCCTCGGAATCTCCGCTTTGGCTCAGCCTGATCGCGAATGTAGGCGGGTAGGGCTCCAAACTAGAGTCGTTAGCTGCGTTTTCCGCGCTGGCAGACGGATCCATGTTTTTGTAAAGAGCGCAGCGCGGTTCCACGCAAAAGAGGGTGTCTCAGTTGTGGGTGGCAGGGTGGCCGGCGCTGAAATACCTCGTGGCCTCTTTTCGCCGCACTGTGGGCAGCGGAATGGGGCAGTGCACTCACAGATAGCGCAACTAACATTCTGCTATCCCGTCCTGTCACACCCACCCACCAAACAACATCAGTCAGCTTACATCTGAGTGGGAGACAAGCGTGACAACCTCTACCTAATGTGGCTAGCTTGTCCACAAGCAGTTAAGCCTCAAACTTTACCCCGCACCAAGCGCTGTTACCAACGTATTCACATGAATACGCACCCGAGCTAATATGTAAGCTTTGTCCTTTGTACCGTCCATCACAATACGAGACGAGCCTCATGGAAAACCTGGTTTATAAAGAGCCTCAAAAGTCACGCGACGCATGTGCCGTTCCTCGCAACGAACGTGCAATTCATAGATTGATTGATTGGTTTATTTATGACCTGTTGGGACGATCCGGCTATTTCTGCCCTCACGCATATTCACTATACTTCCCACTTGATGTAGTTTTTCGATCACAATCGTCATCCACAGTTGTCCTTTGCGAGTTACCCATGATGCAGGAACCTTCCCGGGTAAGTCGCGGGGCTCAAGTTGCCGAAGATGACGACCGAGATCCGCCGAGACTTGCAACCGGCAATGTGACACGGTGCGGAACCCATGGTGCGAAAGAAGACGCAAACATGGAAAATATCGAAAGTCCAAGACTCGCAATGAAGATAAAGAACCTTCAGAGAGTCCAATCAGGTCATATGTCGGTCCATGGTAGACATGATACCCAAGGGATGACAGGAGGAGATGAAGACGATCTCCTCATGGAATTGAAAGAAATATGGGACGACCCACCAGACGATCTCAATATCAGGGCAACGCTACAAGAGATCAAAACTAGAATCCTGCGCAGGGAGCTTCATGTCGATAATGAAGAGCAGCTGCGAGCATTTATGGCCAGTGACGATGCGGACTACGTTGGATTTCTCACGGAGAATGAGCAGGAAAATTTTCTACACATGATGGCTTCTGATACTCAGAACAGATGCCTTATCAAATTCCTAGCGGAAGAACGGAGTCAGCTCATGTTTGGAACGGATCGATCTATGTATTATCCACTCCATGTCGCCATCAAGGAGAAGAACACAGACTTCATCACGGCCGTGCTTGATAGCAAATTTAGCGAGACAGACGACATGAAGAAGGTACTTTCACACAAGGGTGGATCAAATCCAGGGAACTGTATTCACATCGGCATTCAAGTTGGGCTCGATCCACAACTTATGATCAGATTGATCGAGAAGTCGGACGGCGCTACGCTATCAGAGCAGGACGGCGCAGGGTTGACACCACTCCATTGCGCCGTAGACTACAAAAACTGCAGGAAAGGTCAATTTGAGGTAGTCCAAGCTCTGTTGAAGCATGGCGATGCGGCTCTCGACAAGGAAGGTAGCATCCATGGTTCGCTCTCTCCTTATCGATATCACGAAGAAACGAAAAAGATCGAAAAGAAAAAGCTCGAGGAAGCCGAATGGACAAAAAGACAGAATGATGGAAGAGGCGGCCAGCAGCCACGAGCTGGAACCGACAACCGCGGTGTGCGTGACCCTTCTCATTATCAGGATGCTGGTCAGGCCGATCTCCGGAAGTCCTCCGAGGATGACAAGGATGACGCCAAAGAGCGAAAGAATATGATCGATCTTGACCCACGAGTATACGGCATGCGCAGACAATCGAATGCGATTCGAGCTGATTCGGTGGGGTCCCGAGTAAAATCCCCCACACGCGGTGTTGTTCCAACAGGAGGACGCTCGTCAACGCCTCCTCCAACAATTGACCGCGTGTTATTCTCGCCAAATCCTAACCCGGCGAATCTGGGTAGACCCAGAAAGGCAATGCGCGCATCACGCCCAGGTGCGGCAAGGAGATCATTTGGATCCCAGAGACTCCAGCAACCTGAAGCACCTCCAGATGACGAAACCGCGGATGAGATTTCGAAGGAACTCAAGTTACACTATCTTCGAAGCATTTTCAAAGGTTCTGCTTATTCAGGCTCTCTGGAGTCTGCGGACGGCGATCGGCCAGAGCTTCGAAATCATGACAGGGCAGTCAGGTTTCTGTACGGCGACAACAAAGAAAGTAAGGATCTCTTTACTGATATTCGATGGTTTGCGTATTGGCGCTAATGAAAACTGCTGTTTAGACCGTCACATATGCTTCAACTTTCTCGATGGCCCTTCGAAGATGACTGCCGATAAATTCAGGACGACCTACGGGGGATTTAAATTTGACCATGTTCTGCAGTACGTCGGGTTCCGCCGTCTGGAGTTTACGTCGCCCGAGCTGCCCCCTAGAGGAAGTGGTACAATGTCCAAATCGCCTGCATCCACTGGGAAAGGACGAAGAGACATGGAGGTACCATTCAACTGGCTTCATGACAAAGGAGTGACAAATATTATGAAGGTCATTGTCGACGACTTGGAACCTCCTTCTCACAAGGACGAGTCAATTCAAAATGCTTTGAAAAAGTTTGATATCGAGATCCTTGACTGGAGAAAGATTGACCTCTGCCCAGACACAATCTGCAGATCCTGTCCAAACCTACGCGAGGTTCACCTCTGGTGGAGCGGAAACAATGGGATACTGAGAGCGTGGAGTGAGCCGGAAGGGTTGGCTAGGCTGGAACGATTGGAAGCCATACAGCTTCACCAAACACAGGTAAGCTCTTCCTAAGATCCACCGCACGAAGCAGACGCTTAGCTTGGCATATTGTAGGAATTAGAGTCCGAGTCTTGGACAGACATGAATATCGCGACGTTTCGGAAAAGGCTGAGAGAGTTGAGAAATGCCCAGAACGGTGGTCGAAAGCCCGGTGACAAACTGCCACAAATTCGTGTTCCGGACCCAATCAAGGCCATTGATGGACCGGCCCAACGACCAACCGGTTCCCACCCCAAAACCGACCTTAAAGTCCAGCGGGAAACCCACAAGTGGCTACACATAATGGACACGTTTGCCGACGGGATATACAAGATCAAGCCGGATCGCGATGTAGAGTTCTTCGAATCCCTGCCTCCAGAACTCCAATCAGACGTAAAAGTCGCGTTGATTGATGACGGTGTGCAATTTAGCCATGAGAGCCTGCAGGAGAAGATCGACGACGGCTGGAGCTTCGACGACGGCTATGATGGCGTCGATCTTCCTGGAGCTAGAAGACCGTTCCACGAATCCAGTACTGGCCATGGGACTCTCATGGCCAACATGATCTGTCGCATCTGCCCAAACGCGAAGATATTTGTTTGTCGGCTGAACGTATATCCTGGAGACGGCACCAAGTCCCATTTTTCAGCGAAGAGTGCAGCCGACGTTAGTTCCCAAGACCCCGTCTCCCCGAAGACTACTAAAATAGTTAGCTGACACCGAATACAGGCAGCTGGATATTGCGCAACTCGAGGATTTGACATCATCTTGATGTCATGGACAATCAGGAAATCAATATACACACCTGACTCAATGAACGATGGGAAGGACCTCGATCGGTTAGAAAGAGCTTTGGATGAGGCATGCAAGAATGGCGCTCTTCTGTTTTGCTCGGCGCCGGATGAAGGTGGCATCTCAGACGAGAAGTTCCGCACCTATTATCCTGTAGGATGCGACTCGTTATCTAGCCGCATCTTCAAAATTGGAGCTGCTACCACTGCCAACAAGGAAGCGGATCGCACCGGAAAGTCCTCGCAACTCGACTTTATCCTCCCCGGACATGAGGTCAGAGAAAGAGGAAGCGATGCGGTCAAAGTCGACGACAGCCTCAAGAGCGGATCATCGGTGGCAACGGCGTTGGCCGCAGGACTTGCAGCGCTCGTCATCCATTGTGTACGGCTCGGCGCCATCGAGACTATTCGCGCACGCACCACCAAAAGGAACGGCGATGCTAGAAAGAGTGAGGGTGACACCATAAGCGAGGATGGCGCCAGAGCTGAGGATCACACAAACGAGGACACGAGGACGGCTTTGGAGGCGGTCGCGATCAAGTTGGAAGACTTTGCTGATATCAAAAAATTCGAGCACATGATGCGCGTTTTCGCCAGTATCCCGCGGCAAAGAAAGGCAGGGGAGACTTGGAAATACCTGGAGGTGGACAACACTTTCGAAGGGCCAGGGAAGACACTGGTCAACAAAGAGGCGACCGAGAGCCAGAAAATACTGGCTGTGACCAAGCTTGCCATGAACTTTGTGAGCTCCGGCCTGTCAAAGTTATGAAGCACAGGTTGTCCGGTTGGGTAGTATTGGTCTCGCTCTCTCATATACCAATCCGAATTGACCCGAGCGAAGGGCAATACGAGCTCTCTACTTGATGAGGAAGCTCTTGATGTTCAGCCTCGGCCACCCTATTCTGTACTGTGACAAGAAACGCCAAGCCCGCACGTCCGTTTCCCCGCATATTCGTCTCCACCAACCACGCGTCGTGCTTTAGCGCGTTTCTTTCGCCAAGCCGGAAATCCTCGAGACCTTTAAACCGACTTCTTCCCCAGCTTCGTCTCTTCCTCCACGACCTTCCCGCCACTGTTCTTCGCCCCCTCCCCCCACTTCTCGTTCTCTCTCAGGTTGTGAGCCCGTCCGCTGTCCTTCACTCGTTCTCTTCAATCCATCCCCATGCCGTTTCTCTTTTTCCCGTCTCATTATCCTCCTTTCCTACCTCGTACATTGCTGCCCCCTCCTCTTCCTCTGCCTTTTCCCGACGGCATCCAGTTGTCGAGTGCAAAATCCATCGGGCATTAATTGAGTTCGCGTTATGGGTCCCCATGTACATAACCCGCAACGTCTTCGAGAGATTGCAACTATCCGACGCATCGAACCCTACGGCTTGGGCGCCCGCCGAAGCCGGGCAGTGGCTGGGGCTGGTTACTGGTCGGATCGGTCTCGATTTCACTCTGTGGTGGTTTGGATTCGATGTCGTGCTGCGAGAACCGACACCACTTTGGGCAAGAAGAAGGATACAACTGCAACTCTCACAATTGTCGAGAATGCAGCAAGGTTCTCAACACATGGAGCCGCTGGCGTACAGACTTTCTGGCATCCTGCCTTCCTCGGCAGGTGAAGGAGATTATCTGCGGTTGGCTTTTGGTTAACTTGCGGAGTGCCCGAGAAAGGCTCGGGCAGTTTGGCAGTGACGGATTGCGCCTGCGATCTCGTCACGAAGAACCGTTGTAAACTTCACAACGCCCGCCTCCATGTGGAGCCCGCTTGCTTCTCAGTAAGTATTCCTGGACCTGCAAATGGTCGTTGGCCAGGCTGGCAGATGTGGTTGTGCCGTTCTGCGCTCTTTTGAGTGATGACGGGAATTGCATTCATGCGTGCGCCCTTCGCACGTTGTGGACCTGAAGTTTGAGAGAGGCGCGCTGGTTGTTGCGGGCAGACCAGGCCGATGAGGTGAAGAAGGGTTGACCTAGATCCTTGCTGTGCTCGTCAGGCGGTCTGCTAGCTAGTACGGCTTGACGGTGGTTGATGTGATCCTTTTCTGGGTTGCAGGTGATTGCCCAGCAAGCGTGCCTAGCATCACAGGTTTTGCCACACCCTTCCACGACGTATTGTTATAATGCGGTATTACGATCCAAAGGATACAGAAGTATTGGCCGGCCTGGCTAATCTTCATCCGTCGTCATGGAAACCTCAGGAACCACGGGATACCAAGGAAACTTCCTGTTTGGTACCGGTCCGCCAAGGAAAGGAACCTCTGGAATCACGAGGACGTGAGGAAACGATCTGCTCGCTCTCCTGCTTGAGGAAATGGACTGAGCAGCCAGCTCAACTGCATGCTTTCTTGGTGCGGCACCTTTTTTGGTAGTCTCAGAGATAGACCCGAGAATTGCGAGCCCAAGTCCGAGACAAGTCACGTGCCAACTTTCCGCACTGGGCAGCTTCCCTGAGTGGAGACAGACGGTGGCTTATGGCTCACTAAAGGAAGGCATCCCATTCCTAGTCTCCCAGAAAGCGCTGGAAGAGACAACGAGCTTTCCGTCAATCACCGTCTCAAAGATGTTTTGGACATTTGACCTACCAGCCTTGACGAAGGCCGGGAGGAGTGATTTCTGCTGTCGATCTGCGGCGGCAGAAAGTAGACCAGGTTGGTATAGCGACCTCGGTTTTTCTGTTCTCTGACACGGAGGTGCAGAGGCAGAGAGAAAGACCCGAGCAATGGGCCTGATCAGCCATAGACTTGGGCATCCCAAAGAGACACGAGAGCTTGCGGCCTTACTTGCACCCTGGGACCACCTTGTGATGACACATCACGCAGAGGCCAAGAAAAGGCCCAGAGACAAGCAAGAACAGAAGGTTCGATCTAGCCTCGGGACTTCAGGGAAGAAACCCATTATCAGCTCCAAACATCGAGCACAATACAAATGAAATCTACAAAACTTTGGAACCCGTGCTACTGTGCCATGCGCAGGCCAGTATCGCACAACATCATAGGGTTCTCAAGTGCGGCCGCACTCAAGAACCTATGCAACCCGATCAGTCAGTCCAACCGCCCGATGCGAGGACCCAACTTTCATTGAATCTGAGGGCATTTCCAAAAAGAGCACCGAGCAGCGAAAAGTGTTCATGGGCTCATCCGACTACGAACCCAACTACGTCAACTTTACGAGGGTCACAATCTTCAAGCATCCAACATTCCTGGGGGGAGTTTTTCGAAAAGAAGGTTCAACATCTCCGCGGAGCTTACAACGACCAATGCTGAGGACACAACTGGCGGACATTGCTAGCCCTGGTTCCAAAATTGCTCTGAAAATAAAACACGGCGCGAAGAATCATTCAACATGGCTCTCCCGAGGGAGATTTCAACATCTCAATAATGTTCATGACATGACGCATGATTCAACTTCATGCTCCCTGCGATGCACATTCTTGAAATGAACGGCGAAACCAACACCAACACTTATATCAACACTCAACACTCAACACCGGACACCCACAGGGCATACCATACCCCCACAAACACGCAATCCATCATCCTCCACGCTGCATGGCTCGCCTTGTCTCGGCTCGCCTGCCAGCACCGGCGCGAGAAAAACGCGCTTTACACCGCCGACTCTCCCTCGTCGGTCGCGTGAAAAGCAGCTGTTTACCACGCTGCCGTGTTGCGACGGGACGGGCAGTCGATGCGCGCGAAGGAGAAGCCAAAAAAACAGAAATAATAAATCCGATCCTGCGATGAAAAGGGAGGTCATGGGCATGTGCCTCATTCGTGCGTTGTGCGTTGCGTTGCGTCGGGTCGCGTGTATGTGTTGTGTATTGTGTTCCGCTGTCGTCGAAGCACAAAACGGTGACCGAAGAGCGCAGCCGCCGTCAGGCCGATTCCTGATCTCCGGCTTGCTCGTCCACATTTTTTTTCTTCTTATCTTTTTCATCATGGATTAAAAAGTTTTCGCACACTTGCTTGCTTCAGGCAAGTCCATGGGGAAGAAGACGGCCAGCTGCCAGATCCTATCTGCGATCTATGCAAGGACGACATCCAAGGTTTCGCTCTTTGGGTGCAAGCCTTACGGGGAATGCGCATCTGAGTCGACTCCGAAACCGATAGTTGCAAAAAGAATCTTGCCTTTATCCTAGCAAAAGCAGTCAACCAATGCTTGTTACGGAGATTGACAGACTTTCGGCGCTCATGCTTCAAACAATTTTATGGAGACGACTTCGTCGCAAATTGACCATGTCACAAAATCTGGTTGCCCACTTTCTCTCCCCTTGTCCAGTGATACATTATGCATATTATACAATGATATCGCCATACGAATCCTCTGTCCCCTGGGACATCGGTCCAACAGTGCCTTGTATCTATACTCCTGTTGCTGTCCGGGCCAAGAACGCCCCTTTATGCAAAAGCTCCGTGTCCCATGTTCCGCCCGCTCTGCTTCCTCACCAGAGCTAGGGTCTTCTGCATGCATTGTCGTTTCCACCAATCCTTGAACCGGCCCAGCACTTTCCGCTTCTTGTACGCAAAATCTGACATCGGAATCGTGTCACCCAAGTCCGGATGTGGACACTCAAATGACTGCCGCACTTTCATCTGACATGATTGGCTCATTCTCAAGCTACCGCTCTCTTGCTGGGTAGAGCTATGTCGGGTTCCCAACAAGCCGGATGATTTTGTGAAACCGCTTCGAAAACTGTGCAGGTCGAATCTTTTCCTGATAGCGTTGGACTGTCTCTGGGCCAAAGCGGCCGAACTATCGTCAGAGAAGAAGCTTTGAACTTCACGTAGAGCGGGTCGATACAACGGCTGTGGTGGATCGGGGAACCGTAGGCTGAGATTTAAATCGGAGGACGTTAGAGGCGGTCCAAATTCTGGAGGGGCCAACTGAGGCACCGACCCCAAACGTGGTATTTGAGAACTGTATCGCGTACTGTTCAGAGGCTCGACAATGCTAGCGTTGCTTCGGTTGGATTGGACAGTCCGGACTGATGCTTTTCGAACAATCTCAATGCCCTTCTTGACAGGCTCGGGCATCGCAGCCAGCATACTGGTCCATCTTCGAGGCATCGACGTCGATACAAGAACACTACCTTCAGATACTGTCGTCGGCGGCTGCACCATCACTGAGTCTGCACTCAATTCGGCGTACCCAGCGACTGGCGACGTCTCACTCCTCCTTTCGGGCGAATCTTCCGTCGTCCAATCATCGTCTCGGCCTTCGTCTGCTATCAACCCGCCCGTCCGTTCGAGGCCTACCAGTTGTCCCAGACTCTGTGATTTCCTCCTGGACTTCATCATTATCCGCGCCCGCCGTCTCTGATGCGATGCCTGTCTGGCATGTATGTCGCTTTTTGATCTGCGATGAAGCGCATTCTGGACTCTCCTGACCGGCAGGGCACTCTCCGTCTCGGGGCTTAAGCTCAATTCTGAGAGCCTCCTGACTTTAAATCTCGCTCGTGGAGGATCCGAGTCAATGTCAGCCATGTCACCCGACGTCAATGATCCTTTCGTGTTTGACCGGTCAGATTTGGTTGACTCTGAAGTTAACAGTCCACTGGTTGACTGGAGTGTCTGCCAGCCGGATGAGGGTCCCCGAATTCTCGAGCTGGCGGAGGACAAGATGGATGTGCCATTGGCTTGATAATCTTCTAGAATTGCCCCAGGGGGCAATCTAGCATCCATACTAGCAAAGAGACGTCGGGGTATGAGTCGACGCCTCTCGGAACTGGCGAGGCTCGAGTGCTGAATAGTCGAACTCGAGGTTGTTGGCCTCAAATTCCATGGCGAGAGAATCCTCGGCATGATCGACGGTGCTCTTATGGTGCTTTCTCCGCTACTGTCTGGTGGAGCGATTGGATCCTCAGAAGGATTGTCTGTTTCAGGAGGACTGCCCGAGCCCTCAATCCCGTTGTCAATCAAGCCTAAGCATTCAATATGTCTATCCAAGAGTGACTCGATGGTTGATCTCTCGTTGATAGTCATCTGACTGGCATCCCCGTTGGCACTTGGGGCCGCCTGGTCGCTTGCCGGAGGCTCCCACCGGTTTTTCTGCTCAGCAAGGTCGATCATTGGTTCACCCTCCGGGTGCGGCGACAGAACTCTCTCAAGTGATTGCAGGTCAGGATGTTCTTCCACAGCATCGAGTCGGGAGAAAGTTTGAACGTGATGGAGTACTTTTCCTCGGTCGGTGACATAGTTGTCGGGAATTTCAAGAATACGGCTGAAGCGCTTTCTACTTTGCGATGACATTGGGCGCTCGGGCATTGGCGACAATATCTCGGGGCCCTCCTTCGAACGGACGTCGGCAGATGTCTTTGGTCGTTCCTTGAGCCCAGGTGAGTAAGAACCGAAAGAAAATGGTCGAAAATTGAATGAAGGCAATTCCCATTGAGATTGGACCCGTTGAAGGTCACTAAATGCTTGCCTGTGATTTCTGTCACAATGCTGATCTCCGTACGCCATCAGCCCGGAGATGGAAGGTTTGTGGTCAAAGACAGGCGAGTGCACTCGAGCCGCGAGCGTTGTGAGATCTCGCGGGCTTCGACTTGCGTTTGGAAAGAATGCACTTGAGTGGGTCGAGCCGCATGTTCGACGTGAGGCGGTTGACGCCCGAGGATTGTCCTTTTCATCTTTCGACCGCCCCTCCAGGTGGTCATGATCGGCAGGACTAACCCTCTCACTCGCCTGGTGGACATTCTATCAGCAGATGAACGATTACGTAGGACATCTTCAGGAATTGCAAAAGCATTGGGGGTCTCTGACCTTTTTATTGGCAGAGGCAGGCCTCATGGGCGGCGCAGTGGTGGCTCCGAGACTCGACTTTCGAGGCGGGATCACGCCAGCGTAGCTGTATTTTGATTGTTTTGATTGCTCACTTGGACGGCGGTTATGTCCAGTCGGCAGCTCCGACGGATGGAAGACAGACCCAGGGACCGTGCCAAAAGGGGATTGAGCCTGACGGCCTTCCGGCGCAGGGAGGTTGTTTAGGATTGTCTGGTCCATATTGAAGGGAAGACTGGCTGCAGAAGGGTCGTCCGGCGGCGAGAAGCAATCCTCCTCGAGAAAAGACTCAGAATAGTCATAATAGTGAGGCGTTGTGGACTCGGTTGGAGATTTTGGCAAACCTCGAGATGAGGCAGCACTGTGATTCCAGACCGGCCGAAAACTCTGGAGCGAGTTGGACATTGGGGTAGTCGTTCTTTGCAGCGGATAAGTGGTACCGGGCAACCCATTCATGGAAGAAACCGCCGGTGACGGCAACCGGACAAAGGAAGAGATAGAGTTGTTCAACTCAGGTGGGTACCCAGGTGGACCAGGCCGCAGATGATGCAAAGAGACAGGGGATGAGGCAACTGTCCCAACACTTGCCACTCTTGGGTAGCCATGTCTTGCACCATATCTGTACGGGTATGCCTCACTTAGAGCGGGGGAGGAGGCCCGATACCCAGGGCGGCGTCTGTGGCCGTGGACAATCATGGGAGAACTGGAGTGCAGGCTATGAAAGTCTCGCTGACTGCGTAGAGTGATCAGCGATCTGTGCGTGTGAAGAGGATGGCCAGGAACGCCGGGGCCGAGGGCAAACTGCGATCTGTGGCGATGCCCGACTCTCTTTGAACGCGGGCCTGGGCGCAAAGGTGTCTGGGCAGAATGGATGGTCTCTCGACCTGACAACGCTGACGACGATGGGGCCGGCCGAGGGCCGTGGTGTCGGTGGGAGCGTCTTCGGGGGGATCGTTGGTGTCCGAGCTGGGGAGTGAATGAGGCATCCAAGGAGCCAGTACGGCGTCTAGTTGACTGCAGGCGAGAAGCAGAACGGGGGATGCGTGAAGGGCGAACGGCAAATGGGCCACTGTCTCCCAGTTCCGTCGTGTTTCTCAGCATGCTTTGCACGGCACTGGAGCGAAGTGACGTGGTCGACGGCGCCGTCGCCAACTCGTCCTGTTTGACGCCATTCTGTGTGGCATCTTTTTGGATGTTGGGGCTGATCTCCTCAAGCGGCATCGCAGACGAATGTCTCGCGTGCTTGGAGGTGCGCGATGTGAGAAATGGCAGAAGAACAAACAGAGCGATGTGAGCAGGAGGTGAGGTGGCGGACAGACGAGAGAAGACAATCAGCGCATCGACGGGGGGGTTGTCATGCCGGGAAGAGGGTGATGGTGATTTCCATCCAGAAGTGAAGGTCTGGCCGATTGACGAGAAGGAGAAGGTGGAGGCGCCCGGAGGAATTGGATAGAGGTTGTTGGGAAGGAGCGAGAGGGCGAAGGACAAGGCGAAGAAGGAAGGAAGGATGGGGTGAGGATACCCTGGGATTTGTCTGGGAAGGAACGCGCCCAACGTCCCACGACACAGCTTTATGAGGGAGAATCTTCCGGTCATTTCTTTGATCATTCGCTCAGCAGCACCCATCCTTGGTGCCTTCAGGTCGGCATCATGCTAATCTTTCCTGCTGCACCAGCACCGGCATACCCCCCACGGCTCCGGCTGGATGAGGCTTCTTTGCTGTTCTTATACACAGATTCTTGCAAGCCTGCACTGCTGGTGCTAGTCCGCGCACTGGAACCGCTTTTGACCTTCCTTGCAATGGCACCGCTGACTCTCTTCCCCTTCATGCCCGTTGTTCTTCCTCTGGAGCTCCCGCTACCACGCTGCTGTGAGACGCGCGAACCCCGCCGGTTCCAAGGAGCAGATCTGGGACGAGAGTTGCGCTTTTTCGATGCCACCTTCTGAGGTTTGGTCTCGAATGCTGATGTCTGGGACACTTGGTATTTGTCAGTAGCTGGAAGATTGTCCGCTGCAACACACTAACTTACATTGCTCGTTGAAATGGCTGACATCGTCAGCTACACCGAAGTAGTGACTGCTCTCGGTTGCATCGAAATCTCGATCGCTTTCAGTCACTTGATCTGCATCCTCGTCGTCGCTGATTTCCACAATTGATCGGTCGTGAGGTTCGTCAAGATCTTCCCCTGTTGCCTCCCTCATCGCCTTGTAGTCATTATAAGCGGATCTAGCCAGACGCAGCAAGACGGGCCCAAACATTCGGAAGGTTTCTGGATTCATCCTGCAAATGTCTCGGAGCGCGTTCTCATCCTGGGGGAACTGAGTCGCGATTTCGCGGAGTATCAGATCCGATACTGATGTCTGCCGTAGGCCATTCATGATCTGAATGCGCTTAATTTCCTTCTTTGCGTTCTCGACAAAGTCATCAAGTATATGTTGGTGCACCTCGTCCAGTTGTCCCGTCCTTTCATCAGTCGTAATTGGAGGTCCAACTTTGGCATTTCTAGTGGGCCGGCGATTGCCAACAGCTGGCATCGATTCAAAATAGTGGCCGTCATCTTCTTCCTCTAATTCGTCGACAAACTCTTCGTCTGAATCCTCGTCATCCTGCGCACAGGGAGGAATCCTGCGAGACCTAGGCTGCAACGGCGACGAAACGTTGGTAGACGCCGGATGATCGTCAGCAGCGGCTTTGACGCCGTTCCGTTGTGTTTTCTTTCTGCTCTTCAAACCGCCTTCCTTAGGTCTCGATTTACCTCTCGGCGAGACCAGAACTTGCATACTCAGTGTCACTCGGCCAGTCTCAAATTCGGGAGCTCTGGGTCCCGGCTTGACATACTGCGTAGCAAAGCCAGCAGTGTTGACCTTGTTATATTCTACCAAAGCATCCTCACTAATGAGCCGGTAGAATAATCGTTCCACGTCCCCTCTGGCTAAATCCGCCCCAAGCCCGTATTCGCGAAGTTTGGTGTGCTGGAGCTCAGAAATCTTCTTGTTTTTGCCACCACGGTAGACATCCACACAGTGTAACAGGGTAACTTGCTCACGAGATACTTGCTGAACAATACGAATTGCATTCTTCGCATGCTCGGAAAAGTCTTGGGTTTCGAAGGTGCTGGTCGAGTTACAATTGTCGCAGGTATCGTTGCAATCTTCTCGCTTGAAGTGTTCATTGAAGTATCCGAGCACTTGCTGTCTGCGACAATCGCTGCGATTCTCGCAGAATTGAACGACATTGCGCAACAGGTGCTTCTGCCTCTCTTTTTGCTGCCAGTCGCCGTCGCCTTTCTCAATCATCCGCTTGATGGAGGTCGTATCGCCATAGCCGTAGTAGAGATAACACCCAGCTCTGCCACCGTCCCGCCCAGCTCGACCTGTCTCTTGGTAGTAACCTTCGAGGCTTTTGGGAATAGTGTGATGAACGACAAATCGAACATCGGGCTTGTCGATCCCCATGCCAAACGCGATCGTGGCAACAATGATTTTGTACACTCCGGCTTGCCATTCTTTCTGGATATGGATCCGCTCTGCAGCATCGAGCCCAGCATGGTAATGGCGGGCTCGAATATTATATTCTTCTTGGAGCTGCTTCGCAACGTCTTCACAAGTTCTGCGCGACAGGCAATAGATGATTCCTGCCTGTCCCTTGTAAGACTCTTCTATGAGACGTGCAATGCTTCCAAGCACTGCTTGCTTGCTGCCCTTAGGCCTTACCTCGTACGTGAGGTTCGGTCTGTTGAAGCTCTGCGTGAAGACCTCAGCGCCATCCATGCCTAGATTATGCATGCAGTCCACTTTCACATTTTCCGTCGCCGTCGCGGTCAAGGCCATCACAGGCACATTCTTGAAACGTCGGCGAACTTCACCCACCGCCTTGTAGTCGGGTCGAAAATCATGTCCCCACTGGCTGACACAGTGTGCCTCGTCAATCACAATGCGTGCTAGAAGGCTCCTCTTGTTCAGATCCAGAAAGACTTTGAAGAATACTTCGCTCTTGTTGAGCATCTCAGGCGTTACGTACAGAAGCTGAACGAACTTCTCGGGCTCATTAGATCGTAAGGCTTGGAGGATATAGTTCCGATGTTCATTCGAAGTCTGTCCATTGACCAGAACAGCCTGAATGTGCAATTTTTGCAGATGATCCACCTGATCCTGCATCAGGCTGAGTAAGGGAGAGACGACGATAGTCACCCCTGCTGTCCGCCCGCTCTGTACCACAGCTGGCAACTGATAGCAGAGAGATTTGCCTCCTCCGGTAGGCATTAGCACAAAGGCGTCCTTGCCGCCCAATGTCGCATTGATGGCTTCCAGTTGATTGTGGCGGAATTCTTGGAGATGAAATATTTTCCTTAGAGTCGAATACACTTCTTTCGACCATGGATATTGCATCAGCGCCGCGGGTGAGGGCCGTACCGACGATCTGGATGCAGGTTTCTGAGGCGAAATTCTGCGGATGTTGTCGCTCACCTCACGCAGGGCAGTGCGCTCACTCCGGTCAGCCGTTGTCATCGATGACAGGTTCTGTTCGAACTGCTCTGCAACTTTGTACATTTCTTCGTCATCTAGACCATCCTCGAAATCCTCATCATCGAATGGAAAGTCACGCGTTGGGCTACCCATCGTTCTTGAAAAGTCTCCCATGTTAGCTTCTGCACCTACATTTGCGAACGCGCGACTTGAGCCGGGAATGTCTAAGCCTATAGGGGTGGAACGGTGCGTCTTTGTGTACTCCGATAGTTGTGTTCTTCTGGGAGAATCGCGACAGGGAGAAGGACTTCGGTTTGACGACTTGATAGCTATGTCAACTGCGTCGTACCGGTTCAACGACGGAGTTTGGCGAATCGACTGCGTCGAGAGGTGAGAGAGACCACGTGGGGTCTCACCATTCGCATTCTTTGACGTTGATTGAGGTACCTTTTGTGTTGAGGCAACCAGGACCTTCTGGTCGGATAGCCCTGGACTCGAGGAGAGCAGATGATCTCGGTCTATCTTTGAAGGGTCTTCCATTCTGCTGGATGTCGACACTCCCAACTGTTCCAAAAGAGTGAAGATTGTGAGTTCTCGCGAGTCAATTTCACTCTTCGCCTTGAAAATCTTTGCGCACAGTGATGTCAAGACATCTTCGTCATCATCGGGATCAACGATGTGGCCCGCCTTGTGAATTTCTTCTCGCTGAACAAACATCTGTTCTCGTTGGCTTCGAAGTTTTGATAGGTTGGCAGATTCTTCCTGAAGTCGCGTTGCTGCAGTGATCTTGGCCCCTATTGTCTTCCGCCTTTCCTTTAAGTGGTTGGAAGCAGCGCCCCGTTCGCACATCTCATCTAGGATTTGTCTGTCAACAACTTCTTTCGAGTTCTCAAGCCGTCGCAGAAGACCCTGTAGCTGCTCTTTACCGTCCATAACAAAGCTATCGATCAGCTTTCTCTGTTTCAATGTCAGGTCGCCGGTCAGGTTTGGTGTCGGAACGTTATTGTTGAGCATTACTCCGAGGTTCGACGTCGTCCGAGGCGTCAGCGTCGTACTAACTTGGACGGGATCCGACGGCCCAGACGCTCCTTCAACCGTCAATAGTTGCGATCGAACCGGTGAGCGGAAAATAGTTTCCACGTCATGTCCTTTTGTGACCATATTGCCTAAACCTAGACCACCTTGGTCTTTGGGGATTGCTGAGCCCGACGCATCGGATTCGAGCTTGTGAACAGGCGATACGTCTTCATCGTCGTCCGAGTCATGAATGGTCTTTTGTGACCGCTGCGTACGGGTTCGTTGAGAACGCACCGGAGCTTGCGGTTGGTGGCTATCTTCCGGTACTTTGCATTTGTGACCTCGACCTCCCTCAACCGTTTCACTACAGGAATCTGGAGAGGTGTCTGGCTCTGAGGCCTCAGCCTTTGGTCGGATTGTTGTTTGGGTCAGATTAACTTCTTCTTGGAGACGTTTTCCGATAAGGCGCGTCTGGCTACCGCGGATTGGAGATGTCGTCGTAGTTGTCCGTTGCTGGATCACTTTTGTTGACTTCCGACTTGAGTGCGGCGAGAGCAGGTCCGATTCATACTCGTCGCTCTTCCTCTTCTTTCCTTTCTTCTTCGGCGATGGCTCTATGCGAGAAGCTGACCTTTCGTTCCATAGCTGGATTGGCGGACCAAATTCGCCGAAGGAAGAAGTTGTGATGTCGCCAGTAAGATCAATTTCGTCGATGTCGAGGATGTCCTTGGAATCGTCAAACTTGATATCGTCAAAGCTCGTTACGGGCGTGCGCGGCTTGGTCGCGTGCCGAGATGTGGAAGGCGTTCCATGCTTCTGCTTTGGGGGACTCGATTGCGGCTTGTTGTCTGAAGATCGCGAGGGAGCAGGGGTGGGAAATGGATTAGGATCGTGGTTTAATTGAGTATGCAGTTTTGGTCTCGGGGCAATCTGTGGTGCTAGCTGCAATCTTGCCATCTCATCGTTCGTGTGTGCTGCTTCCGACTCATCGTAGGACCCAATCGCAACATCAGCAATAACAGATATGTGTTCCAGAGATCCAAAAGAGTGTGGGTGCTGCAAGAGCCATGAGAGCGAGTTGCTGAGATTATTCTTGGTCATAGGTCCGTCTCATCTTGGTGTATCCCCAGAACGGTTCTGCAGATACAGGACTTTGGTAGCGGATGGCTGTGGTAGATGTTGTGCGTCTGCGCCAGTCGAGCTTGGAGGATGCCAAAGTCCCCGCCAACGACGCGTTGAAGGGACCAGGCTCGCAGGGACGCGCCGTACGCGGTGGAAGCGATGACTAAGCCGCCAAGGAACGCCGAAGCATGTGATTCAAGTTTCTCGGCTCGAAAAGTAGCCCTTAATAAATTGTACCAAAGCACCAACACACGCGTCGCCTGCAGTCGACAACCCTTTCACAGAGGTGCTGTGCATGCCGGGATAAGCTTTTCTCCAGGGTAGACTAGCTTCTCCAACTGGCCCCTTGCAAGCCAACATGGTCAAGGGTAAGAAGGCGAAAACTGCTGAACAAAAAGCCCGCGCGGCAGCAAAACAATCGAAGAAAGCCGCAAAAGGCGAGAAAAAGAAAAGTGCTAAAGCAGCGGCTCTGAACGCCGACTCGGATGGCGACGACAACGGCGACCTTGACGCCATCTTAGCTGCCTACGCTGAGGAGCAAGCCAAGTATCTCAAGGTCACAGAACAGCCCTGTGTCCCGCCTGGTCCGAGGTCGTCCAGTACAATAGTTGCCTCGCCATCCAACAGGAACGAGTTGTTCATATTCGGCGGCGAGTATCATGACGGGAGTACTGCCTCCTTTTACAATGACCTATTCGTATACCTCATCGATAAAGGTGAGTGGCACCAGATAGTCTCAGGAAACAGTCCTTTACCGCGAAGTGGGCATGCAGCCTGCCGGGGCGGTAACACTGGTGGGATATACGTTTCAGGAGGTGAATTTTCTTCGCCGAAACAGAATCAATTCTACCATTATCACGACTTCTGGCATTTGGACACTGAATCGAGGGAATGGACCAAACTCGAACCGAGGGCCAAAGGCAAAAGCCCACCAGCTAGAAGCGGACACCGAATGACATATTTCAAGAACTATATTGTTCTCTTCGGCGGCTTTCAGGATACGTCGCAGCAGACGAGGTACTTGAATGACACGTGGATATATGACTGCAAGGAGAATACATGGCATGAAATGAAACTACCGCCAGCAGCCCAGAGACCTGACCCTCGCTCCTCATTCAGCTTTCTGCCCCACGAGTCCGGCGCTGTTCTGTATGGAGGCTACTCCCGTATAAAGACGACATCCGCAAGTGCTGGTGGTGGAGGAAAGCAGGTCGGTAAAGGGAGCGGGTCTTCAGGCCCTGTGCGCAATATTCTCAAGCCGCTCATGCACCAAGACACCTGGTTCCTCCGCATCACTCCTCCAGCCCCAGAAGCCTCGAGCGGTGCACCTCCATCACTGCGTTGGGAACGGCGGAAGCGGCCGGCCAACGCGCCCAATCCGCCACGCGCAGGTGTAACAATGTCCTCGCACAAAGGACGCGGTGTCATGTTTGGAGGCGTGCACGATGTCGAAGACAGCGAGGAAGGCATCGACAGTGAGTTCTTCGACGAGATGTTCATCTGGAACATTGATCGAAATCGATTTTTTCCGCTTTCGTTGAGACGACCGAAAGCCGGAGGGGCCAAGAAGCAAATCCAAGCCGCAACGCGGGGAGGTCGTGATAGGGGCAAAGCAGATGAGGAAGAACTACTCCGCAACCTCGCAGCTCTCGAGACGAAGGGCTCAATATCGGCCGCCGAGGACATCGACATCAATGTGACGGACCAGGAAGAACCTGAGCCTGAGGTCCCAAAAAGGGTATTTCCTGTTCGATTCGAAATGCCCCATCCTCGCTTCAACGCGCAGCTTACTGTGCAGGACGACATATTGTACATATTTGGGGGCACGTTCGAGAAAAAGGACGTGGAGATCACTTTCTCAGACCTCTACGCCGTTGACCTGGGCAAGCTTGACGGCGTGAAAGAGTTACACTACGTCGAACCCGTCAACTGGAACGTAACCAGCCAAGAGAGCGATGAAGAGATGGACGAAGACGATGACGAAGAAGAAGGGGACGACGACGATGAAGACATGGACATGGACACGGACGAAGAAGTCGAGAGCAAAGTGGGGGACACCGTGTCCATCTTCAGCTCGCCTTCAATGTCCACCGCCCCTACAACGCCCCTGTTCCGCGCCACGGAACTCGAAACCGAACCAGAGACCCTCGCCTCGCAGGACTCCCGCCCCTTCCCGCGCCCCTTCGAATCGCTCCGGGACTTCTACGCCCGCACCTCGGAAGACTGGCAGCGGATCCTGATCGAGAAACAATCGTACGGCGGTAAGGCTGAGATGGCGGCGTTGGCGGCTGAGCAGACGATCAAGGAGTTGAGGAAGAAGGCCTTTGAGCAGGCCGAGGAGAGGTGGTGGGATTGTCGTGAGGAGGTCGGAAGGTTGGAGGATGAGCAAGAAGAGGCGGGGATCGGTGAGATTGTGAGCATGGAAGGGCGGGGGGCTGAAGGAGGTGTGGGCAGGAGACGTTGAGAACCAGCACACGCCTCTCGATATAATATCTACGATAAGCACGTGTTGGATAAAAACCCCATTGATGAGAGCGAGGTGTCAATGGAAAACAAAATTGATATCTATTCCACTTTCCCTTTCCCCTGTAATCGATCCTTGGCTCGTACAACCATTCCTTGTACCACACCCCTTACCCTCTTCATGAAGCCGTGTAATTTCCCTTCTCCAACCTCATCAGCACCAACAAACCTCCTCACCAACAAGTTATAGATGCTGCCAAACGCCAACGCCATGACGGTACTCGTCAATATGATCACATTGTATGGCATCGAAAAATCCGGCGTCGGCAATGGCAATAGTAAGCTTGTCGTCCTAATATACACATCCCTTGCATTTCCTGTGACCGGATCAGTGAGCTGTGGCGAGAGGATGCGGATGACCGCAGGGGGGATGTTGAATCCGCGATTCGCGTCCGGCGGATATTCTGTATAGCGAAGGATCGATTTTTCAAAGGCGTATGTTAGTGAGACAGTGGTGAGGGGCGGGACAGTGAGGAGGAGTTCGAGCTGCGTGCCACGATGTCGGTCGATTGCGGGCCGGTAATACATGTCCATGATTATCTTTTCTTCCTCCAGTCTGGAAGTGTCGAAAGGCGTTGAGGATGAATGAGTGATTTGAGCCTTGAGGGTGTGCATGTAAGGGCGCATGAACCAGGGCAGGCTCTCGAAATAGACGAATTGAACGGACTCGGTCGAGGATGGGTTTGTAAAGATGGTGCGCATGCCACCGTGTGCAGCGCCGTGGCCGGTCATGGTCCTTTCTGCTCGAAGGAGCTCATGGCCCAGATCGTGCTTTCTGGTGCTAGATTGCTGTCGGGGCACTTCGAGATCGAATTCTTCGAAAGGCATTATCGAATAACACCTTGATTCATTAGGACCTGGCTCGGATTTGACTTCAAACCCGCTATGGCTGACTAACACCATTCGATCGTGCGGCACGTTCAGGCACACAGCTTTTGAATCAGGACCCTCGTCATCCGCTAGAGGACATGTCCCAGCCAAAGTCCTTCCAAAGACATCCTTGAGAGACCACGGCATTTCATCCACCATGTCGCGAGGATAACAAGTATCGTGCGAATGATAAGGCTTGGACTCATCGCAGACAAGTTGTTCTGGAGGTATCGGTCTGGGAATTGGATTGTCTCGCGGCCGCTTGGACCGTTCAATGTCGAGGACAATGTCAATGGTCTGGCTGATCTCCATTTGGCGCTCGCCAACCCCAGTAGAGCACTTTGGCCGAACATCAATAGCCATGCTCTGCCATGAAGCGTCGAAAACCTTATGCCCATCCAGAAGGCTTGATATCCCCGCCTTGCCTTTGCACGGCAGGAGTTTCAGGAAGGGGGTCAAATTCTCTGTGCACACTACTTCTCCCGGAAGTACCCCATGCAAGAAATGAAGTTTCTGGCTCATACTCTGGAATCTCCCTGAAGGCTGGAAGGACAAGGCAGGTTTAGTGGTCCTTGTTGAATCGATGAAATTCAACGAGGCGCAGAACAAGCCAGAGAGCGATTGTGTCAAGGTTGTCCACTTCGCAAACGCTTCTTCTTCTGAGTCTGCCTCTATCCATGCCCATAGCTCCACTCCGGTGCCACCCTCTTTTGTGCCGTCCCATGGACGCGCTCCCCAAGTCTCCGGGTCCCATCGTCCTGTGGTAAACCTCAGATGTAGTTCTTGCGTGTCGGCATGCCTCAACGCCTGGCCCAGAGAGCGGGGGAAGTATCTGAAATTCTGGGCTTCATAGTCCGTGGCACTTTCATTGCTGCGGAAGTCGAACGAGGCGAGGAGAGAACCGAGGGGTAAAGGGGTCAGAGTCAATCGCTCATAGTAATCTGAGGCGGTAACGCTCAAGGCCAGGAGCGCAGAGATGAAGAGAAGAAACAGAAACCGGGACATGCCGGCATCGCTATAAGCAATCTGTTTGTGCTGAGATACATTGACAACAAGTCAAGCGCAAGAGAGGACACTGATCAAGCACTGATTCGTGAATCCGAGTGAAAAGTGGCTGCGAGAATTCTGCCGCAGTTCAGCCGATTCCTCCACCACTTCTGTCTCTGCATTTGCGGACTTAGAATTCACTTGCAAGCACTTGCTACAGACCACGACCAGACGACCAGACGACCAGACGACCAGACAGCTGCGATTCTATCCCGACGAAACTCCAAGCGTGCAAAGACCAAGAAAAGTTAGAGAGTCCCTCCAAATCTCGGATCTCCCTCACCATGGCCGCCGAGCAGCGCAAGCTGCTGGAGCAGCTGATGGGCGACCAGTTCATGGGAATGGGCTCTTCCTCCTCCAAATCCGCAAACCTCACCCTCAACTCGCCCAATGTTTGCCGTTCATACCTGGTTGGAACATGCCCTCACGACCTCTTCACAAACACAAAGCAAGACCTAGGTCCTTGCCCCAAGGCCCACCCGGAGAACCTGAAGATGGAATACGACGCCCTCCCCCCGACAGAGAAACAAAAATACGGATTCGAATACGACTATATGCGAGATATGCAGAAATACATTGATGATTGCAATAGAAGGATCGACCAAGCACAACGGCGGTTAGAGAAGACGCCAGATGAAATACGCCAGACAAACAATCTGCTCAAACTCATATCGGATCTCACCAAGACGATAAACACAGGCCTCCTCGAAGTCAATTGCCTCGCAGAAATGGGCTCGGTGAGTCTGGCCTGCACCGAGTTCCACAAAGTTCGGACCGCCAAACTAGCGAAAGAACAAGCCGAGCGGGATCTGAAGTCGTTATCAGACACGTCAGGCCCATCGGGGCACCAGAAACTACAAGTCTGCGACGTCTGTGGCGCATATTTGTCCAGACTGGACAATGATAGGCGATTGGCTGATCATTTCTACGGGAAAATGCACCTAGGTTACGCGCAGATGAGGCGGACGCACGAGACGTTACAGAAAGAACTTAAAGGACGAGGACCACCCCCTGTGAGACCGCAGGAAGAGAATGTGAGCGGCAGTCCCACTGGGCCGAGAGGTTATGATGATGGAGGATATGGCGACGGTGGTGGATGGGGCAGAGGTGGAGGGGGATATGGTCGAGGAGGAGGAGGAGGCGGCGGCGGCGGCGGCGGCTACGGGAGGGGCGGCGGAGCATTTCGCGGACGAGGGAGGGGCCGGTGGTAGAAACACCGCTCCTCTCCCCCTCCCGTCGGCGACGTGCCTTCTGGATTCGTGGTCATGAAACATCATTGCGACGCATAGCGAAATGGGAACCTTGGGATTTGAGATCGACGCGGCAAAAACATGGTCTCGGCGGGGGTTAGGAATGATAGCTAGCCTATCACTTTGCTTTTTCTTTCCTTTACGTTTCTGTCCACCCGATACCACCGCATACTCTGTTTGTCTGGGGTGGAAGAGTAGCAGGGGAAGGGCGCAGGACAAAGACAGGACGAGACGGGAGGAAACAAGGGAAAATGCTTTACCCACGAAAAGCGCAACGAGATACCCCTGAAATGCATTGTGTAATGGTACAACAGTTACGAGGTACCGGGGACACGGGTTTGGGATATGCGATGTACCGTATATTACGATGCGCGCCATGTTCCTCTGCATTCTTATAAATCTAACGCTTCTTCTCCAAAGCACCAAGTCAAGGTACCCGGTACATTGCGTTCACTGGTCTCCAACCAGCAGCTACTAAAAGGTAAAAGATAGGGAACTGAAGATATCTGGTACGCTGCATTGGCTCTTGGGATAGGTGTGTATACGCGATATATGACGAACATAGTAGCAGTGCGTGTTGTGTAGTGTGTAGTATGTAACATGACAATCGACAACTGTACAACGGGACAGAGGCGACGGGCAACCCTCTGCTATCCTACCAGAAGTTCCGCGGCTTGTTCTTATTTTCCTCATTGAGCTCGCTGGATTCCATTTGCTCGGCCCAGGTTCCTCCATCACCACCACCACCTCCAGCTCCTCCTCCTCCATCGACCAGGCCCGAGCGACTCGGTTTGGAGGCGGTGGGATTTGGGATCGTATTCATATCGCCGCCGGGCTCTTTTTTCACAGCAGGATTGGAGCCAGGTAGAGAAGGGAAATCGGTTTCCACAGACCAACCTGGCTGCAGCTGGTGGGCGTGGCCGTCGCCGTTATGGCCAAACCCGGCTCCTCTAGGACCACCTCGACCTCTACCCCTTCCAGCGCCCCCTCCCTCTCCTCTTCCCCTCCCTCGCCCCCGTCCCCGGTCCTCATGCCACTCATACATCTTCAGATCATCCTCCTCTCCTGGAGCGGGGCCAGAATACCCTCTCCTCCCTCCTCTCCCATTGGCCTGTTGTTCGTCCTTGTCCCGATCCCACTCCCGCCCCAATTGTCCCGCCATCTTCCTAAGCCGGTTCCTCTCCCTCTCTCCCTCCATGACTCTCCTGTCCTTTATATCCCTCTCCCTCCTCTCCCTCGCTTGTCTTTCTCTCTCTTCAAAGTTTGCGGCGTCCGCTTGGGCCCTCGCGTGGGCGGCAGCAAGCGACTGCGACCGTTCTTTTGCAGCGGCAAGTTTGGCGGTGAGTTCTTCGTCCGAGAGTTTAGGAGGGCGGACCCCGCCCGTGGAGAGACGGTCCCCGCGCACGGCGGGGGTACGGGTGGCAGTGTTTGACGGGCCAGTGGGTATGCTGCTGGGAGCGGCGGGGGTCGCTGATAATGTTGAGTCTTCGCCATGCGGCTGAGGTATTGGCTCAGAGGGTATGGTGCTTGTCTCTGAAATTTGCTGACCTCGGGACGCGGGTGGCCGTGTAGACTTCGTGTCTCTGCCAGGAGGGCCAGCGTCTGCGCCTTTCACTGCCCACTTCGAGTCTTCCAGCCCAGTAGCAATCTTTCTACTCGCTTCTCCTTGTCCAGTACCATGGCCACCTCTGCCTCTCTGTCTCAGTTTGGAGCCGGGGAGCGGGTGCTCGATCGGGGTCGCTGGTTTCACCGGCGAGGGCTCAGACGCTGGTGAAGATTCAGCCCCGACAGGCGGAGCGGGAATGGGAGCGGGAATGGGAGCGGGAAAGGCAGCGGGAATGGCAGCGGGAGCGGGAGCGGGAGAGGGTTCCAGCGAGACTTGCTCGAGCTGAGTTGTGACTTTCTCTGGAGAGGGTGGATTGTCAAAGGGGATGATTTCGTCGTCGAAGAGGTCGTCGTCCCCGCGGGACTGGGAGAAGTCTTCCATGGCTGATAATGAACCGCAGGGCCAGAAAAGCAAGAATGAAAAACAGTATATAGGAAATCGCCGACAACAACAGTCCTTCGTCTCCAAGTATATGCTATAAAATCATCAGGAGAAGGCCCTCGAGACCAAATTGCCTTCAAATTATCGAATCGAGCAACAACAAAAAAGTCTGGAAACTCGATTCTGGGCTACTCCGCATTTTCCGCTAAATAAAATATTGGGGAAAGCGCCGAGCTCGCAAGGCTCGAGGACTCGAGGCTGAACAAATTCAGGAGAGTGAGCAGCCATCATGGCCAAGGCTTTCAGCAGTTGAAGATTTTTCAATTCTATCAATCAATAACCTAAGCCCCGTATTTCTAAATATTCACTTTTTTTTGGCGCCCGTAACCCTTGCATGATTGACTCCATCCTTCAACCCTAGCATCCTCTAACAATGATCAAAACGGTGGCAGCCAGAACGGATAGCCCCCGTTCTTGACCCGAAAGACGCTCATCAAGAAGCTGTACATCCCGAAAATAACCGCTGCCCAGATTATGACTGCTGCTTGCTGGGTCTTGGGATCCTTAATCCGCGGCACTCGGAGAGCGAGATTGATCGTTGCGAAGGCAAGAAGTGCATCTGATGTTTGAGAAATATTAGCAAAGTTCCGTGTTCGAATCCTCCTTCTTGGCCGCACGGGATCGGACAGCAACTTACACATTGCAGCGACAATCTGTGTCTCCATCCCGTACTGATTCTGAAATCCACCAGCAAAGTAACTTATCCCACCACGCCCATTTCCAGCAACGTAGGGTACCCTGCGGATATGATTGAACATATGTCCGCTGGTAAAGAGCAGGATCATGATCAAACTGATTCCGGCCCACAAATTGCGGTTCTGAATAATCGGCATCAGGTAGGGATATGCCACTGTGATAAACGTAAACAGCCCCAAGGCTATGGTCAGAGAGGCGCCAATTCTTGCATAGTTGATGGGTCGGACGATTGGAGGATAGTGGCCGGCTGGGAGGTGTCGCAGGAGCCAGCTGTAGACGCCTTCCGCCGTTTGCGGACCGAGAAAATCGAGTCGGAGTGGTGAGCCGTCCGGTTTGGCATGCTCACCCACCGTGGGAGGGAACAAGAGGAGGACAGGAGCGGTTTGGAGTTGGAGCTGTATGAGATGTCTGGTCAGTGACGAGTTCTCATCACCGGAGATGTACTGCTATCAACAGACCTTCATGAAAACATTCCTGCCCTGATCAAAATCGATCGTGCTCAGAAGCAACCTCTTGTCCCCATGTCGATCTCCCTTCTGCCAGCTTCTCCCCAAAATGCTCCATTCCGGATCGAAATCTCGACAAATTCCACATGCATATTTTGGATCTCGAGCGGTCAGTAGGACAGCGAGTGAGTAGTCCCGCGGTGAGGCCGTCAGCTCATTGTAGCTTTTCTCGTCGAGTTCGAAAGGTGCGGATGAGACTTGTTTGGCGAAGTACGTGTCGAATTTGCTTGTCGTGGCAGCCTTTTTTGCGGAGACAGCAGCGGTCAGGGAAAGCGCTGTCAGCGCAAGCAGTCTGAAGAGATGCATGGCTTCGCCCGCGCAGGATGATCAGGTCTGGAGACGGAGAGTTGATGGTCTACAGACTGCGACAAGGTGTTCAATCGACCTGTTCGGCAAAGTTGCACCTTTTGAGAATCACGATCAGGCTGAATGCTCAGCGAGCTCAGTCAGCAAAAGCGAGATACGTCCACTTCTGCACTTCCCTTCTCCGTTAAGTTGGAACTCAGCGTCCCTCCCAATTTTTATGTTCAAATGTCATCTTGCTTCTCGCCCAAGAGAAATGTGAGGACGCGCCTAAGACGGAATTCCACTTAGATATGTTTTCGTTGGTTTATTTGAAGCCTTGCCCAGGCTGCCTCCTACTCGGCTCGACCTAGGACCACTTTATCCGACACGCCAATCTCAGCAATAGACGCAGCCTTCAATTTCATAGTCTCTTGGAACCAAGACCTTTGCGCTTGTTGAGCGGAGGAGTCGAAGAGGAACGCGTTCAGAATCTGGACAGTATCATCCCAGGTGAGAAGTCCCACATCATGGACCTGACGGGCAGACTGCTCATGGAACCAGCCATCAAACAAGTCGCTGCTCAAAGCCGGCTGCTGCTCGCGTCCTTCATATCTGGCACCGACGTAGAAAGCCCACAGCCTCGCATTCTTCCATTTTTGCCACGCAGGACTGTCTCTGGGCCGCTCGCTCTTTTCAAGCAGAGGTCGCAATGTTTCCAGTACGTTCCCTGCCCAAATATTCTTGCCACAGATGTGGTTCTGGTGCAGAGCTCTTGAGCACTTGACGGCACTAAGGGCCATGTACTGCTGAGCATAATTATAATCAAGTTCCGGCCCTGAGGCGGATTCCGAGAGCTCCTTAAATCTGCAATAACGGCTCACCAGCCTCCCCAGAGCAATGCACCATCTATACTGGCCCCAGCCAACGTGCATCGAGGCCGATTTGGCGGGGAGACCGTTGGACCACCTCCGGCGCCATCGTGTAAAAATCTCGCGACAGTCCTTGATGCAGGTCGACATCTCTTCCGAGTCAATTGTCGGATCGAGATCACAGAAATCCAACGGCGCAGGGACCAGGATAGGCTCAATGGCCCGCAGGAAGGGCTGGAAGGTCTTCGGCAGCCACTCGTAAACGTCGAAAGCGGGGCGAACCAGGAGCTGTGAGGCCATGTTCATGTCTGCGTACAGGAAGAAAAATAAAAGCTCGATCATGGTCAATCCCATCTCGTCGAACGTGTCGAAAAGGCCTCCGCCCTTCTCGAAATGTTCGCCGACCAACTTGCTAAGCATGTGGCCATGCATCTGTGCCGCTGCCACGTTCTCTGCGGCAATCTCAGCAGCCCAGATCATGAAGATATGCCACCATGTCCATGCATCGATTTTGGAAAGGCGGGCCAGTTTCTGCCGCAGCGCAGCAGTGCTTTTGGTACGACAGATCAAAGATTTCTTTTTCAGGGACTGTCCCCGAGGAGTGTCGGATCCGGTACATATTGCGACGAGGTAAGCGTTGCTACCAATGAAAGCCAGAGCGGTGCCTTCATCCCGTAACCCGGCGGAGCAGACCCCCCAGTCTACTTTGGCACGAGCACTTGCCAGACTATTTTTGGACTTGGGATCAAGCCGATACGCCCCAGGCACAAGGATATCTCGGTAGAAAGCCACGATGCTGTTCTCTTCACCGGTAATGGGGACTGCGCAGGCTCCAAACGGGTCGGAGTTGCCTCTGTTGAGAATCGTGACGGGAGACAAGGCCTGGCCCCGTCGTCGAGCTTGCATAAGCATGAGACGGCTACCCTCGTCACTGCTGTCTGTAGTCTGCTTGGTTCTTGATATGCCTTCGACCAAGGCGTCATTATGGGGCGGGCCAGTGCGGTACTATTCCAACATCAGACATCCTGGGAATAGGACAGAATCTATACTCACCGTTGCATCCTTCTGCTTGGGCCTTCCTGGGATCTTGGCAGAGGCACGCAAGGCCCTGGCTCTCTCCTGTCGCTCCCAGCTGCGATAGTTGTTCTGGATGTGTGAGAAGACGCGGCGTCGGTGTGGCAATGTCTTCATATTTTGGGCGTCGTAGTTGACCCACAAGATGGCTGGAGCTGTCATTGCGCCGTGAAGAACACAGGTTCTGTATGTGATACTGAATAGGATCTGATGCCAGCAATGCCTAAATCGAGTCTAACACAAGAGTTTCCAGTGGAGAAAGGTCGCCTTCAGTGAAAGAAGCGGACATATCGCCACGCTTTAAAGAACCCGCTTTATGTTAGAAGTTACATACAACACTCCAGGGCCCTACTAGGTCGTTCTTCGTACTTTTCCGGGAAACTCCGCATAGTGCCATTATTCCAGAAGCGACAGGATGGATTCACGCAGGATGGCCGGCCCTGCATCGGCGAGGTTGTTGCCGCGGAGGCAAAACTGTGCGTCTGAATGGTCAGGCAGAGGGAAGGAATATGGCCGCCGCTGTTTCACAACTCGCTTAACGGGGGACCGATGGTGCCGTCAAGCCGTTTGATTACTCAATTTCTTACTCAAGTTGACCCTTTTGCATCAGCCGTGGTCCATAGCCCAACTGGATTCTAGCGTCTGACGTTCACGCGAGATAGCGGTCGACACAAGGTACGAAGGAAAGAGAAATCGTCGATCATCAGTGCCGAAGGGCACCAAAAGGGGACACATATCGTGGCTATATGCTCGTTTGCCGAGCAGCTTCAACGTCATATTCAAGCATGCACGATGTTGTCTCCGCTCAATACCTTCTCTCCAAGTGCCTGTCTCTCATATAGTAGTCCTCTCTTACACTGCCTCGCCCGCCGCCCGCCTAATCGACCGTGCCATCTCCCCCGGCATGCTCATAAACGGTGAGTGACTGGCATCCATCGTCTCAACCTTCATCTCCGCCCCGGCCTTCTGAGCTCCCTCGACCATTCCTCTCTGCGCGTGGGGCGGGATCGCCTCGTCCCTCTCACACAGCAGATACGTGCTCGGCACATACTTCCAGCCTGGGTCCGTGACTTTGGAAAAGAAGGCACGGTAACTGTGCGGCTTCAACATGGCCACGTATCTCTCCGGGCTGTCGACGTCGTTGTAGAAGGTCTCGATCGGGGTGGCGGGGCTGACCAGGTCCTCGGCATCATTGATCTGGAACCAGGGCAAGGGTGTCTGGTTCAAGGCGTCCATCAGGGAGACGCCCTCGGGAAGCGCGAATGCGCAGCAGAAGTAGATGTGCGACACACCTCCCTTCTTGCCCTGCCTTTCGCGCGAGGCCTTGTCCAGGCCTTTCACGGCTTCATTCCCCACGATACCACCATAGGAGTGCACGACAAGCAAGACATCCTTTTCCTGCTGTTCGATGAATGGTCTCATTACTTGTTGAATGGCGTCGACGTCCGGTTGGAAGTCCCTGAGCGGCTCGGGTGAGCCGACCGAGGCGAGTTGGACACCTTTGGTCTCGTATCCTGCAGCCTCGAGCTCATCAATCACGAGATGAAATGTCTCGGGAACGTGCCACGCCCCGGGGACGAACACGATGACGGGCTTGGACGACATTTTTCTGGATGTTGAGGATTTCCTGTGCTGGCCTGGATAAATCGGAATAGTCTTTAGATCGCAAGAAGGGTGACTGATATGCGTATTGAATGCGAGAGCTGGCAAGTTGGCCTATCTCCACGAATCCAGCGATGGAGTGGATGTTGATATATGTATACCTAAGCTCCGTTTCAGGTCATCATCCAGACGTCTCTCAACTGAGAACTCGTATATAAGGCTCGCATTAGCTCACCCCCCGCACTGCAACCCCAAGAAAAGAAACTTCAAGAGCATGATGGGGCACAAGGTTACAGTGGACTTGGCCCGAACAAGAACCAATAAAGCTGATATGGATACCCAAAGTATGTATCTGGGCGTCCAGGCTGACAGAGACTAGGCCCAGCGACCCAAATATGACAGCCAGTCGAACCAGGGTATTATGCTTTCCACAAAAGACGCTGACTGCTGCCACCAAAGACTAGCTAGTCTAGAGCAGCGGTGAATACTTATGCACAAGTCTCTAAATATTCTCAAAACGAGCTATGAATTTTGCGTGGTTCTTTGTGTCAGATCCTCCGCGGGTCTTACACCACGGCCTAAACATACAGTATACTCGATAGGTATGGAGATCCGACGGGGAGCAACAGCGCTGTCTCCAGAGGATTAGTTATTTAACTCAGATGAGCTTCGTCGACAAGGGCAAGTGATCTAACTTTGTAGAAGTAACATGGGGTCCGAGATACTCATCTTGTGCCCTTACATATGCTCCACTTCCATAGGGATGCCAGGATCGCAGGTTGCGTTCTTCTAATCACCTCCTGTTGCCGAGGCTGCAAAAGGACAGAATCAGGTCAACCTTCCAAAAGGATGAGTGACTTCTAGCATGTCTCGATTGAGGAACAACAAAGCGTTAACGCCTGGAGTTCCCGTCACTTGAATGCGGCGGCTCTTCATTTACCGAGTGTCTCTACCGGGGTGGGGAGGAAACGAAGGGGATGGAAAGTTAGCAAATTCGATTGATCAATGCCAACAGATATACACTCTCGATGCTTTCAATTGGATCGGCCAGAACGCACTAGCCAGGGCAGACGTGCAAAGCGGGCTGATATGTACAACAAGTGTCGCCAAGTTGGCCCCGCGGACACCGTCTTGCTATGCCATTGTGCTCATGAGTCCGTCTCCAAGTCTTCCACAGAGCGGACGAGAAAATAAGCGGAAAAGTTGAATTCGCGCTGTACAGCATATCTCCAGTCCAATGCCCAGAGGGACCTTTCACCATACTCACTTCTTCACAACGGCGATATACGCCACGGAGTAGAGGCCACCGGCTCCTCCTCCCTCAGGATCCCTCTCGCGCGCGATTCTCAACATCTCCTGTCCTAACTTACCCTTTTCCTCGTCGCTCCATCCCTCCACAGCCGCTGGGTAAGACCTCGCCACCATCTCGGGATCTCGAAGGAACGGTTCTACCACCGAATCCGTCCTTTTCTCCACGATCCTCACATTCTCGGCCTTGAAGCCCGCATTGACAAGAACGTTGCGCAAGGTTTCCTCTTTAGACCAGAGCTCTGCCCACGGGCTCTGCAGGCTCTCCAAATCCGGCCTTATGGTTTTCTGCGCGACGGCGACCGTATCCATCATCCTTCTTTCCTTCCATGCCGTGACGACGGCGGTACCACCGACTTTCAACGTGCGGTAGATCTGATCCGCCCCTTTCTGCGGATCGGGGAGGAAAAAGATGCCAAAATTGGTGATGCTCAGATCAAAGGAGCCATCGGCGAATGTGAGGTCCTGGCTGTCCATGACGGAGATGTCGACCTTCTTCCATCCTTGCTGGGTGGCCTTATTCTGCATGAGTTTAGTGACAGACGGCACGAAGTCTGTCGCATGTATCATTTTTGGGTAAGTTCCTGTCTTGGAGGAAACATGCTGGAGGTATTCAGTCACGAGACCTGTGCCGCATGCATTGTCGTGGATTGTCATGTCTGAGCTAGGGGTCTCAATGAGTGTCTGTAAGGTGTAGCGCGCAATATCGCCCGTCATAAGGCCGATCAGATCGTCATATTTGGACGAGAGTTGGTCGAAATGACCCGAAGGGTTGAAGCCGGCGATATCTGTCTTGTCCATGTCCGACTCGTTATTGTGCCCCCACGTTCTGAGCCGGCACAATTTGGAGATATCAGATTCAATCGATGTGAAAGCTGGAACCTGGTGGGTTTTCCGGTCTTAATCCAACGCGAGGGTGTCCTGCAATGGGCTCCTCTGAGGAACTGTGCCTGTCTGCGACAACGAAGTACCTAGATATTCGACGCAAATATCGAAGCTCTTTGGGGGTGGTTTTCGGTTTCGGTTATGTCCTCGACCAATATATAAACCTTCGGCTTGCGGATGTCTCGTCATCTTACCCCACCCTCGAGGCTGTTGGCTGTTTTCTCCATCCAAGCGAACAATGACCGAGCGGCTCCATGATGATCCGATGCCATGCTTGCACATTCTAGAAATACCGGAAGGCACCTACTGAAAGGAACGCGGCAGACATAAAAATAGAGGAAAAACTTGGATGATCGCTGAGATCATGTCAATTCCCATGGCTGGGAAAGGCCGAGGGGAGATCGGCCCAGCATCGACCAGAAACGCCTAAGAAAATTGGTGGACTCCCCGGTAGATCCAGGGCAAGTTCCCCGCGCAACAGAAAAGGAGCCTCGTCAGACGCAGTGATTTCTCCCCCCCATCAGCCTCAACGGTCGTTGCAGACATGCCCTGCCCATGCTGTATTTCAACCTCGATCTGAAGAAGCACTGCTCCATACCCCGCAAGTGATTCTTTCTCCCATGCTCCGTCTTGGATTCGACTCCGGTTCGATGAAGCCTCGTCACGAATATACCCTGGTGCCGTCAAAGCTGGTGAACCGAACCTGGGAGGCGCAGCTGACATAGCCTGCACAGCACAACTTGCCTTACATCAACTTGGCCCTCGAATTTTCTCAAACCTTGACAAGGATGACAGGTGGGTGCGATGCCTCCAAGGCGAAAGCTAACATTTAAAACGGAAAATCCTTCTTTGTTACGCCAGGATAATGGGTAGAAAGGGAACACGTTTCGCAAGACTTATACGAGGATTGATCTATGACTTCCCAATAACGGATCATCGGCAGGCGTTCATCATTCGAATCGTTCTAGACCTAATCCTAAAAGTGTCCATACTTGTACAAGCGAGCCATCGAGGATGAATATTGTATGTATCGCGTCGCCATTCAACTATCGACGCAAGAAGCAAAGTCAGTCATAACACCGGGAAATCAACATTCGTCCGTTGCTAGAAAAGTTCCCCGTGGTAATAGGATCCCAGTCCGCGTTTGTTCTTCCTGGCCTGGTTCAAACATGTGTCCTTCTTGGACTGAAAGTAACGACTTCAAGTCTCCTCAAGAGAGTACCTCCGAAACAACCCATCCCGCGCTCAATCGAGCCCTGCCATACGATATCCCAGCCAGATATCTGTCCCATCGGTCGTATCTGTCCAACAACAGCAACAACAACAACTCGACAAATACTCCGGAACTTTTATCTCCAAAAAGAATCCCCGAAAAAGTCCAAGTCCAGGTTAAACTCCAGGAGAACCCGCCTGCCAAAATGATTCCCGCTTTGCGTGCCGACATTACTACCCCTTGCTTGAGAGGGACATTTCCAAAATTTCCCACAACGTTCCCAGTAGCTAATCAGCTAGCTAGCTAGCTAGCTGATCAAACGCACTCCCATTCCCCCCAAACACACCACCTTGCGCTCCGATCCGCCAGCACCAGGCCGCGCCAAATGCCTCTCTCCTGCACTTTGACGGCGGTCTCCCAGAAACTGCCCAAGACTTCGCCGTCCACCTCCCTCAGGCTCGCGGGCTGCGGTATCCCCTCGTGCTTGCGGTTCAGGCGGATGATTTTGCCGCCGGGAGACTGGATCGCCAGTTTTGCCGGCTTGTCCTTGATCTTGACGCCGGCCGCGTTGCTGAGGTTGTTGCTGGTGGCGTATTCACTGGGGTTGGATGCGGTGATGCTGCTGGTCATGCTCATTGCGCTGGTGGGGCGCGCGAGCGGGTTTGGACTTACAGGCCGGAGGTCGAAGCCGTTCTGTTCGTTGCCAGGCGTGGATGCGACGGATGCGGCGTGTTGGCGTACGCAAAAGACATATGTTTCTCCGGCTCCGAGACGGTAGCATTGCGGTTGCACGACGTAGAGGTCTTGTCGTGTGGCGTGCGGTGTAGGGTGTCTCATGACGAAGTCATACGCTGGGTTCTCGCCGGAATGGTAAAGCGGTATAGCAAGAGCTAACGGGTGCACGATATCTCTCGACGAAAGCATCAAGCCTTTCTTCCCAGCGTAGACTTTCACATACGCGATCCCTTCATCGCCGGGCAGGATCGCTTTGATGACATAGCGTTTCTGGGCAACCTCTGTATTATGAGCCGTTCTGTACCAGCTCGGTTGGGAAAGAGCTCGCTTTTTGGTCAGATTGTCGGCGTCTTCGTACACATCGCCATCCTGATCGCGGAGGTATCTTCTCGCTTCGACTTCGGCCACGACCTCAACGTCAGCGGGGACATTGACGCTGAACGTGCACATTTCCAAGCCGTCTAGTCTGATGATGCTTGTGTCGTAGGCATGCATTGACAGCCCCTGCCTGAAGAATGGCGGGCCCGTTCCAGGGAGGGCTAGAAGCACGTCAGGGCTGATATTGGGAATCATGTGCTGTTGTGCCTCGTCAACCGGAACATGTGTCCAACACAATTCGCTCGGCCGTGTCAGAAAATACCATGCTTCTGCGATACTCGTGCTGACGCTCGAGTATAATGCTCTCTTCGGATTGGTTGGGCTGGCGAGACTGGCATCTATCATCCTCCATTCTCCATCAACGAGTACGGCGTTCCAAAAATGATTTGGTCGAGAAATCGCGTCCAAGTCCAGTTCTTCGCCGGGTGTTTTCAAATACCCATGCACGACTTCCGCGTGGATGCCGATGGCGGTGCACATTTCCAGCACAAGGCCTGCAACTTCTTGACTGCTTCCTCGTTTGCTCTGAATTACTCTTCTAGTATCGACTGCTTGGTTGAAATTGTAGCCATCAAAATCCTGATCCTCTTCCCAACTGATTCTCTCGGCGCACCAAATAAATATCGCTCGTAGTCTTTGCACGCCACTGCGGTACGGTCGGCAGATAAAGCCCATGGCAAGACTAGCCGCCGTTATGCTGCTGGGGAAACTTGTGATAAACCGAGCTGCCTTGTCCACTTGACTGAAACTTGGATTGCTGAGCTGGAAGGGCGCATACACGGGTCGTCCGTCGGTATCTTCGTCGCCTTGAAGATTCTCGTACAATTCTTCTACAGGGCAAATGACAGGTTGATCTAGCATATGGCATCGATTGGCTCGTTCCTGACGTTCTGATGGTCCCGGCGTGTTGGATCGATTGACATCGCGACGAGTGAGAATATACGTACCGGAGGCTCCGCTGATCAAGCCCATCTCTCGCGCAGCGTCCCTTCCGAAAGCATTGTTCGAGTTTGAGCTAGCGATAGCTACATTGAAAGCCGTGCCACCGGCAATGCCCGTCATTTTCGTAGGCGACCCGGAATTGCTTCCTGCCTGACTGGCTGAGATGGTGCTCCTGGCGCTCGCAGCACCAGTCTTCGCACTGTCAATCAATTTCTTGAAAAAGCCTGGTTTTTTGGCTTTAGGGGTTGTGAATCCCCCTAATCCACCATTTGCACCTCGATTTGCATCTTCCCAGCCAATTGCCGACTTCGCGCCATGTCTGGAGTCATGGGTTGAATGGAAAGACACTGCTGTATTTGGCGTCTTCGGCCGTACCTCAGTTTGACTCCATTGTTCATTCCTGGTGCCGGTGCTTGTCATTGGCCTGGGCATGCGATCTCGAAGACTGCCCATTCTCTTCCTCGCAAGGCTGCCCGCACTTGTGGCACTAAATGCACCCGCAGAGTATCCGCTCATGATGCTTTGACTGGTCATCGTCGTCTGGTGCGAAAAGTTGGTACCCATGCTTGCGAGACTCTGCGCCCCGCTACTTGAGCCACTGTTGTTCGTCGAGTTCGTCTTTTGCGTCAGGGCCCTTGAAAGGCCGTCATCCCCCAGATCAATAGCGGATTTCCTTTTCCTCATTGACAATCGACGGCCTGCAGTTGATGAGCCTACCCATGGTGAATTCTTGGGCGGAGGTTCCGGAGGGTCGCTACTTGCCGCATCTGAGTCCTGGAATTCTCGCGCCTGTTGCATACGACGAAGTCGGCTCTCCATCCTCTGGACGTAGTTCTCCAACCGAGGAGGGCCATCTTGATATCTGTCAGGGCTGTTATGGCGACTACTATAATTGATCCGTGCTTCGGAGAAAGTGCTGCCTCCAGCGCCGAGCCCTAGGCTAGTGAGAGGACGAGGGCCCGGACGAGATTCATCAGCCCGACGGAAGTCATCGAAAGCTTCTGGAGACCAAGGATTGAATGGATTTTCCTGCTGGATTGAATTATGTCTCACTAGCGTCATATCCTCAAGAGACGACATAACATCATCCATCGCACTTCGAATCATCGGGGGAGTATGTCCGTTGATCGAGGGTGGTGCTGGAGATGGGGTGCGGGCGAATATCTGATAACGATCATTCATGTCGAATGGTTGTGGTGCAGGCGAGGCGGCTCTGCCTCCAATAATCCGGTGAGGTGGAGGAGGTGGCGGGGGAGAGGAGCCAATTTCGTGATGTGGCAAGGGAGATGGAGATCTTGAAGGAGCTCTAGACAGTGGTCTCTGCTGCCACAAGACCGTTGAAGGGGGGTTCCGTGCGTCGTGGTTTTGTTGCGCCGGTGCAGAGACAGGCGCAGTTTGCTGAGGCACAGCTGCTTCATTGACTGAAGGTGACTTTGCATGTTTATAACCACTGAAAGGACGTCTTAACTTTGCCTTCTCCTTCTTCTCTTGTAATTGCGCCAGCGATTTCTTGCTTTCGCTACTGCTCTTGTGTAGATCAGGCATGGGACTGATCGATCGGCGCATGGGGACGAAGTCTTCCTCGAGCACGACAACAAAATTTGAAGGGAATAGGCCCATCATTCTCCTGTCTCTGTGTAATCTTCCCATCCACCAGGAACCGTCTCCCGCATTGAGACATTCTATCAAGTCGCCTTCAATAAATCCGAGATCTCTGTCTGTTTCACCGCCCCATGAATAAACCGCCCGACACCAGCAAGGGAATTTCGTAGGGAGCTGAGGAGCTGCCATTCTGACCGAGTTGCGCACTCAGTTTCGATACCAAGGAGGCTCGTGTCGCATTGATCCAATTGACCGCAGCATCTGGCTTTTCGCCGACCGAGAGTGGTGGCTGGGGAGAAGGTAAATGTACGACTGCAAACAATATAATAGAGGGTACGACCGACAACACGCGCGACAGAAATCAGAAGAGTCTGAGCAATGACGCCTGAAGTAGCGAAGTGCGGCTGTGCAGCCGGAAATGATTCACAGGACTCCGTAAACTCGAAGCGCAGTTGATGATGGAGTCGTTGTCGCCATTGCCCGGTTGCCAAGACCAAAATGTAAATAAACAGTGGACGATAGTGCCACGAAGCGCAGCCTGACACGTGACAAGTGGGGCTGCTCGGCTGTACCAAAATGTTGCCCACAGCCTTCATACCAAACAGGGCTTGATCTTGGAAAACATCGGAGTGGTCCTGACTATTCTGTAAGTTCTCCCTCCCAGTAGCCACACATTCTCTCTCACACCAGTGACCGTGCAAACATGGGGATCTTTTGAGCATCGTACCACAAGGCTGTCGGATTAGGCTGTTGGGCGAACTACTGGATAGTTGTGGCCTGTCATTTGCCCGCTACAGTCATTTCAAATCTAGCTCTACCAAGGAAGAAAAATGTCTGATCGTCATGATTGCGCAGTCACTTCGCTATTAGATATTAGCCTTCGGCTCTTTTCGAATTCAGCTTGCCTTTGTTGCTTTTCGCGAAGTCCAACTCTATTCTTGCTGAAATGATTGGCCCCGAATATGAATCACCTGTTCTCTCTTCGTATTAAGAAGCCCAGACCAACCTAGCCCGCTGATTCACGAACGGGTAGCCAATCAATGCTGCTCGACTCCGACAGCCTCCTCTGAGCAGAGTGATCTTTGGTCAAGTTCCCCCTTATTTTGAATGAAGAAAGAGCGCCTTCTGTACAGAGTAGATGCATGGTGCTTCCGGCTTTGCGGCGGTAGAGACGTTCTCGCCTCCGACTGTCACGAAGTGGCCTTTGGTCTCTGCCTCCCACACTCAATCTGAATGCATGCAATGTGTCTCAGCCGCACATTCAAGATGTCTGCCCTTCGCCCTCCGAATGGGGCCAGAAGTTCTTGCCCCCGGTTGTGGCCAATCGCGTTTCGTCTTCCCCAGGAATCCGAACCTTGGAGTTGGTTATTGCCCTATCTATACGAGCTTCATCGTCTTGGATGGACGCACATACCCGTTGGTAAAACTTAGCAGAGGGAGGGAGTGGCGAGTTGAATTTGCGGCTGCAGCCTGATAAACGCTGTCGTGACCTCGTGCTGCGTCTTCCTGTCCCGTCCGTCTTTCTCTCTCTTTACCCGGCTTTTGAAGGCGCTCAGGCTAGCAATTTGTTTCCAAGTGCAATTGTCCATAACGGCCTTTGAAAAAATGGTGAGCCTATGCTATTACAACCTCATTAGCCTTGTGAACTGAGCGCATGTCACTAGGGCAGTCAAGGGCCAGGCTGGTGGAACGGAGAACGATCCGGGGATAGGTAAGATGGGCATTGAGTCTTTGAAATTCTTTATTGTTCATCTCCGATAGCTATCCTCTGTCGCCCTCGGGGGCACACGGGCAACGACAGGGAAGTGCCGGATCGACGGAGTATAATCCATACTTCTATGCTCAGCACGCCGAGGGCGCGGATGACTACACGATTCACAGTCCTCCTCCCGCACGACAGAATCCAGGCAGGATACCACGGCGACCTACTTCAGGTCAACAACGGCGCTCTCCCTACGAAGCTTTGCCTGCCAATGATGCACCTTACTTTCTCCCTCCTATCAACGAACCGGCGCCGGAGTATTACAATGTACGATCCACCGCCTTGGTGCTGTCAGATGTCTCAGGGACTGAATGCCTTTAGTACAACCAGGATAACCTTTATAATCCTCCACCAGACCATTCTGCCGGTAGTTTCGCGCCTTCCACGAACAATGTGGTAAGTTCATTCAGCCAAATGCCGCCCAGGCCAAGAGCGTGCTTTAATTCTCCAACAGTCCACCAACGAAGGCGGATCCGATTTCGTCGCCTCTCTCAATATTCAGCAAAAGCTTAGTTCGAATGGCTACGAAGGCCACGACGCACAAGCGCCGAATGAGAATCCTTACCTCTTTGATGCCGATACATTCCTCAATCGAGCTTCAAATAAGCTGCACATTAAGCGAATCTTTTACTGGCTGGACTCGAAATTCTTTCACGAGCGGGCCTGGTACAGTTGGACAGTCCCTCACTCCTATCAGCTTCCTGGCCACTACTACAGATCTGCAAATGGCGGGAAGATCAACATCTACAGGCACAGAGATGTTTTTCGTCGAAAGTATGCCGGTTTGAACGACGATCGGTACCTAGATCCGCTTGATGGAAGGGTAGAAAAGCTGTTCGTCCAAACAGTCAACGATATCTACGACACGGAGAACGATACGACCTGGCGGAGGACGTATATCGAAAACGTCAGCCCATGGATCATCCGTTTGGCCTATTGGCCTTACTCGCACATGCCTGTTGCAGGCCCGAGATTCCCAGCTGAATATGGTCTTCTCGAATCATCCGTTGCTGGGATCGGCGCTTGGAAACAAGAACAATGGCTTCATGTTGGCCTTCGTTGGCTACCTACTTGCATTGGCCTGCTGCTACTGATGACCTTCCCAACAGACATCGAAGGCCAAGTCCGCAACCATGGAAATTACGATCCTGTGCCTTACCGATATTGGTCCTACCCTCTCTCCGCGCGTAACTTCCGGGAGAACATAGGTGAGAAACCCAACCCTGGATTTCTCGGGTCCACAAAAGATGTTCGACTCTCCGATCGGTGTCTACGGCCGCGACTTTTGTGTTTCTTGGATTGCGTGACCGACGATAATCCGAGGGGATGTCTCGATCCACGGGTTTGGATTGATGCGCACGGAGGAGCCGTCGAGCCGACGTATATCTTCATTTCTTATACCGCTGAGAACCAATTCGAGCGAAGATGTCGTGATGCGAGGAAAGATATCCAAAACAACGGCTCTTCACATTGCAACTGTCCCGAGTGCCGTGACGCAGCATCCGATGCCGAAGCCCTCCATAAAATTGCCCGCCTGGCCGCCAAGAAAGCCCAGGTGGCAGCTTACTGGACCGACCAATGTTGTATGTCCACTGATAAGGATGAGCTGCAAGAAGACGTCTACCGCATCAGTGATGTCGTCCGCGGTGCGGCAAAGATCGTCATTGTCGTAGGCCGGACGGGCCAAGATCATCTTCCACCTTCAATCACCACCCTCGACCTGCTGAAAGAATGGGGCACACGAATGTGGACGTGGCCCGAAGTGCTGTTAGGCCCTGCAAGGGAGAAGATACAGGTATACACGCGCAGGGGAGACATACGTGCAGCTGCTCCGCTCGAAATCTCGAAAATGGAGTTTCCCGCCCAAGTCTGGGACGATGGCGAAGTGGCGAGACAGCTGATCGACAACTACGAGGGATCACTGGCCCTGAGTCGACTAGAACTCGTGGTCCTGGCCCTGGAATGTCTCAAAAGGCGGGTGGAGAAAGGGACGACAAAATACCTTGAAGGCGACTTGTCGTACGCGTTAATGGGCCTGTTGAGGCAAAGGCCAAAGGTCGATAAAACGGATTCTGCGTTTCAGGCATTTGCGCGGCTATCTTTGGCGAACGATAGTGATCGTTTGCTGGAAAGAATGATTTGCTTACTTCCTTTCGAGGACAGTCACGATTCCATGCCTAATTACCAACACTCAGACCAAAACGCAGGAACAGCGGCCAGCGGCAACGACCAGCACGGAAGGTTTCCACCCAGCGAGGGAAATAAAAAGAGACACTATTGGACCAACCTGGACGACTACTGGGGCGCCAAACTCTGGGATGTCGAGCCCATTTGCCAGGTCGCAGGTATCGGGCAGGACGACACTGTGATCCTCGACGGCGCCTACGGGGCCACAGTCCACTGGGACAAATTCCAACGGGTCGCCATCACCACTCGAGAGACTTGGTCGCGTATGCTGGCGCGATACTTCGTGCGCGGCACACCGGCATGGTTCTTCACCGGTGTCCTTACTCTGGCATTTTCAGCAAACAATCCCACGGCAAAGGGGATTGGGGCGTTCTTCCTCGTCATCGCGCTGATTACTGTCCTTCTCTCGCCAATGCTGATCCTGCACATATACGGAGGGAAAGTATGGAATACTCAGCCATGGCTCTTCGGGTTCGAAGGACACATGTCCCTGAGAAAGACCGAGATGAAGATCTTTGGTTTCCCTTCGGAACGGCTCTCGTGGGCACCATACGCGAGTAACATGTCTCATCATCGGGTGAATAGTAAGTTCTTGGAGAAGGAGTGCGAGGGGACAGATCCTTTGCTCGCGGGCGAGAACGAGAGAGGTGCGGGAATGGTGTCGACGACGGGGGAGAAGCTGAGGTTTTTCACGCTGGTCGATACGAATACAATGTATGGGCTGTCTCCGTCTATTTGAACTTCTTTCTGTTGCGCACTGCTAACGTTGGATAATAGGACTGTGACCACGTTTCGAGCCGCACGGCCACCCACTGTTGCTCTCCTCTGCGGCGCAGAAGGAGGCATGCAGCGCGCGGTGATGTGCTCGTATGACTGGACAAATCAGTGTCTGTGGCGAGAGACTGTGCTTCGCATGGAGACGATCGCACTCCAGAAGATGCCTAGGATCGGGAGGGTCAGGTTTGGATTGAGAAGATGGGAGGCCGAGATGGGGAGGAGTAATCTGCAGCCTCCTGACTGAAGCTGGAACAAGATGTCAGCGGCAAGGGTGAACTACAGATCACGAGACCTCTCTTCGACAGACGCCAGTCGAGGGCGACTCGGCAATTGGTGGCAGCCTGATGCGGGGAATTTTGGCCGTAGAAAACGGGACAACGACAACGACGAAGTGGCTGCCCTCGCAATAGTTCCAATTGTGCAAATGAGAGGCGGAAAGCCACTGGTTCCAATCAAAAGGAAAGCCTGTCCTTGTGAAAGAAGACAGCCTGTAGCCCAATCCCTGATATCTCCCAATGCGGAAGAGCCAGACGCAATAGGCTATAGCAAACTGTGCCACAATTTCGTTCCGTAGACCACACTCATAGGAAGGCAGGGTCTCGCATCGAACCCGCCCTCAAGTCCCCGACAATTCTGGCCGTCTTGGAGAGATTGTCGAGCGACCTTGAGGAGAAGACAGGCGAGCACGATCTCAGCCAGGTGTCTTTCAAGAAGTGGGTGCTCGGCCGGAGTAGCCGCCTTCACCTTGCATCGACGATGTCGCTTGCACTTCGAAGGGTCGGGGAGCACCAGTGGTGAGCGAGGGTTGTCTGTCTCCCATGCACAAGATGACTCGATTCCCAGAAGTGCCGATCAAGTCCCCCTGATGCGCATACCACGAGGTAGGGATGCACGCGGGTGCGAGCTTGGGGGGCTGGCGCCCAGCCATCCCTGGACCTTGGACCTGGGCAGGGGCAAAGCGAGCATTGGCAGTGGCAATTGGCCGGTGTTCGAATCGGAGCAGGGCCTGCTCTCTATCCAAATCATCTTTCCCGTCACCGTCCCAGTCTTGTTTAGTTGGCGTTTTGCCTCACCATAACTGCCAAATCTGGCATCTCTCGTAGTTGAGTGGAGAGGGACGAATATGATCCGCGTTGTCGATGGCTTTGGAGCGCCAGGAATGATAGATTTCAGAAGTCTTGGACGTTAGAACTTTGACCATCCCGAAGTCAAATGTCCTTGAATGAACCGAGGCATCTTGATCTGGCAAATCTTTTGCTGAATCCGAGTCGCACGTCCCCCAGTGCCCGAGATCAAGTTTTCGAGCAATGACCACATTCGAGAGGATATCCCGAGATACATTCGAGCCAAGGCTTTTGCTTCCCGGTGCCGTGGAAGCCAGATTCCCCAAGACCATCCCGCATACACTAACTGGGACTTGGGGCTGCTAGTCGAGACATTCAGGTTGCGTGATGCCAATCAAACACTTTTTGAACCGTCCGCACAGCGTTCGGCCTCGGGCCCGCTGCGGATCCGGAGCTAGGAACGTGGGGAACGCGAGATTCCGGCGGGGATATCTCCAGATCCAGCATAGACATGTTCTTAGCAATGGCGTCGTTCTGGAAGGAGCCAAGGGATCTTTTGCGCTCGTGTTCTCACTCGGGGTGGTGAGATTGCTCCCTGACAGGCTACCTAGAATGGACTGAGACTTTGACGTTTCGGCCAGGGAAATGTCGCTAGTTAGGCTGCATCTCGCGGGGTCGCTGCGCGGTCATCATTTGACACCTTCTGGAAGTGCGGGGGATGTGCATGGAAAACCCTTGCTTTCATAAGGATGAGAGCTCCGGATCCGGTGGCGTGCGATTGTCGACTCACTGGTTTGCAGAGTGTTGATTGCAATAAGTTTAGTCTATGCTCTCGGCAACTGGGATGGGAAGGATGCCCTGGAAGGCGTCTCGGTGAACAACCGACAGGATTCATAGTCTGACAAGGTGTCTCCCCAAGTAGCAGCTTAAGGCACGCTGGTGTTAAGATCAGAGCCGGTCTTCACTTACGACGGAGATTTGCCTAGCCTCTGAGAGTGGTGGTTTGACTGGCTCTCTGTTTCTCAATTGCACGAATGTGATGCATCGGCAAGGCGGCCACTTCGTCGATTTTCGAGCACTTTTCTTGACAGACACTGTAGCCATTTTTTTCTTCTTCGCAATGTTGTATTTAGTATATACTATTTGATCAAGTTTCAGCCTAGAACATTCGAGATTTCAGCAATTCCGAAGCGGTGATTTCGACAGCCTCGTCACCAGAGATCGTGTCACGTGAATCTTGGCATTCCGCCCTCTGATGTTATAGAGGTACCAGTTGCCTCGACCCATTCTCCTGAGATAGAATGAATTTCACGCGTGAATTGGCTCAAAAATAGCTTGCTGGTTCCTATACGCCCAGGTATATCCATATTTCGTTCAGTATGTGTATCGGAATCCCTCGAGACCCTCGATCGGCTTGCCGCCAGCGGCGGCTCTCTTGTTGGCCAGATAGAACTTCATATCCAAAGCAAGGGTGATGAGGATGATCAGGGCACTTGCCAGCATGCAGGTGAGGATGCCCGGGTGGTAGTTAGGCTTGTCTTGCGAGCGGAAGACCGTGCTGCCTATAATGCCACCAATACCTCCAGCGCCGACCAATGTGGCCGAGCAAAGGGCTCTCTTCCATTGTCCGCGAATGTTATTTGCTTGCCATGTGAGAACTGCCGGTACATTTGCGTTGCAAGCAGTGGTTGCGATGAAAACGCCAAAGTAGCGAACAGGAACGTTGTCCAAATAGCCGAGAAGGGGGAGGCCTGTAAGGAAGCGTTAGATGTGTGAGACGAGAGCAGGCAATATCAAACGTACCAATTAGGAGCAAGCAGCCGTTGATTAAAACGAAGGGGGATCGAATATGCCACTTGTCGCCGAGGTAGGCGAAAAGATACATGACGATTGCGGCGAGGACATAGGGGGGTGCGATGAGGCATTGTGAGGCTGCAACGTCGAAACCCATGCCGTCATTGAGAATGATTGGAAGGAAATACGCGATAGCATATGTGTTTGTAGTTGTAAGACCGAAGAGCCAGGCAAAGCCCCAGACCTTTAGGTCCAAAGCGTTCTTCAAGTATTTCCCGAGTCTGAACTCCTCGGGAATTGCATCGTGACGGTCCTTTTCGATGCGGGCGACGACGAAATCGACCTCCTTTTGGTTCAGAAACTTGAAGCCGAACGTATCCGTAGCCTTTTCGGGGAAGTCCACGATCAGGAAGTAGGAGCCAATAGCCAGGATACAGGTCAGAACCCCCTGTAGGATGAAGATCCATCTCCAACCCGCGATGCCGGGAAGAATCCCTGATGGTGCGGTGGGATCTTCTGCCGTTGGACCATAGTGCTGACCCCACCATTTCGGGCCTGATCCGTGGTTCTTCAGCTGGGAGAAGCCATAGGCAAGAATACCAGCAAAGGCGGACGCCATGGATCCAATGAGGTAGAAGACGGCATTACGCTTCTGGAGTTCGTAGCGAGGATACCAGCAGCTAAGGAGATAGGCACAGCCTAAAACACCATAGTCAGATGAAGTTCAAACAGGGATGAAGAGGTCTGAAGACTCTCCTCAGGTGACGGGCTCATGTGACTTTTCCCCAGACCCACAAACATATTATTCCTTGACACGTACCTGGGAAGAAACCAGCCTCAAAAACACCGAGAATCACTCGAAGACCGGTCAACTCAGTCCAGGTTTTGACAAAGCCAGCGGATAACATTGTCACCCCCCAGAGTAAGGTGATAGTGGGCAAGAACTTGCGTGGGCCGATTTTTCGAAGAACGACAGTAGCAGGAGGCTGTAGTAAGACGTAGGTGATGAAAAAGACAAGCACCATAATGGAGTATCGATTCCCGATCAGGACGAGATCGACTCCCATGCCGGCGACGACAGCGATACCGGTGTTGGTACGATCCATTAAGGAGACGGTGTAGAGAAAGCCCAAAGTGAGCACCAGCCGTCTGTCGATACGCCGCATGATCTTCTTTTGTTCTGCTGGAGTGAAGGCATTGATCTTGGCGTCGTTCAGCTTGTCAAAGTCAGCCGAGATGGTGGTATCGGCACGCTCGAGTTCGGCGATGTCGAGACTTTTCTCGATAGGGACGTTGACGGCCGCCATGTTGGGTGATGTTCAAGAACAAGGCAGAGGGAAAGTAGAGATGAAGTGAGGGATTGAGGAATGAGGAGGGGAAGTGGGTGAAGGGGTGGTCTTATGAAAGGAATACCGAGTACTGGATCCCGTATGCCTGATATGCTTGAACCACGTTGATCAAGTGAGGGAGATTGTGTGATATCAACAAGACACTAACAAGATGTCCAAAAACCAAAAGCAGCATAGTCAAATTCAGTCCACCGGAGGACAGGACCGAGAATGCTCTGGGCATCGAGCCAAGCAACAGGGATCAACCAGTTCTTCATGAACACCGAAGATATGCCCAGCTTTCGAGGCGGGCACCCTCCAGGGGCAGCCCCCTGCAAGAGCATGCATTCGGGCGCATTAACCAACCTACCAGGTGAGTGCCGAGGAGTCGATATGACCCCAGCTTTGGGGGGCCTCCGGTGGAGTCTGGGGTATGGGATGTGGGCCAATTTTCAGCTGTTTTGCCAGAACGACGGTAGGTCGTGCTTTAGTAAACGTAATCGCCCGGTCCAGCCAAATGATCCTTCATGTCCATTTCATCGCTCTGTTTCTGCCTTGTTGAAAAGAGACGATTTGATGGACAGGAACTGAGGTGGTGCAACCCATAACCGGCACAAAATAATGAAAGTGTGCCAACCAAGCTTCTAGAGGTCTGGCAAGCATTGAAATTGGCTTCAACACGAGTGCTTGACTTGCTCGCCCATTCACAGTTCCTAGCCACCAAGCCAGTGTCACTTGCAGCCGCCGAAAGTCTTGGTGGTAGCTTGGAAACCCCACTGGCAGATAAACCCAAACCCATGCTCCGCTAACCAAGCCTCTGAGTTCCCCAAACTCAGTGAGAATGTTTTCCCTCTCAACCTGTCGGTTGCGAAGACTGTGCTTCAACTTCGGAAGCGAAGGCCTTGTATCAGCAGATCCTGGCCTGACCACCACCATGACCCAGTCGATCGACAAGCGATGGAACGTGGTGGCAACATCTCCACGACCTGTGCGGAAAAGATTGCTGATGGTGCATCATTAGTTCGCTCTTGGCTGACCCATTTCCTCGTAACCATGAGGCTGGCTGCGTTGAGTCTGTGGTGCCCAGAGTCGTGGGCGACCGCAGAAAGGGTGGCACTCGCGGGCCCTCCGAGCGGTGGAGCATCTTGTTGAACTTTTGCTCGTGTTTGGGAGAAATTCCGTAGCCAAGAATTCGACTCGGTCGAAAACGGTGCTCATTCCGTGTTTTGAATTGCCATGACAAGAAGTGAAAAGTCCGACTCAGGCACTTACCTAGGCATTTGTTGCAGCTTGAATGGGAGGATGCGGGGAGAGGTGTAGCCGCGGCTGTAGGGGCTATCGAGCATGGCTGGGATTTTCCCCAACTGACGAAAAGGAGCAGTAAAGGCTAATCTCCCAAGACCAGGTGCCTGGATATTGAGGGTTGGCGATAATGCCTGTTGTAGCTGTGATGCCCGAGTGACCTGCCGAGAATCGCACCCGGTCCGTCCTGGGCAGGACACGGAGAACTCTGGCTGGGAGGATTTTTGAGTCCGGAAGATTTTGCCTGATTAGCAAATGTTGCATATTCCACTCGGGGCCAATTTGTCGAGCATAATTCAAGATCAATCGGCGAATAAAAGACGGTGAGTTTTGGCGACGACATGTTGAGGACACCCAGAGGTTGAAGTGGAAAAGAGACCAAAAAGGGAGCAGATGGGCTTAATATCTGTCCCAAAAAAAACGCCCTTTCACGGGATTATTCAACACAAACCCTCTTTACGCCTGCTAATGAGCCGCTTTAACCGAACAACCATGCCCGAATGAACGCCGTGTGGTGCCAGGGACGAATGAGAACCTCGTGGAAGCGACACAAGTCGGCTGGCGCTGTCGCGCTGCCCTAGTGGTGTGGATTCCTGGCTACGCATTGGCCAATAGAAGCAGCGAATATACGAAGTCTAAGTTGAAACAGCCAGATATGAGGATGCCTTCCCTTTTCATACAAGGCTGGGATCGCTCCAGCGAATAAGTCGCACAGTCTGTCACGGAATATGTACCTCAAGATTGCTCAATAACGACAAGCCGACCGCAATGTCGAAGATAAACGACAGGAGAGGATGAATGACAGAGGGTCACTCATTCCAAGGTAAACCGACTGCTCATTACCAACAAAGGCCACCTTCGTTCTAACAGCGAAGGACTTTGGGTGTGCCACTGAATTTTGAATTCGGCTTGCTACCTTTTCTAGACTCGCGCATCCACATAGAACAACTCCGCAGGATCGATACAACCATCTCCCAAAGCCTTGACAACCTTCATCAAGTCATAACAGACACGCACCGAAATGAAGCTGTCCTTGCGATAGTCTTGATGCCTTTGCACAAATCGTCACATCCAACTCGCGGGCGTGAGCATTTCTCCGGTGGCTCTTTTTCGGATGACGTCCCACTACACGTGTATTCTTTGTCTTGCGTTCTCGAGGTAGGTACCGAAGACCTCAGCGATGTAGGATTGCACGAGCAGGAGCAGGATTGAGCGTTTGGATTCTGCAAGTTTGAGGGTATATTCTTCTCCTGGATCTTTCTGATTCCGCATCTTCCGATTTTCGTTCGCTCGACCTTTTCACGGAAGAAGAATCTTTGCTCGCGATTCTTTGCTCGCGAACTGCGTTGCGCGTGTGCGCTCTCTGCATATTCTCCGCCACCCTGTCTATTGGAATGTAAAAGTTGAGGTCATAATGCAGTATAGCGCGAGTGAGGAGGGCAACGAACACCGCAAAAGCCGCGTTCTCAAAATCGGTCAATGGTACTTCCAGGAGACGGAATTCTGCCCGCCATCCTGCCTCACCATTCTTAGAGGGTAGTTTAAAATCGACATGTGGCCAGACTGCAGAGTAGAGGTTCTCGAAGACATCAAGGCTTTCGTAGGATTTGAGTTCGTTCTTTGTCAGAGCGATAGGGTCACGGGCGAGAATGTTGGCATAATGCGAAGCCAGAAGGGCGCCCATACCTCTGTGTTGCTCCAGGTACCCTTTGATTGCTGGATCAGCTTTGATTTCTGGTGGGCCGTAGAACGGACGGAGTCGCGTGTCATCAGAGACGTACATTGCTGTGGATGACCACCGCGGATGTAAGTCAAACGGCTCAATAGTCTGCTTGATGGTCAGCGAGAAGCCCGGATTATTTTTGCAAGATGGGTTACGGTTGAACGAAGCTCATTTATAGTCTATAATCCACCACCGAAGCCGCCTGGTTCCATCGAACGTCTGTGTCGGTCAGGAATCCACGAAAGAACGGAGTTGCTGCAGACAAGGCCATAATAATGGGACCAAGCGGACACAACTGATCATGAAGGTAGCGTGCTTCTCGAAGGGTTTTCGCTTGAATCGTGACTTGGAGCCGGCAAAAGCTAGATCCGAAGGCCATGCTAACGCCATGTAGAAAACTCTGAGCGATGCTTTCATGTCTGGGTCATCCTCCTGAAAATCATTTTGGTGTGAAAATTGAAATGATTCCTTCCGAGGCCAGGGCGTGTTGGTGTCTTTGTAGATTGGAGTCTTGAATTTGCACGGACGGCCTCCACGGTGCGTATAGATGTTATCATGAATAGTACCATAACGTTCATGTGTGCTGATTAATCCATCGGGAAGACCCTGTGATTGGAGAAAGAGTCCGTGAGTTGGTAGTGTAGGTTCGGTGTACGGGCCTGGAGCACCCAAGCGTGGAAAACCTGGCATGGTAACGACTGCCTCGTTTGGACCGATTCATGCCTGTATCATTCGCCTCCTAAAAAAATTATCAATGTCAAATGGCGTATCCGAAGTGAGTGTCTTTGTTCTTACTGTTTTCGCATGTTGGCCTCTACACTTAACAGGCTGTTGATACCGCCGCTATCTTAAGATTCCCCTGGTGTATGTAGCCTCAACCATGGAACTTCCAAATTCTGGCTGAAATTCAGGCACAGCCATTTGATTATTGCTTGCTATTGTGAGACGCTGGTTCGTTTGAGGAAGAGGCGGATTTAATAATACCAAGAAGTCGATACATGTTGATAGAGTATCATTACTGTCCTCATGCGCCTCTTTCAGTTTGCCGAGTATGACCTCCTGTTTAAGGAGCAGATTTGCCGTCCGGTTTAAATCTTTATATGACACGAGCTGGTACTCGATCTGCATGGTATCTTTCATGAGATCAGGTCTCACACTGTCCGTTGACAAGCTCACCTCGTCTCCCCACAATGGGGATACCCATCTATGTCTTTGTACTTCTCAAACAGTTCCAACAGTTGCTTGACAAGGCGGTGTCAGTACAGGCGATATAGGCAGCCCATCCCACAGTTCCCAAGTCACAGTAAAATAAGAGCACATAGCTCCATCGCGCGCCGTTTATTGTGTTTAGACATTGACATGACTTCATTCCAGTGAGAGCCGCTTTTGGTATGGCTTGCTCTGCCTTTATGTCAAATCCTGGATTTCAATTTTTCAATGAGATGTGCGCGCACTTGGATTCCTGCTGCACCGCACCTCATTCTATCATGCGCACCAAGGGCTGAAGCCTCATTCCAATTGACCTCATCAGCGGGACAATCGTACATCGGTCCGTCTGTGGCTATTCGTTTAGTGGTCCAGGTAGTCTTACTTGGAAAAGAGCGGTTTGAGATTGGCGTCGTCCACTCCTCAGACGAAGGCGTCGAACGAGCCGCGCCCATTCATTCAAGTCAAGAGGCAGCTTGTGACCTTCAATGGCAGATCCCTCGGCAGAAAGAACGATTGACATTCCTACCCTTCTGATCCACTGTATTCAATACTGTCGATCGAAGGGACCACGTCTTCCGCAGCGAAAGGTTGAAAGTTTCGTTCTTTTCGGAATCCCTTCCCTTTCCATTCAACAAGCCATGTCGATCGGGCAGCGAATCATTTCGCGCATTCTCCAGGAATGCAAATGCTGATCCGTGCTCCACGACTGGCGAATGCGGCTTTCTTTAGTTGGACGCAATTCAGCGAATCGGGGGCAGTGCGTCCCCTAATGTGCGCAGCCTTGTCCGCCTCGCTACCGAGAATTTGCCAAATCAGGAAGTTAATTCCAACCTTCTTCCAGTTCACTGATTGGCGGTCCACTGTTTTGCTTCCCAGGTCCGACATCGAGCAACTGGCGCCCAACCGTTGCCTGGAATGCGATCAAAGATGTCATTAATTTTATTCGATAAAGCTGAGCAAATGGTTGTCTCTTGAAGTTGCGAACAGGCCTTGGATTGATGTACTACTTCAACTCCAATGCAAAACTGCGAGTCGCAAAAACTCCCAAGGCTCGACGCTATTCTACGCTATCGTCGCAAGTGAAAAGTCAATTGTGAACAATTTCTTTGTTCGTGATGGAAAGCCAGTCCGCCTGCTGCTGGAGAAACTCTTTGATCTTCGTTGCATCTGTGGGTTTGTGGGCATGATGCTGCTCTCGCAGAAACTCGAGCATCAGTCGCAGACGTTCTTGCAAAACCTCCACTCTGTATTCTGTCCACTGGAAGTACAGGTCTGACAGATTTGTGATGGGCCTGATGGTAGTGAGAACTGAAGAGTCCGGAATGAGAGGGTCCCTAGGGCGAAATGCGGTCACCATGGTGATACGCTCAGTTCCACCAACTGCGGCTAATGCCTGATGTGTGATGTGCCTCCCTTGAAGGACGACACCACTACCCTAGTGACCGTCAGCAAATTTCATAAAACTTGCCAACAAACTTTAGATACAACATGCTCACCATCTGTGGTCCACGGACTTTGATGAGATCTCCGGAGCCGGTTTGGATCGCAGTTTCTCCCCCAACCATCTGGGAAGCGTCACTCATCATTACTACACACACAAATGGATAACTGTCCACATGCCACTTGGTGACTGGGACATCATCGTCCGATTGTTTCTCTTGCTTCTGGTAGTTCTTGAGGGGATCCTGAACAGAGATGTTGATATTTCCAATCTCGATATCGATCACGGGCACTAAGTCAACGCCGGCAATTTTCGACACAATGGCAAGCGTTTTGGGGTTCTTCCAGGCATCGTACATGAACGGGGCATACCTACTCAGGAATTTAGCCAATGGGCGGTATCGTGGTAGTCAGCTCAGAGACATTAAGAACGACCAAGAAGAAGATCTCTTACTTCGGACAGTGGCCCCTGAGCTGGCAACCTGCGAAATCGGTGCTGTACAAACAGTTGTCCCAAACTTCATTTGTGAAAATCTCATTCCTCATATGGGTTATTGCTTCTTCGCTAAAAAGAGGAAAGGGGTCTGAAATGGCAACTGGCGAGATGCCCACATTTTCTGAAACCCCGATGTCTCTGAGCGTCAAAACTGGGGGATCTTCGCGATATACCAAATGCTTCTCAGGATCAAAAGCAATGCGTGGTCTCGTGCTAGCGGTTCGAAGATTTTCACTGATGATAGGTCTGATGTTGGGGGCATGGATTGCAGGACGTGTATCGACGTCCGCCATGGTGGGTCAAGATGCTCTACTGAGACGAGATAGTAGCTGGTATGAGTAATTGTTCACCGGATTAGGGGGGGTTTCCAAGTTAGCAGAAAAGAGTTGTTATTGTAACAAGATCTATCAATCCCTCGACAGTATGACAGTGATAATAATATTTCGAGTTTGATAGAGCAAACTGGTCATCGGACCGTCCACGCTCCTGTCCACTCCCACGCTTTATCTAAAGAGTATTCCTATTGAGACAGTCAAGTTCTCCAGACCCACTGTCCTCCCCTGGATTGGCAGTCTACAAAAGACGCACATCCCCGTATACGGAACAAAAGGGGAAACTAAGTCCCACGCCTTCAGAAGCATTTCATTGGGCACCGTCCGCTTTCCACGAGGCTTTCTCGTGTTCGAGATTCATTTTGCCCAAAGGAAGAATTTCACGCCCTGTGCCATCCTCCGAAGCGAACCTTGAATTAACTGCGATTCCCTCCTGCTGGAAGGACTCGACTTACGAGAATTGTTGCAAATCTGCTCCCACAGGTCATCTCTTGTTACATCCTATAGAGTATCACTGCGAAATCTGCTGCCCCCGAACAAGTGAAAATGGGGATTTCGATGTTTGGGCCGCCAGATCCCATCGATCCCTCACACGAGCCATCCGCCTCCATTACTTCAATATCCGCCAATGCGCCAATCGAGGAAATACTCGGCATAATCGAACGGGACGGTGGCGTGATTCTGACTGGATTTGCAACAGCGGAAGATATTGCTGCCATCGATCGTGATGTTGAAGCTCATCGAAAACAAACCAGGTCTACAGAGAATAGCGCATTGCACATTATACCCAAAGAAACACTCGCCATACCCGGGCTTGTAGGCAAATCCTCGACAATTGCCAAAATATGTGAATCGCCTGTGTTGGAGGAGTTACGGACATCCATCCTTCAGGAGAAGTTCGGCGTCATTCGTGAAGATATTGTGGAAGAGAACGTTATAGATCCGCTCTTGAGCATCAGCATCACCTTTTATATTGGGTATGGTGCGCCTCGACAAAGGCTTCACCGAGACGATAACGTGCATGGGATCCGGCACGGAGGGAAATTCGACCTCAAAAAAGCCAGTCAATTTGGTTGTCTGATTGCTGGGTCTCGGACCACTCGCCAAAACGGTGCCACAATGTTCGTACCGGGTTCTCACAAATGGGACGATACCCGTCGCCCACGGACAGATGAAGTATGCTTCGCTGGTGAGTGTCTCCGCCAACCGCAACATTATACAGAATAATCACCGTCCCCTGGTGAAAGTGAGGCTGATAGTTGCGCCCAGAAATGGAACCGGGATCCGCGTTGATATTCCTAGCTTCTTGCTATCATGGAGGTGGCCATAACTCTGTCCCAAACGAGGTTCGCAAGGTGCACGGTCTCTTTTTCATCAGGGGCAACTTGCGCACGGAAGAAAACCAGTTTCTGGCAGTACCGAGGAGCAAAGTGCTCACTATGAGTGACAAGATGCTCTCGCTCCTCGGGTACAAGAAGCCTTCCACGGTGCTCGGGGTCGTCGACAACGACGATCCGTCACTGAACCTGCCCGCTGTCTTTGAGAATGCGAGCCAGTAGTGTTCCTGGTGGAAGTGCCAAATATATACATAAATGACAATAATAAAATACAAGAGTTCAAACAAAAATAGCCCGTCAATCCGTCGTTGCTGTTGAAATCTCTCGGCTAGATGTGGTACTCGTAACCACCTAATATCCGAATGGCCCCTGTCACAGATTTAGCGCTGGCGTCCTTATCGGTTGCCCTATTCGTGGGTATATCTTGGTTATCGGACGTGGGGGACATTAGGCGCTAGGGGGCCCATCAGCCCCTGCGGCCGGAAACGATAGGCGCCAGATAGGCTTGCTCACCACTAGCAGTCGCCTACGAGGTACTCGGGAGAGGGTTTCGAACCCCGCTCGCACCTCCCCAGACGCACTGGGTGCCCCCACCACTCCTATCTGGCGTAGAGATGCGTGCCCATCCCACGTCTTCGTGTCATTTTCATCTTGCATTGTTCTCACACTCCATCCTCGTTTATCCTTGCCACGAAGCGACTCGCCGTCCTTATCATATGGCACGAACGAGCATCCTGAACTCATCGAGTACCCTTAACGTCCTCCACCCTGCCTAGCATTGTCTTCCCTGATGTCCGGACCTGCTACTCTAAAAGCGAAGAGCACTCTAGCCTTCCTAGCACCTGCCGCGAATGCTGAGACCAGAAACAATGAGGAAACATCTAGACGTAAACAACCAAAGAGTCGCAATGGTACAGAGCTGCTCCTGTCCCGGCCGGTATGGCACCATGATCAGGACCGCAACACCGTGATGAACAATCTGGACAAATCGTAGCATGAACCATCGCTGACCAAGCCTGTCTAGGGTGCGTAACCTGTAAAGCGAGGCGTTTGAAATGTGACGAGGCAAAGCCGACATGCCAGCAATGCTCCCGTCGTGGAGTTACCTGTGGTGGTTATCCAAAGTTTCTCAGATGGAGACCGATTCAACAGATCAAAGACGGACGCACCGATGGTGAGGCGGCGTCCCGAAGACCCCAGCATCACCTGGAAGCACTAGACATCTCGTCAGACAGTCGATCGGCGAATGACCCGGTGGGAAGAGTCGTTCAGGCTAGTGATGAATGGTCTTCAAAGACAGTCCAAGACCATGATGGAATGCCAGAGCTGCGGCCTACCATCCCCTCGACAGATGATAGGGTTCTGGACAGCGTCGAGTCTCCTCCAAGTGATGCAGCAATGCCATCTGTGCTCAAGCTCAACTACCAGGGGGTGCCACCAGCCGGAGGAACGGCTAAGCCAGCGAGTGCTCATATCAGTGCTCAAAGCAATGTTGACAACATCGATATTACACATCTTGAGACAGGGCCATCAGTCTCGAATGGCCTGAATGATGTTCTATCCGACCACCCATCCCGTCTCTTTGACCACTATCGCTTCTTGCCGATTTCTACAGCAGATGCCGCATCTTACGACTTATCGCAGCTGGGCGACTTGCTAGCGCAAACTCATGACAACGAATTAGAGATAAATCATGATGTCGAGTGGAATCTTTCCGGGATTGACGAGTTACTCGACTCGGCGGAGGCTGTGCTGGCGGAAGACCCCGGAGACATGGATTGGCAGATACCTCTGTTGGAGTCATACGCCGAACCCTCTCCAGTCTCATTAGGAGATTTTGCCGCATCTTCCCATCTGATCGATAATGATAGCACTCAACAAATATATCAACAGCCTCAATCTCCAAGTGGTACTCCGGAAATGATACGGCACCTTTTCGAGCAGCAGACATGCGCTATTCTCTCAATCAAGGATGACGAAACTAAGAATCCATGGCGAACTCTGGTCTGGCCATTGGCGTCTGGCTGCCCTGCACTCTATCACGCACTGGCTGCAATGACTTGCCTACACATGTGCAAGACTCAGTCGCACCTACGTCTTCTTGGGCTGCGGCATTTTCAGTCTGGCGAGCGAGCTCTCATCAATGACGAGAACGGCAACATGCTGCTAGAAGCTGCCATTGCCGCAAGGCTGGCCCTTGGCTTCGCTGAAACATGGGACCATCAGAAGTCATCGACCGGGATTGACCACATCAACCGTGCCAAGGTATTGATTCGGCAAGCTGCTTCTAGACACCAGACGTCAAGGCTGACTGCCGGGAATGTGAGCCGCCTGAGCTTTTTGGCGAACACATGCCTGTACATGGATGTTATTGCTCGCTCAGTCTGTATGGAACCTCAAAGCTTCAACGACGCTGAATTCATGACCGCCTGCAATTCACTCAGCAGCTCCATCCCCAGGGGAGAGCAACTTGATCCGCTCATGGGCTGCGCGATCACGCTTTTCCCGTTGATCGGCCGCCTCGGGGAACTTGTCGGTCGCGTTCGAAGGAGAACAGAGAACCGCAATTCTCTGGCCACTATCTCCAAAGCGACAGAACTAAGAGTGGCGATAGAAAATTGGGTCCCATCGATAGATTGGGAGAGCGGAGGCGGGTTCAACTCCAATATTACCGACTCGATCCAGACAGCTGAAGCGTATCGATGGGCTTCACTACTACTTCTCCGTCAAGCAGTTCCTGAGCTTCCCTGGGCGCACTCTATCTGGGAATTGGCATCGAAGAGTCTCGTCTTCCTCGCGACCATTCCTCTGACCTCGCGTACGACCATTGTGCACATTTTCCCACTAGTTATAGCAGGATGTGAAGCGTTCGACGCAGATGACAGGGATTGGGTCCGCGAGCGCTGGGACCTCATGTCCAAACGTATGATCACAGGGATAGTAGACCGATGCAGAGAGATCACAATGGAGGTGTGGCGGAGGAGGGATGAATATGAAGCGCGTCATGGGATTGTCTATCGAAAGTCTCTGCAAAGCCCTGCGTCAACAGCCGCAGGTCTTGCCAGGGACCGTTCTCTGGTTTCCGAGGAAGGCATTTCCTCAAGGTCTGTCATTGAAATCACGACTCGATTCGACGCGGAAGCACGCTCTCCATCGGCATCGTCAGAATCTCCAGAGTCGGCTGCATTTAAGAAGGGCATAGATCCAGTGACCAGGGCGGGATTCATAGATTACACGGTGAGAGGAGACTTGCATTGGTTAACCGTCATGAAAGACTGGAATTGGGAGGGTAAGTTGGCTTCATCCCAGCAATATCCACGCGAAGCACAGCCGCCAACACTGATGATGGTCTGCAGTCATGCTAGGATGAAGCAGAGACCCCAACAGCACCACCTCACTGCTAAGAAATTGATAAATTCTAGGGACCTTGCTGATACGTTTAGGATTGGCATTGCATGTGGCCCCTTTTCAGGTTAGGCTCCGGAGACTGAGATTCGGTTGCCCTTTGAAGCTCCTCACTAACCTTGTGACATGGGCAGAACACAAAGATCCAGATTCGCCCACATATCATCCGTCTCCAGCTTTTACCCTCCTTTCACTATGGCGCACATATTGTGATAACATCTCTTGAATGCAGCAAGAGAGTCCAGCATTCCGACCTTACCGCTTCGTCCCCCCTTTGATGCGCAATCCGGGCCTGCATCCTTCCCCAACCTATGAGACTCTAGCAACCGACAAATTGGTGGCAGAAGTTAGAAGCGAAAAGCGCCGATGGCTTGGCTTCTCAAACACATCCGCAGAGTGTCATCACCGTGTCTCAAAATCTCTTTAGCTGGGTCGCTTTCAAAGCAAGGGACTTGACACAGCGCCCCGAGTACTCAGAAGCCCTCCGGAATCCGCTCCTCGAGTTACCAAACGAGCTGCTACTCAACATCGCTGACTTCCTCGAAAAAGAAGTTCAACTCTCACTTCGCCTCTCTTGCCGGCGATTTCGTATTCTGTTGAATGAGTGTCTCGATGTTTCGCTATGCGACATCAATACGAAGTCACGATTCTTCAGATTGTCTTGAACCTGACTATCCAGCACACCTCCCGTGCCAACCTTGCGGTTTCATGCACAGATGGCAATCTCGGCGATTTCAGGGCCGCTGCTATCGTCGTGACTACCATCATCCGTCCATGGAAATTTGGACGTCGTACTCTTGGTACATGCCGAATATCTGCGTGTCCCGCGAGGTCGTCGATCTTGTTCTTCGTGCTGACGAATGGGGTCATTCATACGACCTTCCTTTGCCTTATTTGAGAAAGAGCTGGCATGGCAATTACGGCATCTTCCGCGAAAACGAGGCGCTTGATCGGCGGAGAACTTGTGCTTGGAATGCGAGAACCAGAAGGCGGAACCCGAGCTCCGAGCCAGGGTAAGGTGGAAGGCGAGTGCCAGGGAATACTGCGTCCACGCGTCGTTGACTAGAATCGCCTCCAGTACCTGACAGCTGCCCGTTATCAGATGTAGTTGAACGTTGGCTAGGAGTTTGCATAGGTGTAGGGCCACTAGGACTTGTGCTTGCCGGTGACCCTAGTCCTCAAATACCGCCTGAGGTTGGAGGTGTGAATACCGATGGCTGATGCGAGTGCAGGACGGGAGGAAATAACGCGGGATCAGGTGGATCCCATCTCTGACTACCCCTCATCGCCGGAACATACGATGGATTTCTTGAGGGAGAGGTTGGCGTGTACAAGGGTGACGATGGCTGGTCCCGCCCAAGGTTCATAGTTGGTATACGGCTGGAAGGAATATGTGGTGCCCTCGAGGGAGCAGTTGCGGTGTTTGAGGCGACGATGACTGGCCCGGCTCAACGTCTGCGGGTGGTATAACCTGGGCCAAAACGCGTGTTCTCGTATCGTCAGAATCCATCATCAGCGCATCCATTCACTCCACCAGGTTCAATTCGTTCAACAAACCTCCGAGATGATCGAGCTTGGACGGACTCGTCTGATTAGAGATTTCAAACTCTCGATAACGAGGCTCTTGCTCTCGTTCGCGCAATCTGTGTTCTCCCTTGTTGAGATCTTCTTCCTTTTGCGTTTGCTGCCGATACTGCCGTGTCAGAGATGCCTCGAGTTTCTCCATTTCGGCATCCTGCTCCTCGATGTCCTTGTGGCGCTTTTCGAGGTCTGAACGCTCTTTTCGAAGGTGTGCTTGATCATTGTCGAGGACTCGACGTTCCTTTTTTTTTTTTTTACTTCATCTTCGCGAATAGAAAGGATTTTCCCTCCCCGATGAAGACCGCAAATGTTCCACTACCGCAGTCGATAACTTTGGGGCACGATTCATGACGTGGCGAGAGTCTCATAAGCTCTCGTAATGCAGCAGAAGCTCTGCTGGGCTGGGATGTGGCGCGTAAAAGTGATTGGATTGTGTCAGTGAAATTCAGAAGTCTGCTTTGATCCACTTCTTCCGTCTTGTTTAGACATGTATTGTTGGGATTTGCATCTTGGATCTTGTTGCTGAGGCTCTTAAGCATGCCGTGGGTTATGTCGGGTGCTTTTTTTTGGGTAATTTCTCGTATGTTGAGCTTTTGACTTCAGTTCCGCAATATCCTTCCCACAGTTGGGATAGGTTAAACCCAACTATTTTGAGCATTTTCTTGACGTGTACAGAAGGCTGCCAGGCCTTGGCTAACTCAACACCACGTGTCGGACATGTCTCGAACTCGAGGCCTGGGCATTACCGGACGTGCTGCCTAGGGCGCTTGGCATTGGAAATATCCTTCCCACAAACAGGACAATTGTGTGGTGTTGCCATGGAGACCGCCTTAGAGCCTAACAGGGCAAGTTTCAGTGGGGGAGAAAGGGCAGGTCGCTCGAGGATGGTTGTGAGGATGGTTGTGAGGATGATCTGGCTGTTGACAGCTTTGACGTGCGAACACAAGAGGAAAAGATTTTGGCAAGAGGAATCTAGTTTTCAAAGAGGCAGTAGCTATGAATCAGACTTGGCGGGTGAATGCATGTTGCCAAGCACACAATGTTGTCGTACTCACCTTCGGCCAACACTTATGATTGTCTTGATCCGTTCAAATCCACCCTTTCGGTCTTTTGTTATTTATATCCTCTTAATTCCAAGTTGCCGAAATCCTTCTCACGCGACAGCTCAACAGCTCTCCCTCTAGGGCATACTCCCTTAGCACCTTGCTCCTCCAACACTCTCCCTCCAAGGTGTTATTCGTGCAGCACCTACCATGGATAACCTAGCACGGCAGTATCAAGCACGAGACAACGAGGTACGCCCGATGTGCTCTCCTCGCTCTTTACCGATGAGGAAGGTGCTAACCAGGAGTAGGCGCTAGATTGGGCCGATGGAGCATTCAAAGAGAAGGCTCTCGATATATGCTGTCAATTTCGCTTGGAGCCCCGCCTCGGTGAATACCGCGCTCGTCAACCTCCTTCTGGCGTTCCTGGTCGAAAAGAAAGAGCAGTTCAAATTCGCGGAAGCGTGGTTGGACTTCATCGACATTATCCGGCAGGACAACGAGGGAGACGTCAGCGACGACACCAAGAACACCGAGTCTCTCGCACAGGAGTCTGTTAAAAAGCTTAAGAGCGAAGCCGATGACGAAGCTCTAAGTACGGCGATGGGAGAGACCTTATCGCCCGAAGAAACCAAGAGGGCCGGGTGAAGAGGAAGCCGGAGAAGTGAAACAATCTATCGGGGAGGCGGACGTCGCTGACCTGATGAGGTCGGCGGACGGCAAGGTTAGTAGAGTCATTGGGAGCTCCGAGAGCAAGCCCAGACCAGAGCTCGTCGGCAACGCGTCTCTCGAGGATGACAGTCCCTAAGAGATGGCCGCCTTCACTTTCGAAGGGATGTTTCGAGATGGGTCGTACCCAGTACAAACCGAGCTTCTGGTCTTGTAACCTATAATTGAACTATCTCCAGGGACACCTGAGTCCTCTTTGCCCGTTCCTCCTCGCCAATCTCCATGAGGATCTCCGGTCTGTGGTGGATGCTGGAGGACGACAAAAGAACGAGAAAAGCAGAGCGACGAGGGACGTCGAGATTCCGAGCTGGAGGCATTGATTAGCGCCTTGGCAGGTACGAAGCGCACGGCGAGACGGGTTGGCTAACAGTGGATTGAGCATGGGCGAAAGCAGTACTGGGTAGTTGTAAATATCTGGATAGACGGCCGAATGACACCGGACTAATAGGTGGTAGTACCCTTTGTAATTTACCGAATAGTACCCCTGTACCTCGTACCTCGCCCTCATTTGTAGGTCCCCATGGCTCTGTTAATACATACCCGGTACATACTGTCCATTATCCCCTATTGAGTTAGCGACCATTTTGGAGACATTTGGCGGTGGGACAAGTCAGAGTTAGGCTGCCGCCAAGAAGCTTGGTGGCCTCACATGACTACCTACCTTAGGTAATGGTCGCCAAGAAGCAATGTCTCGCAGGGTATAAAAGGTGCTTCTTTTTTTTCTCGCGTCTGGTTTTTGCGCTCTCCATTCCGGTGCTCGGGCATACGCGACAAGTGAGGCTCCAGCCGATGTCGTGTTATTGCTAGTTGAAAACTACTTAGTTTGACCGCTCCTTGTGGCCTTCGGGTCGCTTGGGAATCTTTGGAACCAGACAAAATGACCTTTTCATCATCATCTTCGCCTTGAGCGAAGGAAGGGAGAAGAGGACAATAAAGGGACCAGCTTTCGAACGACTCGTTGCTGGAGCCTGGAGTGAAAACATAGCAGCCATAACAAAGCAACACTTGCAGAACCAACTGGGTGAGGATTAGAACAGGACTCAACATAGATTCAGTGTGCCAGCCATAACACAGGTTTCTTTGCATTCCGTAGTTCTCAGTAGTACAGTGCGTAAGGAGTAGAGCTCTCGCCAAAACAAGGACCACCTATACCAAGCTCCGAAGAATACAACTCCAACTCGACCTCCCAAATGTTCTGTTCCACCATCACCACCACCATCAACAACCACTTTAAAATGCCGTCCGCGCTCGTTACGGGCGCCTCAGGATTTCTAGGCCGTCAAGTGCTCAACGCCTTTTCGGATGCCGGCTGGAATGCGACAGGCACAGGCTTCAGCCGCGCCTCAGAGACAGTCCGCAAGGTAGACCTCCAAGATGCCGACGCAGTCACCAAGCTGTTCGATCAGGTCAAGTAGGGGTGGCTTGTGTACACCGCGTCACTACAAAAAAAAAACACTAACGCAAAGCTCCAGACCTCAAGTCGTCGTCCACTGTAGAGCGGAACCTCTACAAGAACGGTGATCTACTAGAGCTAACAAGATCGCAGGCGCCGCAGACAGACAACCGGACTCGTGCACCCGAAACCCAGAAGCAGCACACAAGCTGAACGTGACAGCGACCGAAATCCTCGCCTCCTGCGCCGCAAAACACAATGCCTTCCTCATCTACATCTCCACGGACTACGTCTTCCCCGGCATCCAAGGCCAAGCTCCCTATAAACCCACCGATACCCCAAAGCCCACCAACATCTACGGCCAGACAAAACTCGACGGAGAGACCGCGGTCCTCCAATCCCCCAATAATACAGTGGTGTTGAGAGTCCCCGTGCTCTACGGACCGACCTCGCCCAAGGAAAACAATAAAGAGTCGGCGGTCAACGTCCTGATGGACAGCCTGTGGAAGTCGCAGAACGAGAAGGTGAAGATGGACGACTGGGCCATCCGCTACCCTACAAACGTGCAAGACGTGGCGAGGGTGTGTCTCGACATTGCAAAACTCTACACCGCCTCACCGCACCCGGAGAACCTCCCGCGCATACTGCAGTTTTCAAGCGAGGACCGCATGACAAAATACGAAATCACGCAGAAATTCGCCGAGATCATGGGCCTGTCCCTGGACGGGATCGTGCCTGATAAAGAGGGAGGCAAGCCGGCCCCCGATGGGACGTTGAGGCCGTATGATTGTCATCTGGACACGAGCGAATTGCAGAGGCTGGGCATTGACGTTTCCACGGTCGATTTCGTCGCGTGGTGGCGAAGGTGGGTTGGGGCTTATCGGCATTGAAAATGGCATGGCTATGTACCATGGCTACGAAAAAGCAAGATAAGGGATGACGAGCATGGAGATACTTTTTTTTTTCTCGTTGCAGGCTTCTTGCTCTGCGAGGAGCGGCAACGGTCGACAGGGAGTCCTGTCGGCGACGGAGGGCACGAGACGGAGCAATGGTACAAAAGGGCTTCCATCGGTTGACTTTTGTCCAGTGTTGTATCTCATGGGCATGAGCGACTCCTCCAATTCCCCAGACATCGGAATGGCTGCAATGCTATCCCTAATCGACTTGCTGGTGGTGTTACAGATCGGCTTCCTGCCTATTTGTCTGTCCCATGGCCCCCATTTTGCAGCTACTATGAAGGTCTTCGATTGTATAAATCACTTGGCCTAAAGATTCTATCTGTCGACGTTCATTCATGATTACGTATCGAAGATCGAATCACCTCTCGTGAGGATCCTCTCGAAGTGCTTTGGAGGCAAGCGCAGATGAAGAAATATACGCCGTACATGGCTACGAAGCCATTAAAATTGCCAGCGTCAAGTCCAACCTCATTGCTCCCTGCTCTACACCATCACGCTGTGTAACCCGAGTCAATGAAACGCCCTCTTTATAGCCCTGTCCAGATTACTCCTCTCGCAAGCCGTCGTGTTGTGTCTCTCCATCTGCAAACACTGCCACCTCAAGCCACTCCACGCGAGGACCAGGTTGAACACGCGATCCCGGTCTACAGGGTGCAGGAGGATGGTCAAATCCGTGCCGCTGCCGTTGAGGAAGAAGAACTGCAGCGCCTCGGCCGAGCGCGTGTGAAGGTGTCTGAGATTCTCGAGGGTCGAGCTGGAGTGGATGTCGATGCTGTCGAGCTTGCGCATTTCTGAGAGAGAAGAGAACAACCAGCTTCGATCCTGTTGTAGGCCGCCCGTGGAACAGACCGTGAGACTTGTCCTGCTGATAACCAGGCGTGCTCGTCCTTCGACGTTGTCATAGACTTGAAAAGAGTATTCGTCCTCTGGAGTCAATCCTTGCTGGGGAGACTCACTGTGGTCGTCGTTCGCTCGATCATCATCTCTCAATTCAAATTCCCTCAACCCCTTCTCTTCCCAGGCGGCCGCCTTTTCTTGCAGCCTCAGTACCGCCAACTCTGCATGCGTGGGAATATCCCAAAACACCCACCTGAAGTGTGACAACAACAACCGGTACTTGGGATAGTTCGTGGCGATCGGGTATGTGAGGAAAAAACCACCGCCAAATATCAACCAGACGAGTTTGATGCAGAACGCCATATCTGCACACAACGTGACGAGAAGGCAACAGGAGAAAAAGAAGAGGGTCGCCAGGGTCAGATTCGACCGTTCCCACCGGTGAAAATTGACGAGGATCTCGAGAAAGTCGGCCAAGTCACCCAGCTGTAGCTGAATGATTGGACCGATCTCATCGAGAAACGGCTCAAGCCAGTCACGTTGTCCGTGTCTCTGGATGAGTTCACCCCATGCTTGCACGCGGGCTTCCCGGTCAAAGGCCCTGCTCACGCTCTCTCGCAGTGTCTGCACAGACTGTGCGCGGAATCTGTTTCGCAGAGTGGAGTAGATGATGTAAAAATACAAGTAGCCCACAAGATGTTGGGTGTACCACAGGACACAGAACAGTGCCAGCCACTTCGCCGTCCGACGAGGTGACTTCCACATGTAGACGTGTCGCAAGTTGACAAAAAAGGACTGCCAGGGTGCGGAGGTAATGGCTATTCGTTCAATAATACGCGCGAGGTCTTCGAGATCAAACGGTGGTGAACGAAAGTCGTCAATGTAGCCGGTTGTGAAGTCGCGAGTGTAATAGAGAGCCATATAGCCGAGATATCTCTCCCATTTGAATCTACCACCATCCCTGAATTGGGACCGTTCGGGACGAGATATTGGACGAACAACTTTGACGCGGGAAACGTGACGGGACAGGATCCAGGCCGTCTGCAAGCTTTCCCTTTGATGTTCCAATTTGTGCACGCGATCGTGGGCTTCGTCAAGTTCAGAAGTGACGGCACTAGTATCAAGATCCGAGAGATCGCTAGAAACAGCCTGAGCAAGAGCATCGTAGGCATCTAGCAGTTCCTGGCCTTGGTCAATGGTCAATCCCGGATGACGGTTTCCAAGTTTCTCGGCCGCAATATGAGTAGCCTTGCTGCGCATGACTCGCCGTGGATGGGTAGTGAGGTACTTGATGCTTTTGAAACCATCTTGGATTGCCTGACGCGTCGATCTCTTCCTCTTCGGCGATGAGTTTTGAAGAACTCTGGCAGGATCGAAAGCGGCATCGGAAAAGATGTTGCCTTCGGCGTCAGAAGATGCATCAGTCTGTACAGAAAGAAGTCGTTTCGTCTTTGCCTTTGCCTTGTCCTTCGCATGTAAGGCACTGTCAAGAAGATGGCCGATATGGTGCTCGGCCTCGGCCACACTGTCACTGGGGCTCGAGGCCATATCAGGAGATGCCTGCAGGCACGAGCTTGAATGATTACGATAGGTCAATGCAGGAAGTGTCTCTGGGGAAGCTCCATGTCGAGATGGGTACAGCCTGAGAGACAGGACAGCGTCTTCTTTTCAGCCACAGCAAATGACCTGAGTGTGCCATGGCGGAACCCAATCTTGGGACATCGTGACGCCAACAGCACCATCCTTCTCATTGCACCTCTGTGCGGTTGATCTAGGCTGTTCTATTCCAAGTTTTTGACTGTCCAAATCGGCAGCCCCGAAAGACATTGATTGGGTTGAAGAGAAAAAAAAAAGAAGCTAGACTGAAGCGAGATCTCGAAAGCAGTGGTAGATCGATACCCGCTTTAGGCCGCCACTGACGATAGTCGAGGGTGAGATGGAGATGATGGAATGTGGAAGCGAGCGAAGCAAAAGCCGTTGATTGCATTTCGATCTAGATTCTGCGTCTGCGGTGTGCAGTTCTCTTGCTTCTCCGTACATCTACGGTCGCGCACACAAGGTTGCAACGCTTGTATAAGAACTTCACCATCCTTGACATCAGCGAACAGCTCTCTTGCCTTCATCGAGGTCCGTTTCCGCTTCTGAGCTCCGATGACTTCGTCTTCGCCATCGAATACCTCTGGTTCGGGAATGTACTCGGCGTCATCCTCACAACCTTGAAATGTCTCAACCTCCATTATCATCAGCATCTTCTCGTCCACCAACCTTCTGGGTGGAGAACATTAATGCCGGCGTCGACTCTATAGGCAATGTGTTGCACCCTCGGTGTAAATTCTTACTTCACTGCCAGGAGGCCGCCCTCGACAACAACATTCTCCCTCTTACGCCAAGGTAGGTCAAGGACTCAACAAGTGAATGCACACCTGGTGGCTGTCATTTCTGAGCCGGCAACTTTCTGCCAGACCTCCAACATGAAACAAAAAGTCCAGTGCTTGATATTGTTCTCTTTCTTATTTATTTATGTCTGTTCACTGCCTGTCCACAACACGTTGAGTCGCATTCACTTGAGCTGGATATCACAGTCAATGATCAATGCTTTGAATACCTCCCTTTGTTTTCCTCACACTCTAGCAATCTCTGTCGCTCGCCAACATGGACGACAATCCACCCCCGAAGAAGAAATCGCGCTTCTTCAGTAACGGTAAAAGCAAGGTCGGAGACCTCTTGCATCCATTCAGAAAGCAGTCGCAAGCAGACGCCGAGAGCTCGGCAGGGCACTTCACTGATGATGCTCCTCAACCTGATGCCGATGGTCTTCCTCTATTATCCACCATTCATACTCCTGCCATCTCGCAGCTGAGGAATCCGGCTCAACGCCCCGTTGATATTGCGACCTCCGGCTCGGGTCTTTCAACGCCACTTCACACAGCCTCCTCACCGTCCACACCACAAGGCTGCTTCCCCCAGACAAACCCTCCGGCCGGTAGCCAACGTCGAGGCGATGGACAACGCATTCCACCTCAGCCATATGTTACAGAGAGTGAGGCTGAAACAGACTTGGAATCGAGTTCTGAAGACGACAATCACGGAAGAAAGTTCGACGAAAGCGACCAGGAGAATGTCGAACCAGACACCAATCCACAGTTGAACCCAGCTATATCCAATGCACATCAAACCGCCTCGAGGCACAAGCGAAGAAACGCCATCTACGGTGTTGACGCTCTTCTTCCACCAGGCTCAGATACCCATGAACAATATGCTGCTCAAAGCTCTAACCCTATCTTCGCCCCCGCTCCCCCAAGTCCTGTAGGAAACAGTTACACTTTTGGCGGTGTCCCTTCAAACCCTCATGTCGCTCCAGCCGGAGGACAATACCCCTTCAACTTCCGTACCGCACAGATTCTTCCCCCGTTAGGAACCGTGGAACGAGCTGCATACGATAGCCTACAGCACCCCCTTGGCTCCGGTCTAGCACGAATGGCACAGCAAAGCGTTCACCGTGATACCGGTCCACTCCAGCAGCAATCACAACCACTACCAACAGGCCCCTGGAATAAGGTCGCAACCTCTGGTCTAGACGTGGACCGGGATGAATTTGGTCGCCGGCTGCGGAGCTTCCCTTCGCGTGTGCCACGTCCTCCAGCTCATCACGGCATCTCTGTAGCTTCTAGCATTCCTCCTCACGTCTCAAACCCAGACTCCCTCGTACCAGACCACATTTACATGTCCCCTAATCGGATCGAGCGCGCACACCAATTCGCCCGGAATTCTCTCAAACGCAAACGACCCGAGGCAATCCTCCCTCCGCCGTCATATGTCTACCAGCACACGGGTGACCCGAACTTCAATATCTTCCACGGCTTTCTGCTGTACCCGGAACTCTGCTTCGCACTGGCATCACACCTCCCTGTCAAGGAGCTGATTAGCTTGTACGCGATCAGCAGAGACTTCCATACCATTCTTGACACACGATTTACCACAGCAATCCTCTCCCAAGCGACCGCTAAAGCGCCCGAGAGTGCCCGGGCATTCATGTTCCGCAGTTACGCACATCTTTGCCGCTCCGACCCTGCCGCACGCATTCCTCACCCAAATGCCGTCTTAGCAGCGCAAAAAATCCCTCGACGAATCCCCTCGTTTCGGTGGCTCAAAATGATTCTGCACCGTGAGAAGGTCGTCCACGAGATCATGGCCGTCTTCGCGGAAGACGGTATCCCCCTCCCCGCGAGGTGTGCGTTGGCGCTCAAGAGGTTGTGGTTCATGCTGGACATACCGGACAACGCCCGACGGATCGGGTACTGCCACAATAGAGGCATGATGACGGATCTGGACCTGTACTTCTCCGCTTGTTTCCTCACGAAGCTGGACATGAGACTCAACGATCCTGTTGGCGGGGAGAAGAGGGACGGGATGAGGAAACTGCTCCTGGCGCAGCGAAGCTTCACCACTGTCCTGCGGGTGTTGAAGCGCGAGATGTGGACGACTAGATTCGACGCCTTGAGGGAGTGGATCAAGTACAAGTACACGCCAGCAGCAGACGAGGAAGGGTTGAGTATCTTTGGTGTGCCGCCGGATAAGGTGGGTAAGGGCAAGCTGGAGTACTGGGGTCTTCGTACCGCCGAGCAGCTTGGTCGAGAGCCCGAGGTGCTCTTGCGGCCGGACCAATTGATCATTAGGGAAGCGTTCCGGCGCGGGATGCAAATCGAGAAGCATTACATCAAGTTCATGCTCTACGGATACGTGCGCCCGGACACGCTGGAAGACTATGCGCCCCGGACGTACGGGCGGAGGATCGCCGAGCTCCAGGACGACGAATACGATGTCGACGACGTGGTCGGCGGGGTCGCTGCTCTCGGGGTGAACGATGAAGGATTCGATCCTCTTCTCGACCTCGGACAGCCCAGGGAGGTGAGCAAGTACACCATTGTCAAGGAGGAGACGTCCAAACGGGAAAGGGAGATGAGGAAGGCCGAACGGGAGTTTTTGAAGAGTTGTCTTGAGTGGTGGGAGAGCGAGCGGGAGGAGCTCGAAGCAGAATCGAAAACAGCCGCAGACGCGGAAGAAGAGAGCCGGTGGAGAAGAAAGGGATTGAGCCCCCCGTAGCAGGAACTTCTGAAGAAGAAGAGAGAGAGGAAAAAAAAAAGCGCATCGAAGGTAAATGAAGTTGAGAAGGCAGACGGTATTTCTTCCTCTTATCAACGCAACCAGGCGACCCTTTCTCGGTCCACGAATCAAGTCCTTGTGTCCGCACCGCCCCTCGAGCAAGCGGCGTGAAACACGCAGGGGGGCACATGTTACGGGGCAGGGAATCAGCATCAGGGTCCAAGGCAGGGGAGGAGAGGAGAGGAGACGAGGTGAGAGGAAAAGATGATTAGAAAGATAGATAGACAGATAGGAGATATCGAAAGGAAAAAATCATTCGACTCACTTGATCTTAAAGAAATAAAGAAGGGAAAAAAAAGAGCGCTTTACGACAAAACTCGTTTAACTACTCCGTACCAGGGATAGATAGACAGATAGATAGGTGATGGTATAACATGTGATCTAACTACGACATGGCATAACGTGGTGTACCCAGTAGGCTGGTAAAGTATAGTATAGTTCGGTACAGCATAGGGACATGGGCAGGAGGTATAATATAGTAGAGTACACCAACCACCACCATACAAGGGCCCCGAAAGGAGCAACACATGGTACTGTACGCGGGACATACATACCAGCTGGAGAGAACCGGACCAATTCAAGTACAGGCCACTTCGATTCAAGCCACTTCAATCACTCCCGCTTGCTCTGGAAGAACATTTCTGGTCTGGTTCTGATTCGGATGCTCATTCGCCCCAACCTGGCAAATATATGTTGTGTCGTGGACCAAGAGACAGATTCGGTGGTTGTGGGGTTATGGCCATGATACTTTTAGTTGCTCGCGGCGAAGGCAAGTCCACGTCGAGTCCTGGGCCGGGAGAGGGAAAGGCGACTGCCATGCATACTCGTCGATGGATCAGATGAAGATATAATAGTGTTTGGAGAGTGGTGACATGAAGTTGATGCTGATATTGGCGTTTTCGACGAGGGCAGTCAGCCTTCGAATGAGAACCAGATTAGAACATTGGCGGGTCTGTATCCGTTGTTCCGTAGACGATTCTTTGTTTTGCACTTGAGGTCGCTGCAGTTGTTGTACCATGCTATGGTGCACGTCCCGTATATATATATACCCACGTACGTTACACAGCGTCAAGATGCGAGGCGCCATGGTTGGAGCTGAATCACCGAAGGTGAAGGCCGTCGCTGTAAATAGCACATGTTGGTATCAATTAGCTGCCCAATAATGGTGTCTTTGTAGTCTCGGGTTTGAGAGCCACACATTATCAATCGTCAGGACTTGAACGAATCCTCGAGTAATCACTTGAAGAATGTCGAGCCCCGTCCTCCCTTCTTCAACGTTTCTCCAAGCTCATCAGGGAATGTCCGGTCGGCAACGGCATTGATTCCCCATACAGGGACAAGTACTTAGTATATGTCTTATCGGGATCTGCAATGCATCGACAAAGGAGGTCTGGCTCAGGAAATGTGTTGGTGGATTGATATCGAGTCAGCATTTAGCCTTGCCAGGTAGCAGCAAGGCTATGTGGAGGGATCGCGCTCCGCTTTCGTTTAAGCGGTTAGTGTTCTCCACTCCTTATGGAATCATTTTGGGCCCAAGCAACGCCCGAGGAATTTGTTCATCTTGCGTCCCACATTTCATCTGTTGGATCCAATTCCGCGCTTGAAAAACTCGTTAGTTCTGATAGCTGAGAAATTCCCTCATAACAGGCAAGAGAGGTGCCCGCTAAGGTTCTGATTCGGGAATGGCTTTGACATCCAGCTTTGCTTCGGACTCCACGAGGGTCTTGTTCTCAGATGACACCACGGTTTTGATGTCGTCCTTTTGTGGGGAGGGACTGGACCCTTCCATCTCTGAATGTATGTAGTCACCTGGCATCTCTTGTGGAGGTGGCCAGTGCGCGTCCCCGGGAGCTTCCACAGGCACCATTGCTGCTGATGCCATCTCCACCGGTCCTTTCTTCTCGTTGGGAGGCATTTCAGCTGAGTAGGGAGGTGCCGCTGGCTGGGAGTCCGCTTCCAGGATCCTCTTGGATTCCATGTCTTGTCTCTTCTTACGGTTGTTCCTGACGACCAAGAACACAATGAGGGCGACGAGGAACAACCCTCCCACCGCTGCGGCGATGGCAATGCCAGCTTTGGCGCCCCCGGAAAGACCCGAGTCAGAGCTGGAAGATGAAGATGAGGTCGTTCCTGTAGAAGGGTTGGGAGCTCCGGTGGGAACCACAGAGGGCACGGCAGAAGTTGCGACCGACAAGTCCTGACAGTCGACGGAGAACTGGCTGACGTTTGTAGCGGTCATGCAGTCGGAGAAGGGGGCAAGGAACAGCGTTGTTGAGCTGCAGTAGGGGACATCGCTGCCATATACCGTGACTACCAAATGGATCAGCATAGCTCGAGACACTCGTCGTCTCCTCCTCTGCACTCACCTGCGCATGTCTGATCCAAGCTGGTGACCATGAAACTAAGGTAGCCCTGTGAGTTTGTCGGAAAAGGCGTACAAGTGCCATCGTCGGGACCCGTCTTCCAACTCAGGAACTTCGAACACTGGCTGTCTGAATAGAAAGTGATATTGGACAAGGCCCAAACGTAATGAAATTGAAGGGCAGACCACGCAATCGCGATGGGCAGGCCGAGGATCTTCATTGCTGCGAAGGAGATTTCAGAGATTCAGGCATATAGACAAACAAGCAGAGGGAAGAAACGAGTGTGTTGCTTGCACATAATATCCAAAGAGGAAAACGGGAAACCAACCCTGCGGTGTGGAAGGACGATCAGAAGGACTTTTGGGGCTGTTGACAAAGCCCAAGCACAGCAAGGATTTGCTCTCGCTAACGTACGGGGGTCGATATGGATGTACTTACCGAGTACTTAGCTAGGTGTGAAACGTCAGACAGAGCAAGGACCATCAGGATAAGCGGAGGAAGCGAGAATGGTCTGAGGTGACGCTGTCGAGGGAGCAAGCGGAGCGAGTCAGGGAGATTTGACTGCTGCTCAAGGCTGATCAGAGGCTGATCCTCCGACGTAACGTTCGGTAATGCCATCGCAACTGGCCTCGATGGATGGGGTTATTGGTCGACGGCGTCGTCCCAGGCACCCGGTGGCACTCTCGGCACCCAGTGCAGAACCACAGCTGGATGGGGCCAAAGAGGCCAGGAGGATCGAGGTGGTCAAGAGGGTGGACGCGCCAGACGGGGCTCACTAGACCAAGCGCGAAGGATGAATTGAGGCAGATGGGGACCAGAGGGATTCAAGAGGGAGACCAGAGGGGAGACCAGAGGGATTGCCAGGAACAAGAATACAAATCTCGCTACTGTGGCACGAACTTTTTCAGGGGGCTGACAAACTCACTAGCTGTCAGCCCTACTGGGTACAGCATCAGTTCTGTTCGATATTGGCTAGGCACATCTTCGGCCGTACCCAGTACTGGGTACCGTACCTGTGGACAGTGACCTCAGCAAGACTTTATTGGTGGTGCGTACCCAGTAGTCACTGATGGGTGCGTAGGAATCGCCAGCCTCACTGCAAATCTCGGCTTCACCACAAGGATTGATTTCCCTCTTTCACATGGGTGTGTTTGTGTGTTCGTTCTTCTGGTGGCACGCGTCAGACAATGCTATCCTCCTTGGATGGCCAGCCCATGAATGGTGTTTGTCTCATGGCTTGCTCCTACCATTGCCCTCAGGCCTCAAAACACCAAGTGATTCAAATGCAAATGCCCGGGTATCATGACCTGCGTGGCCTTTTCTTTTCCCGTCCGAAACCTCCACAATCCCCCTCCAACGCCTTGCTGTCTATGTACCAAGTAAGTGCTTCAAAAGAGTCTCCCCCTTGACTTATAATCCCGCAAAATCCCCCTCCAGCACAGCCCTTGCGAACCGTGCGTTCCCCGAGTCTGCGATCCTGCCTCCAATCACTTCTCCTAGCTTGTCGACTAGCTGGGCCCGTGTGTTGGCAGCAGACTCGTCCGAGTGTCCGTTCATCATGGGAATGTCATCGTCCACCAATGTCCCCAGAGCGTTGAGGATCGCGCTGACAACCTTCTCCGCCTCGGCCTTCTTCATGCCTGAATCTTGGATATCCTCTTCTAGGAGCTCGCCATATGCTTTGGCATTGGGCAGTATCAGCTGTCGGACCACCTCTGCCCCGCCGATGGCTTTTAATCCAAGAATGGCGCCATAGTGGCTTCCGTACGGCTTCTTTGGGTCTAGGAACGTCTTCAGACAGGATCGCGCCAGTCGGGGCTTGAGGTTGTGTGAGTATTTGGAGTATTTATTGCAGAGGTGACCGAGAAGCGCCCCAGCTAGATCGCGGAGGTCGTAGTGATCTAGCGCTCCGATGCCTGTGCCTAGAGTGCGTCCGATTAAGCAGGTTAATACAGGAGGGACCATTGAGGCAACCTGCCATTCCAGTTAGTCACCGCCAGCGCAAGCTGCTGTCAACTGCAAGAGCACGCACGTAGGGAGTTAGATTGAGTTTGTCGTTCCGGGTCAAGGCGTCCGTGACCATCATCATCTGCGTGAGCACAAAGAGATCCTTCAAATTGTGCGTGACCTTCTCCGCTACAAACTGCACGAAATACGGCACGAGCTGGTGCAGTCCGGGGTCTTCTTTCAAGCTGGCCAATCCTGCCGTGCGATACTCCGGCTGCGTCTCGTCCAACACCGATGCGCACACCTTCTCAAAGTATAGCTGTAGTTCTTTTGACAGGATGTGTTTGACCTGAGGTTTCGTCGTGGTGCTGTCGGTGCCGCTCATTGCAGCCAGAGCAGGGTTTGCGTTGGGTCCTTTGGGGACCAGCTCGAGATGCCTTGCTTCGTTCGAGGTTGGGTTTTGAGGTATTGAGGGTTGAACCCCCTCCACAGCTAGCCAGTGAGCTACATGACACACAGGTCAGCCAACGCTACCACGAGCTCCAGAAGCTGGTGGTGAGACGCACCTGTGAATGTGACTTCTCGCGGTACCTTTGGGAGAGGCGCGTTGATGAGCTTCTCAAAATCCATCTCTTCATCCTCGATGTAGAATAGCGGTTGACCTGGTCCCAGTGACGCCTCCCCATATTTCAGCGGTCGCGTAGACTCGTAGCCATAAAGAGGTTCGATGTCGAGCACGCGAAGTGCCTGCGAGATGTCTTGCGACCAGAGGATCGTCCGGCGGGCATGTTTCATGAATTTGAGGGCTTCTTGTAGGACTTGGGAAATGCGGTATTCGACGTCTCGACAGAGCGCTTGGTTGACATCCTTGTTCAAATTGAGGATGCCCACCGACTCGGCGACGTCCCTGACCGTGTCTTGCCCCCAGAGAGTCATTTTGCGGCTGTTGTGCTGGTCGGCGATCTAGATACCAAGTGATGAGCAGAGATTGTGAGGAATGAGGAATGAGGAATGAGGAATGAGGAATGAGGAATGAGGAATGAGGAATGAGGAATGAGGAATGAGGAATGAGGAATGAGGAATGAG